ACGATATTTTCTCTGGAAACACAATACTTTTCTTGCTGTTTGTTGCACTTTATTAAGTAACAGTTATTTAGCTATATATTTATAGAAAACAACAACACAAAGAAACGGAAAAAAAAAAGGAAATAGAAATTAATAATTCGGTAGGACTCGAACGCAGCACCTTCGACTCGACGCGACTACACCTAACCACTACACCACAGAGACTGATTACGTCATTATTGGTAAAAGTCTTTCATTTTATTCCTTTTCCATGAAACTTCCGCAGGCAAGACATCGCCGGCCGCATTAACCGAGCTATTAACAGTGAAAAAACAATGTAAACGCATATTCCATGGCAATGAATGAATGAAAGAACATAATTATGCTTTTCAAAACGCCGATACACGTCCTCGTCTGCAAAGTAGGACACAAAACATATGTTTTGTTATCTCGATTTCCGCTGTTATTTTGAAGCGAATGGTCAAAATCACATCCATTTTCGGCTCATACAGCTTCTTAAGAATAGCATTGCATGACATTTTCTCACTTTCACATCACCTTCTAGCAAGCTGGAATTTGTATATCCCCCGTGTTGCGGAGTCGAAGAGCAAATGCTCATCTTCTCGTCAGGTTTAACACCTGGACGAGTCAAAGGTTCTTGAATTGAAATCCAATCCCCAAGTTAACCATCGTACCCATCTGAAAGACCCCTGCGTGTCTTAAAATTTGGTAAGACCTCTAACCGTGCGGTAGAAAATTTGCCACAGAGAAAACTCAGCGAACGATGCACAGGCTCACCCACCGAACTTCGAGTTGTTAGTGGCGCAATGCACTCTGGTAAAATGCAATGCATTGTGGTAAAAAGTGTGGTTAAATGCAATGCATTGTGGTAAAAGTGATGAATTCGAGAATTCGTTGCCCCTTATATATTTCCTTTAAATCCTGATTATGTTGCTGCTCGCTCCCTTCGGTCGCTCCGCAGCAACAAAGAGCAGTAATACATCTGTGTCGTTAGCAAAATGCATTCAATGGCCAACTGTGAAGTTTCGTTGTTAATCTATACATTTTTAAAAGAAGCGATTTAAAATAAGAACGGGAGTTAAACAATATGGGGGTCTGGTAGGGTAGCTAATGATAAAACGTGTAATGATTCAGTGGTAACGAGGGTACCAGCTCTTGGAGACCTGGGTACAAGAATAGGTGTTTACAGCATTGTTCCCAGGTTTCTCTCCTTCCGGTCCCCTCAGGCCCGTTTCTTGAAAGTGCCGGTAACTTTTCAGGCCTAAGATAATATTCAAATCAAAATCTAAAGAATATACGGGTGGGTCTTATAGCTAACAAACCAGTCCATTTTGTATTGTCAAGTGATAGTTTTATCATATTATCTGCTAAACTATTAAGACCACGATCTTGAATACAAAAAACAACAGCCTTCCGGGCCGTTAAAAAACGAGACTTTCGAGAAAGGGACCCGAGAGAAAGGGGCGGTTGGGAATGCGCTCTAAATCGTAATTATCCGCAGATATGAGGTGCTGGTAAGTACTTCCAAAATACTACAAAAGCAAATTTATTTTTGTGGTGTTGCAAAAGGAACTGATTAACAAACCAAATTTTAAGTTAATTATGCCTAAATTGACTGCCATGTTAAGGCCTAACTCTGGGATAAAAATAACTTGGGGCGCTTTCCACAAGTCAGAACTGGCCAGCCAGACCATGGCCGGACCAGACATTTTGGCAATGAAATAGGCTTTTTCCAAGAGGTTTTACTAAAAAACCATCTCCTTTTCTGCATAATATTTAGGATTTGACTGATCTGGATGGTTAGTTTTGATTAAGGTAATTCCCTTGAAATTGTTCTACTATCAAACTTTTTTTGAAACTTGGCATAATCAACATTCATGATGTGAACATTAAAAAAATGTAATAAAAAGATGGGGTCACCGTGTTTGTTTACGCGTCAGCAGGGTCTTAAACCGGGGTATTTTTAATGGTTGCGCGTTAAAAATTCTAATCCCCTTCTTACAGAATTAAGTCTTTGTTACTTGAAACACACAAAATTTTATCTTGAACATAGAGCTTCTTTTATTCAAATAAGCAGCATTGCTTCATTTAATTCGATAGCAAACCAGGAAGCTGTCTGTCGATCTCCGGCATTATTATTGCGAATAGAAGCTTTAGCTCTGCAAAAGCTGCCCTTGTTTGTTCTTTTCGCGCTAGTGGGAAGAACCGCCGCCTTCTTGAATGTCGCAATGTTATGCGCAGTAGAGGGTGCGCAGTGTAAACAAGGGAGGCCGCGTGGCCGAGTGGTCAGCTCGTCGGATTCGCAATCCGGCGGTCCCGGGTTCGAGTCCCGCTCTGGCCACTTGCTGGATTTGTGCTCGGTCGTCCCAAGTTCAAATTCTCGTCCACGCTTGTAAATAGCCAACTGGTTGCCTCCTGCCAGTTGGGGTTTTTAATCCTGTTATGTTTTATTTGAATTATTTGTTTCTAAATATTTGAGTGGAGTGCCTGTAAATTAGCTGGACAAGCTAAGTGCAATTTCCACTATAAACAAGCCTTTAACCTTTTTTTTTTTTTTTAACCTTAAGGGAATTACCTTAAAAGAGAAATTCTCATCACGATGGGAATGGGCTGGCCGGTCAGTTCTGACAAATGGAAAGCGCACTTAGCCCAATGTAGCCTGCGAGCAGGCTCACTTGAGTTAATTCGCAGAAGTGAGCCGGCGATCGAGTAGGCTAAGCCCAATGCCACCAATACCGTATAGGAATAGAGTCAAGTGGCGGAAAGAAGTGCTGATACAGTAAGACTTTTCAAAACTAGCCACCATGGATTAACTACGATCCCAGCTTAGTGGTGTTGTACCACCTAGCCTACGTGTAGCCGCACCCCCCTGTCTTCCCCCCTCCTCCGACGAAGGCAAAACAGAGAGAGGGTTTTCCTTCGTCGGGGGGAGGGTGCAGCTACACGTCGGCTATGTGCCACCCTGCGAGCAGAGCCTCTTTTTGTCTTCTTGAAAAATCACGTCAAGTCATAGCAGACCAAACTTCTGGACTAGTCAATCTTGTTTTCTCTCGTCAAACTGGTTTTTTCAAGCCCGAGCATCCTTTTATTGATAAGCCGATAGTCATAACTGAGCCCGCCGTACAAAGCGCATGGCTATTAGGCATGGGTTCTAGACTGTATCCTAGCAACATGCAGCGTGTGCTCAACAAAGACCTTACTCAATTCAGGCAGAGTCTATCTCGAGTGCGCCAAAATCTAGAAAGCGAAAGAAAGGCTCTTCTGGCAGGGTTAAGTGTTGTTAGACGTTTTGGTGATTTTATTGACAGCTGTAGAAACAGCTATAAGCAAAACAGCCATTTAGCCTTTGGACACGTATTGGACACTTAAAACGGTCACCGAGATAGCAATTACAAAATCCAGGAAGAGGGGCGACCTTAGAGAGCCACAGAGCGGCAAGATCAATGGCAGTTGCCAGCCACCCCCCTCCCTCCCTGGCAAAACCTGAATGATGTTTATCTTTTCCTAGAGGTCCTTTATATCCCAGTTGGCCAGTTTGGAGAAGTCATACTGTATGCGGTTTAAGGTTACTTGAGAACACTGAAGCATGATACATCCCTGTTTTCGCTCGAATTAGTAGTTTAAAAAAATATGGTGATAATTGTATTCAACTTGTGTCTCACTCGTTCATGGCGAGTGTTGTCAAGTAAGATATAGAATTGAACATTCGAAGCCTCAAATAATGTTAATTTCTGGGCATTTTTCAGATACTAAGAACTCCAATAATCCAATCTAGTCTGTACAATTCTTCAAGACGAATTGCTTGTCTGAGAAAAAAACAAAAACAAAAACAAATCCAAAAGAAACAAAGCATGAAAGAAATGAAAGTTATGTTCTCGTTACAGCCTGAAAGTTTTTTTCAGATCTAAAAAAGAAAACCATTCCCTAAAAAGCGAAGGGGAATTATTTCAACCAAAAAGACTTCCCTCCGATCCCCTGAAAAAGTAAATGACGTTCATTTGCATGAGCTAGTTTTTCAATTGCAGTTACGGATCTAAGAGGAGGGGAGGGGAGGGTGGGAAGGGGTGCAAACCCTCTTAAAATACGCCCGCGTTTCCGCCTGATGAAGGCAGACGACGCTAACGCTCACCTTATACGTCACTTAAGAAGCGAGAAGGAGACTAGATCAAGTTAACTTTCGCAAAGACGAATTCTGGGACTTTTACTTAGTCTGCTATACAGCCGCCGTTTTCAGTGTCGTCACGCAACGCTCCTCCCCAGCGTTGCGTTGCGTTGCGTTGCGTGACGACACTGAAAACGGCTGTATAGCAGACTAACTTTTACTAGGAACAGGGAAAAAACATGGTCATCAGCTGACCAGCGCGTCCCCAGTAAAGATCCTAGAAACAGATACTCGACACATTTCATCTCCAGTAGCCTACGTGGCAGGCGTTCGAAAAGGAAGGGGAAGGGAATTAGGGCGCGAGACCACGCGCGAGGGAGGAGGGTTTCCTTCCCTCCCTGCTCGCGCGCCCCCCCTCGCGTTTCTCTCGCGCCTAAAACTCCCTTTCCCATCCCTTTCAAACGCCTGCCACGCAGGTTACATCTCCAGTTCCCTCCTTGTTTCTTAAGTGGCGAATTAGCTTAAAAGACGAAACTTCGAAAAAATAAAATTTCGCCCTTTAAGCGAAACCAGTAGAAGCTTTAGTTTCATGACCGTGTTCAAGTTGGAATCACTCTCCTATCAAAAGAGAATGTCCCTGTATCCGCTCCCCAGATATGTCAAAATAAAATAAATAATATTCTTTCAGCGCAAGGTTTGCAGTTTTTCGGACCTTTACAAGAACGCCAATGTTACCAAACAAGCTTTTTCCATGTAGCATACACATGTATATATACATTCTTACTTCCCATTTTAACAGCTCGGAGAGCCGCCTTAGTTCCTGAATCTTCTACTAATTATTGGCAGGTCTTTCGTTAAAAAAATTATCCAATGAACACCAGAAGGTGATTCCTCGAGTTTATACTGGTGTACACCTGTAGAAATAATTGCTGCCCCGCGTTTCACTGTAGACACAATAGCAATGTACCCCACAGTCACAATCACCGTAGTAACGATCAGACCTCCCGTCAACTGCCTTCACTCGACAGATGGCTGTATTACACGACCGAGAACACTGTGAAGACAAAACAACACAGCAAATGAAAAAGCGTCATAAAATTGAAGTTTTTAAAGGGGCATTGTCACGTCATGTGCTATGCCACGCCATCTGCTATCTTTTTATAAAGCTAAAACTTTTTTTACATCAATTGAATTTAAAAAATAATGGTGCTGCTGTGTTACTTAAGAAAATACATGTATTTAGACATTGAAACTGTTTCCTTCCGTCAGTTAAAACAGATGGCAAGGATAGACGTGGATTGAAATTTGAAAAAAGTTGCTTAATGCTGTGCCAGCAAAAATTATCAAAATACTATTATGGTTAGTGCTCCCTGATGAAATCTGTTTGATTAATACCTCTACACTAGCAGTGAAAAAAAAAGCCATTTTAAGCGCGCGCGTGATGGCGCGTACTGTCCAATTACTTAGGCATGACGCGTACTGTCCTATTAAACTGTCCAATTAAGGCTGAAATCAGGGCAGTTGAGAGCCAACCAGATTTGACAATTTTGTTATAGTTATGATTAATACCTTTACAGGAGCGTTCTGTGTTGAAGTAAAGGCACTAAGTAATGAGTTTAGGAAGAATTGACTTATAACAGCAATATCCTCGCGGCAAAGCCATTTTTAGAAGAACTAAAAGGGGATATCAAATCTAGAGGAGTTAACATGTGCCAAACACTAGAGACGCTTGCTGTTTACGCTCAATTTTCATCTTAAAATTTTATCGCTGTCGTAGTACACTTTTCATAAGACATAGCCGTTCATTTTAGACTGTCGACGACATTATAGGGTTTTTCAATCGCTTTGTTAATAGCATTCGCCCCATGTAAGGTATTGATCCACGAAAGTCTTGGATTCTGGATTCCGCGCTATAAGTGATTCATTGTCAGGATTCCTGAAGCCGAATTCCAGATTCCAAACCCCAGTGCCGAGTTGTTCAAAGCTGGGTTAAGATAACCCAGGGTCAGTACCAAATTTGAATTCAGACATGAAAGCTTACAAGGCAAATTCAGTTTCATTCTTTTTGTCTACAATTTGATGATTGTATCCTATAAAGGTAGTAACGAAATTTTATCCTAGAAGATGCCGTTTGAACAAAAGAAAATTAAAGAAGCCCGGATTAAAATTTAACCCCGGGTTAGCGCTAATCGGGCCTTCGAATAACTGGACCCAGGATTACGGATTTCACAAGCAAAAAATTCACAGATTCCACAATCCGGATTACCTTACATATAGGGCGAACAACCAGTCCTATGCTCGAGGAAAATAGCGTAATTTCCATGATTTTGCGAAATTTACACAGGAAACAAGGCCTATATTCCTATTTTTTTTTTTTTTTTTTAATATACTAACAATATATGAGTTAAACTCTTATCTATTGGCATTATTCATGTATTCTTACTTTAGAGGATAATTGCCGCCTTCTTTTTCAGATTACCTTTCGGAGAATAATACTATTCATTCCTATAATACAAGGTCCGCTAACAAAGTACACATTAAGTATGAAAGAACTAATTATAGACGTTTCTCAGTTAGATATAGAGGAGCTATTATATGGAACAGTTTGCCAAATAGTTTGAAGGAAATTAAGTCATTGCAGTTGTTTAAAAGAAAATTGAAAAAGTTGTTGAACAGAAATATACTGACTCTACATAGTGCATCATATATACAGTGTAATACTCTTGCTGCTTAATAATATGTAAAGCCACCGTTTTCAATGCGAATGTTTGTAATGCATAAATGAAAGCGGACCTCCCTAGAAAAGCTCAGCTGAGCTTGCAGAGATCTCCTGCTAATAGATTATGTTATAGATGTATTACATTAGTGATTACGTGGCCAAATAAAAGATTGATAGATAGATAGATAGATAGATTGATTGATTGATTGATTGATTGATTGATTGATTGATTGATTGATTGATTGATTGATATACAGTCAACCGATAATGCATTCCGTCTACGGTTCATTCAGAGTTTTGTTTTCATATTAAATGAAAGAGTGGCCTATGCGGTGGCGCCGGTGGGTCCCACTTTGAGGTGTTCTCATGCTTAGTTTATATAATCATTAAAGGTTTAATCTAACTGTCTAGAGGGACGGCGTGAGTAAGCTTCTTTTGTAATTAGTGACAGATCTTATCCCTTGTCTCTGAAAGGCCGATCAGCGCTAATCCAGGACAACATTACAGAAATCCACGGTTGCATTCAGATTTCTATAGAATTTTTAGAGTGTCATTTGTGTTATCATACCTGGATCTCAGAATAAAGGCTCAAGAACATTTTATAAGCTACAGTTATATGTTTCTAGACAAGAGAACTGCGCTTCAGCAACATTTGGCTCTGCTGGGCCTAGCTGCACTATTGTGATAAAACCGGCAGATTGAGGGCGGGGATCATTCCTTAGGGAAGTTGTTCTGAAACCAATACAAAATTTGGCTGGCGCGTAGAAAGGTGACGTGTTATGATAAAGAAAGCTGCAAGTACTCTGTCTGGAGGATTAGTGAAAGAAAACTGACAAATAAGTGCTTAATCACTTTCGCTAAAGTTTATTTATGCGTTTCAGTTTAAATAAGAAGGGGACGAATGGAAAACGAAAACGTTAAACGATTTACACCTGGCCAAGGTTGTTCAAACGTTGGATAGCGCTATCCACCGGATAAATCGCTATCCAGCGGATAAGTATTAGGGAAACCAATTACGCCATCCATTGGATAGAGATTTATCCAATGGATAGCACTATCCACCTTTTGAACAACTGGGGCCAGTTCTTTTTCCTGCAAGTTTAGAAGGACGTTTACCCCCAAATCGGGCCCAAGGGCAATTTATATGCGTATAACCGTGGAATATATGTATGAAATCAGGGGGGGGATCCAGGATTTTTCTTAGGAGAGGGTACACCACTAAGAAATGGCGCAACTGACTGGTGCATCCTCCCCTTAGAATTGATTAAAACCCAGAATGAGCTAGCGGCCAACTCAAGCTTTTTCCCAACGGGAAGCTCCAAGGAAAAGCGTAACCGCAGCTAGACTTAAATATAAGATTAAGCCCACAAGAATTCGGATATTTTTAAAACCAAATACTTTTTTTTACACTAATGGGCCTTCAGTCCACACGAAACCAGCGAAGCAGGCACCGCCGGAAACCGCATGTGTTTTGAAACCGCTCTCCAGAGCAGTTTAAGGCTATGCGGTTTCAAAAATGTCTGGATTCGTGTGGATATGGCTTAAGACACGACTGCAAGCTAGTCCTAGCACAGGCAGACCACCCTCTGTTAGTGGGGGCCGTTGTTGATTGAAATCTGAGCAACGATCTTTTGTTAGAACAAATACATATGAACAATACGGTGGCTATAATTTGTTCCAAAATGCAGAATTTAAAGCAAATTTTTCAATAAAAGCTTGAAGAAAATGCTAACTGAGCCATGTGTCATGTTTTTTTCGCCGTCCCGTGCTGTTTTAAGCTCTATTTTGCGAGATCAATATTTGAATAACCGCCGAGGTCAAACCTCGCGATTCCGTTACACTGTCTTACTGGCATCAATGTTCAAGATACTAAAACTCCCTTTCTTAAAGCTCCCTTTCCCCTCCCTTTCAAACGCCTGCCACGCAGGCTAATCTCAATCAACAACGGCCCCCACTAACAGAGGGTGGTCTGCCTGTGGCCCTAGCTCGCAAGTGAAGGTATTCGAATGTGCGCTAATAGCCCTAATGTATAGTTAATAATTGCTCCATTAAAACTGAGTCAATATTTGAAATTTCATATATATGAATTGCGGATGAAAGATTTAACGCGTGAAAGAATATATGGGTTCGAGTCCCATTCAATCATGAGTTTATGGTTGCGCACAAAGTGCGATGATCTTTCACGTGTTCAGTTTTTCCTTCACAATTCAAATTTATGAATCGATATGAAATTTAATATTTTCACTTTCACTTCTTCATCCTTCACGTCATATTACGAATTCGTAAAGTGAGCAGCTCAGAGGTGGCTTCATAGCTCTGAGCACTGCTCTCGTATCACGGAGTAAAGCCTGAATCCTGCCTGTCTTAACCTTAGGAAGCGGGTTAAGAAGGATCGCAAAAGGATATGGAAACGTCAGCTTTTCAATCTTTTTACGATGATAAATCAGGCATTTTATTAACTCAGGTGGTACAACCAATTTGTTCTTGCTGCCTGATTTACAAAACCACGTTTTTTAGACACTATGGCAAGCCCCTTCATTCAATCGTGTTTTCACTCTGACCAATAAAATAAGGCCATAACGTATGCAAAATCCACAACACGGTTAAACAGTTGAACGCTTCGCCTAACGGTTAGGTATCAGTGTTGCTTTTTGGTGCGATCTTACCGTATCTGAAAAAACCTTCCAGACCAATCACGTCATAGAACGTTTATTTTGCGGGATGCCTATAAGCAAATGCTCTCAAATAATTTAATATGCTTAATATGTTAGTGACGCCCTTTCCACTCGAAAGTCGTTTAGTAGTTTGAAATGCAATAGCGACGGCGGGTTGAGAACATGCCCTATCGTGCCGCTTCTTAAACTGGTTTGCGAGACCTTCCGCCGTCATTATTCATAGATGTCAATGTCCGTTAACCCTTAGTTATCAATTTTCTTCTCTTGTAAGCCACTCTTATATTTATTTAATTAATTTCATTTTATGGTTAGCGTTGAAGTCAAATAAATTCAAGAATCGTCTATAGGCTGCTTTAAACCAACATCAAAGTTTAACCCTTTGAGAAAGAGAGTGGTAGGCAACCGTGGTTAAATATACAGTCATCTCGTTTCCGGTGGTGAGATTGTGGTCTAAGCCTGGAATATCGCAGCAAAAGTGCACAAGCAGAACAAACTGGTTTATCTGAAGCGTTTAATAATCCCGAGAGCACGCTACTCAAGATTTAAGTATAAGCAAGTACGTTAGTTATATTAATTAATGTAATATAACTTTGACTTACCCACGCCAATGAATTGTCAGGCTCTCTATCAATAGACTTTCGCTTTCTAAACTGATTTGGAGCGCCTTTGAAGAAGTGAATCCCGTTAACTCCATCGGTGATAAGTAGACTCATCAACAAGAGCGCATAAATATGTAGAGGTGTTTGCAACATCTTCACAGGATAAAACGATGCAACTGAGAGAAAAATATCACAAAAGGTCACCTCATAAGCAAACAACTTGTATGCTTTCAGGTGTGTCTTACACGATAGTACCCAAAACTTACCCAATAGTCAAGTGAAATTTTAAAAAAATCATGAAATAACAACGGTAAAAAAACAACAACACGTGCCACATGGATGTTACCCAGAGGTGTGACTAGATGCACATGCAGTAGCATGCACTGTAACCTGTTGGTGATAAAACGTTTAACCTTTTAAGTCCCAGATGTGACAAACATATATTTTCTCCTTACAATATCATTACATCATGAAGAGAAGAGGTTATGAGAATTAAAAGAAGTGATCACCAAAGAGAAAATGCTTTGATCATTCAGTTAAATTCTCTCAACCAATTCTTTAAGGAAATGTATATAGATCAGTCTGGAGAAATAACATGTGAACACTGAGACTTTAAGGTTTCGATAACGACATGACCTCAAATTAGAAAAGTTAAAACGGTAGCTCCTAATCCAGGTGCGTCTTTAATAAATTATAGCTGCTATTAAAATAATGGCCTGAGTCCATGGTCTCAAATCTCCCGGCTCCCTGTCCCGTAGGAAAGTTTTTCACGTGGTCTGCACAGGTTAGCTGGTCTTGTGAAGTCGATGGAAACTCGGGGTGAAAGGAAATCGCTTAAATCGCAATTGATCGGGAAAATAACCACACAGCAAGCAAAAACAAGTAAAGTAAATAAGGTAAGGTGTATTTTACTCAAAAAATTCTAGCGTGTCTTTATCTTCTTGAATCTTTTACCTGAATTTCCGTACAAATACTTTTATATTCACGGCCATGTTAAGGATTATGCAATACGAGACGATTAAACTCTCATGTGAGCTTGGGCTGCCTGTAGTCGATCAAGAAAGCAAGCAAGCCGACTGTTTCTTTGTGATATGGCTATGTCGCTGCCTAAGACCTACGCGAATGTACCTCTGCTTTACCTTGACCAGTTGTTGTAACAGGAAAATCACTATGAACCAGTTGGCTTGAAGTTTCTTGAAACAAGGTTGATCAAGAGTTGATTTAAGACCTTTTCGACTTCTTCTGCAAAACGGTCATTTCAGTTACTAGCAATGGAGTTTTGTTTGGTTTAGTACATTTATGAACGGTTTAAAATGGGATGGAATCTAGGCTTTGCATTCATTACTCTGGAAATAGCGAAGGGAATGAATTATAAATGAAATAAATCATATATATTTCGTTATAGTTCAAAACGCGTCCCAACTTCCTCAAAAAAAAAATCAATAATCAAAAATGGATATTCATTATCCTTTAAACCATGGTTTTACTGTCTAGACAAAAAGGCAAGACAAACAATTTAAGTAGAAAATATGCAATTCTAAGCTTCGAAAGAACGTCCTCCTATCCTCTATCACTAACAACTGTTACTAACTTCTTGAAAGGCATATTTTCCAGCCCCTGGGAATCGAACCTCTAGATAAGTGTAACGATATGATAAGTATTCTATCTGTTTCTTATATTTCTCAGAAGCTTCGGGTAATTCTAAGTTTCTGTGTCGTGACCATTTTAAAGGATCTATTTCTCAGTATTTTTATGAAACATTATATCTTTTATCTTTATCCTCTCTTGACAATGAAGCTAAAGCCACATGAGGAAAAAATACTGAGGAATTCATTGTATCGAATGGTAAACGCCATTATCAAACTGTATCGAAAACGCGGCGAGGGCGGAGAGGATCATACTGAAACGCGAGACTTTGATCCAAAGACGTTCAATTACCCTCCTGTTTTAATCGCTGCCTCTGTCTTTCCAAGGTCAAAAATGTCTTAATAGGGATGAACCTGTGAATAATATCATTGAGGATAAGTAGTTTGAGGGATTTGTAAAGAAGACTCCGCCGAATTGAATGGGATTTGGTTTCCGAGAAGATATATTCTGATTAACTTTTCCGTATAACAAATAATGGTGTAAGCCCAATGAGGGAAAAGTTTAACCCTAAACATGAACACCACATAAGGGACTGAATTGATAGATACGGAGTGTAATAACCGATAACAAGAGTATGGCTTTTGACAACTTGTCCCCCTTTATCCTTTATACAAGGTACCCATTACTGATTTTGATGATTTCAAACAAACCTCGATTATGTGGTTTTTTCACGTTAAGTTGGAATCAAATGTTATTCCCAAGTGCCTAGGAGAGTCTACTTGTTCGCTAAATGCATCGTTTCTGTCAGTGAGTATATTCTTATCGTTCGATCACCTTTGTAAGTTTCAAGTTCTCTTTACCCGGTCCGTCAATGTGGCACTATATTTACTTGATTATGGGGCGCAATAAGAACAGATGAGCAAAACCAAGCAAAAAACTTGATAGAAATAGGCTCATGGATGATGCAAAAGCCACTGGGCCTGAGAACTTTGCTTTCATGCAAAAAATTAACTCACACCCAGTGCACCTCTTTAGACTTCGGTACATTTAATATGCTCGCATTTTTTCGAGCAGTTTAGTGAGGCAACAGCATTAAGCATTATTTGAGCATTTTAATGGAATTTCCCGGAAAATTATTATATTTTTCGGAGAAAATAAAAACAAAAAAAATTAAGAAAAAACAAATACTTAACGTTGAAATTCCGAAAACAAAATTCGAATGCCACCCTAAAACAACCGTTTACGGAGGACTATTTTTTTTTCTGTATTAAAACCATGAATACATTGTTGCTTTTCGAATACAACTCAATCGTGTTTTTTTTTTCACGTTGAAATAAAGAAGAAAAAGCCTCTGTATGATGGGCATTATCGAGCATTTTAGTGATTTTGGGGGGTAGACCGAGCATTTTAGTAGACATATAGAGCATTTTAGAGGCGAAAAAAAGCATATTGTACAAATTAAAAAAGGTCTACACCTCTGACATTCACTACGTTACCTCTACGAGCCTTGAAGGGGCTGTATAATGTAAAGCTCTCTTTTATCTAACTGCATATACTCTTCACAAGAGTCTACAATATTGATAGAATTATTAGAAGAACATAAACAACAACCATGACCAAAATGACCAGCCTACGAGTTACGGGCCTACAAGAAGGCCTCGATAGACAAAAAAATCAGACAACGGTTTCTTCGTTAAGCTAGAAAAAATGATTTTTCTTCTTCATTTGACGTCTGTTAACCATAAGGCAGAGAAATCAACCGTTAGCCGTGAGAACAGCCGTAACTTTCGCGCAATAACTCGATTGGAAACGCTTGCTACGGAGGCTACCGTGAGAGAAGCCAAAATATTAAGCCGTAACCGTAAATAACTCCAACCCACTGAGAATCCCACGCAACAGTTCAAAAATCGAGTAAAGGTAAGATTTGAACACACGTACATCTGCTAGGCTGATCGTACTATGCAAAAGAGAATTCTTGGGCTACAACATCGTTCTGTTAAGGTTTTATTGCTGTCGTGTCTCTGTGTTTTTTTTTTGTTGTTGTTGTCGTTTGTTTGTTTGTTTTTTTTTCCAACGTTTTTTTTTCCTGATCAGATTTCTTGTAGATACTACGTTCTTCGACAGATTCGTCTGTGGTCCTTTGCAGCTGGTGTTGTAAATTAAATATGAGATAATGATTTATCAATCAGCAGCTGTAAGTACAATGTATGATCTCAAGCAAGGATAAGCTCTTGATGATTGTTGTTTCTTCCTCCTTTCTCTACGAATATGCAACTAGCTGGAATTTGATCGCTTAACTCAAATCATATGGATAGCAAATTAGCCTTATAGCACCGTCGTTTCCATAATGCAAAGCGTAAGAGCTTTAGAATGGGCTCGTGGTTTTTTGATCTAATGTACAACAGCTTGTTTATTTTCATTTTTTTTAACCCCTCAAAGAAATAAATATGCTGTATTATAAAAGTGATGGTTGTGGCTTTGCGGAACTGAAAGAAGGATGTTGAGGTATTTTTAAAATAAAGCAGCTTTAGTCCGACTCTACCAAATCTTTAAAAAAACAAATGGTAAATATTCAAGGAATTTTTCTGTAGTCAAATAAGAATCGAGGACCTTTCCAATACCGCCGATGAAAGCAAGAGCTCTTGATGAATGATAAGGACCTCTCGAGGGGTTTTTATAATATCAGGCGTAAATATCCAAGGACAGACTCTGGAACTTCAGCTCGAAAGCATTGGAATGACAAAAGACTTTTTGAACACGATCGAAAGTGAATATAGAATCATTCTGAAAAAGAATTGCCTTGCGGGACACTTCAGCGCCGTGAGTACGTAGAATTCAATCGAATTGTGAAACAGAATTCATCAGGCAAGACTGCAAGGAGGCAAGATTGCAAGGCTCGTGTCGGGATCTTAACTTGAAAGACAGTACCGCAGGGGAAGTCGTTGCCAGTTAATTGTTAATTGAATTAGTCGTAGTTAATTATCTTATCGGAAGAGGCACGTGGCTTCAACACTAGTCACAAATCGTTAGTTTTTAAACAGACACCATGGTTGTGTTCCATTTACATGGGCAAACCAGTCGGTCCAAGGCCTGGGCAAATGGTACGCAAAATTCACGACCGTGGTGAATTTCGTCCCGGAATCACGTTTACCATTAATAATTTTGTACAAATCAGATCCATTTACCGGAAAACGACCGCGAAGGCCTGAAACCGGTATTAAAGTTGACTTTGAAGAAATGGAACACTAATTTCCGTTTGGAATATTCCGCCCGGAAAAACAGGACTACCTTTTCAGATGTTTCGTTGCTCCTGCAAATTTTCCGCTGGAACGATCCAAAAAGTCGTGGTCCATTCACTTTCCAACCGGATTTCCCGGACAATTTTGGTGAATGGTAAACAACCCATTTCTCTTGACTCTTCTTGAAAATTTCTTACATTCATTCTTCAACTCCTTTGTTCTCACTGAAGTGTGACTCTATTCTTCCCCAATGTTGCGCTACTTTGGAGCAATGAGACGACTGTGATACCCAAATCACCATTGAGGAATGGCACACGAGTGTTTTATTTTTTACTAGTATTGTAACCTGCGAATACAAGCCGTCTCTCCGGCTCGCTGAGACAGCTGTATTGGCAAGCTAGCCACGTGGCTTTAACTGATATTTCGGCACTCTATGAAAATCGAAAATGGAAGCGCGTGGCGTCCATTTGGATTTTGAAACAAAATTATAAAACCTGATTCAGTATAGCTTGTGGTATACTTTGTATTCCTCGAGCCCGAATGGGCTCTGAGTCAATAGCCCATGTGGCCGAAGGCCGAATGGGCTATTGACTCAGAGGCCATGAGGTCGAGAGGAATAATTGTTTTAGTAAAATCCAACTAGTTGGTCAAAAATATCGAGACAAAGCAACTTTAGCTAGCAAAACGCGATTCAGCCGCCATTATTTTGGTTCTCAAAGCCGGCGCTTTTCGCTACTAGTGGGCTATAACATATAGCCTAGTAGTCGCTCAACCAATCAGAACGCAGCATTGATAATAGACCACTAGTTGGCTTTTTAAGTATACGACAACTTAAAAGAACGGATCACAGTAAAATAAAAATCTTTTAAATGAACACAGTCAATAACTTAAAAAAAAAACAGAGGGCGGAACAGTTAGAATATTTCTCTTTAAAGGGATGAAAGACTCCCGCGGACCGCAAGAGAATTTCGCCCATTCAAAATACTTAATCGCTTCCTAAGCCGTTATTTTGTATCTGCAAGAAGAAGCAATTTACTTTTAAGATTTTAAACATGGTAGACTTAACCGACTTACCACAGCGAGACATGATTTCTTGACCTGAATTTTAATTTTAGTCATGATGGTCGCTGGAATAATTTACTGTTGTAACCCAAAATCGTTAGCTTGTAGTTTTAATTTAGAAGCTAAGTCGGGCCGCCAAAACGAGTATTTTTATTCATTATTAAGAGATTTTTATTAGTTGTATTAATCACAAAGGTAATCAAATTCAGTGTTTTTGTTGCAAGAAGTATGATTACCAGATATTTTATTACGACAAAAGCTTCTTTGTGGAAATTAAGATTGTTATTTTTTGAGTGTTTGGGAGATATTTTTAAGGGTTATAATATCTTTAAGCCTCTCGTTTTGTTTAAACGGTCCAGGAGAATTACGACTTCCTATAAAGCTTTCCCGAAACGAGAGAAACCATAGATAGCCCACCGTCATTATTTTCAACTGTTTCAAATTTATTGGATGCCATTCCTCTATTACTAAATTTTGATGTGAAATAAATTATTTGAAATTTAAACCTCATTACTTGCCAGTTTCTGTTCAAAGTTGCCGCAAAGCGGTGAAACGCGACCAAATATTGTCAGCTATTCGATTTCCATGACTTTGAATGTAAGACCGCCGACAAGGGAACACCGAGATTTATTGACCGTGTAATCAGTAGAATAAAAATGCGTGGTTGTTTAATTTAAGACGTTAGGCAAATATCATTAAGCTTTTATCACAGATTTTTCATTTGTACACGAGTTGTCTGCCCGAGCGAAAGCTTTCGTTACAGGAGACTATCATATCAACTGAGTAGCCCGCCAAAAACTTTCAAAGAGTAACGGAAACCTGTACGTCCCATGGTTAAGAACAGTATCGTCAGCAACAAACTGGAAAATATCACATTTTACAAATACAAGACACAAGTTTTTCATGCTATCACGTGGATTCCTTTTAAGTTCAAGGTTACCTTGCAGTCGGCGCTGTAGCAATCTTCCACGTTAATACAAAGGGTGTCGTTGTTCGCGTTTGTCCGCCTGGCAATCTAAATTATTGAATTTCCCTCTCTCGCTTAATAAACAATCAGGAATGGGCTGTGATTGGTAGATGCCGATCGTATCCGAAAAGATCACACTTGTCATATCTTCACGATGAGTCCTTATCTTTGCAATGTTACTTTCCAGTTGAGAGGAAATTAAAACTAATTAGAACTTTTGATGAGCGTAAGAGAATATTTGCAGGGATTTTAAGAAAATTTGTGATCTTAGTTTTAAAATTCTTTTGCCCCATAGTCTTGACGTTCAGATTTTCGTCTGTTATTTGCCGGCATTGACTATTCAAAACTCTTGACTGGACAAGGTCACGATCTGGGTAACTTAAACACCCGTTCACGCAAGCTAATAGCACTGTCACAATTACCTTACTTATTAATGAAAACATCACTGACAGACAATCTTATCTCACCAAAACCACGATAGTAACAGTATAACAGATAACGTTAAAAGCCACTCATCGTGGAAAGAACTTAAAGTGTACCGAAATCAGTGCATAAAAAATACGCAGAGAATAATTCTCGTATCATGATGTTATGCTTTTATCGGTCCAGATGTATTACACGTATTTTTTCGGTTTTTGTACACTTTATATATGTTGATTGAATTTTAATGAAGATAACCGGAAATTCTTTACGGTCTGAGAGGTGACCTTTTCGTGCAAGACTCTTGCCAAGAACAGTGAAAGCAAATATGTATCGGTCACATTGGTTAACTCTGGTCAACACAAAGTGTACTAAGCCTACTTACTTTAAATAATTTTATTCACGAAAAATAAAATTTAAAAAAAATTTTAAAAATGCTGACACGTAAATGATCTCCCCAGTTTACGATGAAATCTGCTGAACCAGAACTTAGGATCATATAAAGGATCGAAAGTTTTACCGGAAAAGAATTTGACAAATTAGGGGCTGACTAAACATTTCAAGTTCGAAATTCCAGCCTGGCATCATTTTCCCCTTTGGATAAAAGAATTTGTCAACGCGGTCCGGGGGGTACTCCCTAATGACTAAACGTTTTGGTCATAAATTGGGTATCGAATTTTGGTCATAAATTAACGATTTTTGCACTGTAGTCTTGAATGGCACCTTTTTAGAAGAAGCTACTTCCTTATCGTGTCCCCTAACCTAATTTTAACATTGGTCTGAACTTTGGATATTAATTTAAGGGTCAGGTCTTAAATAGGGTATCTTTTCAGTACAGGTCATAAACGGGTAACGAAAAAGATTTTGGTCATAAATAGGGTAAGGGTTTTGGGAAAGAATAAAGTAACATAAAATGAAAGAATAAAGACATCTGAATAAAGCGATTAAAATTATCCAGATTTTTTCTAAGGTTTTTCGTTGGATAAAGTAACTGCATCGATGTCCGTTGACTCCGCATGGGAATCAAAGCTGTGCCTTTCAATTCATTACTGTTATTGAAGCTTTATTTTTCTCTAATTAATGAAAATTCTTACGGCCTTTTTGACAAGCATTTCTTATCAGTGTTTTATCGCTCTGAAAGGTCCGACTTGGCTTCATTTTTTTAATCACTGACAATTCTGTGCCCTTATATCGAAAAATGAATAACAAGTAGATTCAAGAACCGCAGCATTTCTTAAGCCGCGAGGTGCACAGAAACCATGTCTTTTTGAGGAAATCCTTTGGAACACAAGGGAGGGTTACAAAACCTCCTAAGGGTAGTTGTAAATAAGCTCTCAGCCCCCGCACCCTCCCTCCCCTATTTCCAAACAAACTCTCCTAAAACGCGCACCAAGTGTTTCATAAGCTCTAAATAACTGGTACGATCACGTAGGAGAATCAGGGGGGTGGGAGACCAGCAGAATAGGGGACGAAGGGGTAAGGGAGGTGGGAGAGGAAAGGACGGAAGGTGGGAGCCCCAAAAGAGTGGGAAGCGGGTAAAATAGGGGGAATTACGCAACCGATATTTCGCATCTCAAGACAGGGCTAAAGGGAGGAAACCATGAAAAAAGGGGCGGAGATGCGATAAGGGAGGCGGGTTTGGACTCCCCTGCCCCCTCCTCTCCCCTATTATGCCAAGATAGTGACATGATATACACATTTATCAAGAGCATTGAATAAATAACCCTGCTTGGCGAGCATCGGGCCAACAATGAACCGTAGCTACAATCAGACGTAGGGCCCGCTAAGGGAATCTACTATACCAAGTTTGAAAAAAAAATTCTGGCAGGCTGTGTTTAGTAAGGATACGGTACTGTACCAAACACATTACACTACAGTATCGAACCGTACTTACAAGCTCAAACCTTGGACTGTTAACCATCTGGCCTTTCTATTCATTGTTGGCCTTTCATCTCGATTTCAGCTATTATCATAGTAAACGCTTTTCAGTCTATCTTTATTTTCAAAAAAAGATAACTTATGGACATTAATAGTTTGCAATATAATTTGCTTACGTGATATTGGGCAGTTTAGATGGGTCAAGTCCTCAATCCTCGACATGAGCTTAGTACGGCTAAAACAACAAGTCAACAATGATTATGTACCATCCAGATCAACCAAATGCACTGTGACGTATTCAGAAGATGAAAACGTGCTTCCTCGTTTGCGGGGCCGCCGAGCTGACATGAACGAAGAACGATGTTAGTTTTAATTTTTTCAGTAATCTTTAAGTGAATTTTGCGATGCCTGATACTCAAGTGGAACCTCATCAGAAGTTCTTTCACTTTTTGCTACCTACAACGATGGTACAGCCGAGCTCTTAACTTACCTTGAGGACTATAAAGATCTAGACAATCGGAGGTTAAACATCAGCAGTTCCTTTGGTGGACTGTCCAATACTTCAAGTTTACCAAAGCCGCCGCGCGCGTCTCTAATTATTGCCAGGTGTACAGAGCTGTTGTCATCGCCACAATCCTGTATCGCAGGCAAATTTTCGACTACTTGAACGTTGTCATTAACCCTGCTTGCGGACAATTCTTGAAATTAAATAACTAACCAAGTTGCTCTTGAAACAGCCCAACTGCATAGCATTGAATCAACTTGTTCCATCTACGGTTGAGTTAAGCTGATCGCATGAAAAGAATAGAGGCCATGGGTTTTAGGTGAAGGCCGATAAACTCAAAACTCGAGGTGCCCCAGGGCAAGCTAAAGGCAATATGAATTTACTGTGAATCGTGGAATCATTTGACTATCATCACACTGGGGATGACTTGGTCAACACTTAAGACCTGCTGAGCAACAAGACCAAATGAAACTTTGAAACATTTCCTAATCCGAAAAATAAAGTAAAGCTACTTCAATTCACAGTAAATCCATTAAGCAGTACCCTGGGGGCTTACTTACTTCATCGTCGTACTTCAAGGACGTTCGAGGGAGTTATTTAATTAAGCAAAACGGAGCACTATATAATAACGCTTTCTCAAACACTGAACCAGAAGATGGCATCAATTGTCCAAAAAGAACTAGAACCGACGCTAAGTGGAAAAGCTCAAGCGCATGAAGTTAGAAGTTATCCGGGGGGGACGCGAGGGAAGTCTGGGTAGAGGTTCGCCGCCGAGGCTTTCAATCCCAGACCCTGCTTAAGACAAAAATCGTTCATTTCGCTACCCTGTTCAAGTCAAGAGACTTCACTTTATGATCCCAACTGATTCGTTTCCTTTTGCATACAGAATTGATACATCATGAAATTTGATTTTATGAAAAACTAATATTAGCACCGGCACAAATGTAGACCGTTCATAGCTGCTCTTCACAAATTGAGCTAGTCTGAAATCAGTGTCAGCCGTCTCCACGCCCCCCTTAAACTATGGGAGGCGCGGGGCAGAGAGACGTCTGAATTCTGAGGGTCTTTCAGTCCCCCAACCCCTTCGCCCACTGGTTAGCGGGTGGAGTTGGCTGACATTTCAGACTAAAATTGACCCAATGAATTTAAAATGAATTCAACAACGTTGTTTCATAACTCAGGGAGGGCAACTGACAACTGAGCGTAAACTGGTCAACGAACAGAAATGGTATGTTATATTCACGAATAAAGTCAACCGGTGACATTTTCTTTAGGAAATCGAATTCACTTAAAATTTGTGTGATATCAAACGTCATTGTTCAACTGACTTCGATTAAGTCCACGTTAACTTGATTTTAAGCTTCGTTTACGTTCTGTTTCGAGGCATTCAAGATGATAATCCGAGATTTAACACAAGTACCAGGTTGAGAAATCTAAATAGAGATCCTTGGAAAGCTGGCCTTACCTGCGTGCGCGTTTACCAGAAATTTTAGGCGTAAACCGGGCCTCTGGCGCGAAATGAAACTTTTCTTGAGCCCTTTAAATCTTCAAAATAATCTCAAGCAGCTGTAGAAACACAGTTACAGGGAGACCACTTATGGGCAGAGAATGCATGGACCGAAAATATTTACCATCCGCATGCGGAAAAGGGCACAAGGATTATATCTTTGATGCTAAAGAAAAAAAGGATACCCAGTACTTTTAAAAAACTGTAGACTAGTGACTCTACCTGAGGGTTGCAGTTGTCGCTAATGAGACGCACTTTCACCAGCTGTACGACTCGTGCGAATTGTTCCACTTGACAGGGGCCGCCTCTCGATAACTTTGCTCACAAATTCTAAGTGTCTCTGATGAGGCGTGATGCTATTTCACCAGTTGTACGATTCGAACGAACCGCACCACTTGACAGGACCACCTCTCTACACTTATCCAGTTGTCTAATGAGACGGACACAGTAATTTTGAGGGAGTTATTATACCCCAAAAATGAAGTAAAAATTTCAGGTACAGGATAACCCTTTTATGGGTTATTTTAACTCCTGATTTAACTCCAAAATTGGGGCCATATTTACTCCTGAAAAAGAGTTCTTTCAACTCCCAGTCTGGAGTAACTCCGAAAATGAGGTTATTTTTACTCCTTACATGGGTTGTTTTTACTCTCTTTGGAGTTACTTTAACTCTGGAAGTGGGGTAAGAATTTTTAGGTACAGAATAACTCCTTTTTGGGGGTTATTTTAACTCTTCAATATCTGGGGTCACTTTTACTCCTGAAAATGAGTTCTGTAAACTCCTTTTTTGGAGTTAAAATAACTCCCTCAAAAAATAACTCCTCTGTAAGGAGTTAAATTAACCACACTATAGGAGTTATTATAACTCCTTGAAAATTACTCTGCAGCAAAGTTATTTCACTCAAACGTATACCGCATTCACAGCTTGATGGACCAATCGCACAACTTAACGACTCATAACACTTGATTCTTAGATTTTACGACTTGAATAAGTGGTGAGTATCGGACATGTGTGGACCTTAAGCAAGATTATAAAATTGCGACAAAAACCATTGCTCACCGGTTGGAAAAGGTGTTGGAACATGATTCAGTTCATCCAACTCAAACAGATTACCAGTGGATTACCACCTAAAAAAAACCTACGTTACTGTCTCAATGCTGATGCTGAAGCGCTTCTTCACAAAGTCAAATTCGAAGACAAGAAGATCTGGTTGATAGTGAACAAACCGAGTGCATGTTCAGTTCTACTGTGAGCTTATTAGGCAACCACAACGACGATGGCTACGAAGAAAACGTCACTTACAAAGTGAATTCACGCTGTTTCAAACTTTATTGCTCTTCTTTCTTCTCGTTCAATTTGTCAAATGTTTGCGAATTTTGGCTGGATTCTAATTCTAAGGGACTGTATCTAAGTTAGAAAAAGTCATATAATGATTCTTCAGTTCACGTCCTCCAGAATACCATAAACCAGGAAGTACACGCCACAATCGTGCAATGACGGTAAAGAAATGTACAAAAAAGCGTGCTGCGCGTGTAAAGTCGTCTATTGGTTTTTAGCAGTTCTCGTTGTAGTCGCCGTCTTGGGTGCTTAAAGGTGATGTTACACGGGACGATTCGCAATGCCGTTTTTTAGCACAACACAGCGTTGCAGCATTGTTGCGACATTGTTTCGAATTGTTACAACTGATTGTTTCAACATTGCAACGCTGTGTTGCGTCAAGAATCGTCATTGCGAATCGTTCCGGGTAAAATCACAGCAACTCTGCAGGTGCATCTTTGCCGTTCCTGCACGACTACGAAGTGAAATGACCAAATTTTAAGTTTTTTTGAGGACGGGAACGGCAAGGAGATAAATTTAACCATCTCTGTCTGAACTCAGGAGCGGCCCCCTCTCTTCAGCACCAACAGAAATTCCCTTCTTTTAAGTAGCTGGGCGACTTGGGAAAATCAAAAGTAGACAGCAAAACGGTCGGTTTTTTTTTTCTCAAACTGAATCAGTAGGGAAATCTCGCTCTCTGTTTTCAGCCTCGTTCCAAACCTTTTTTTGACTGCTCGCGTGTACTTGAATATACGCAAAAATACGTTTTCAGTGAGGTTTTATGGACGTCGCCGTTGTCGGATCGTAAGGCCCCTACTTGGGAGTTTTGTAACGACGACGGCGACGGCAAGGAGAACGTCAAAAAAGCAATAGGTTTATCAAGCAAAACATCCAGTTTGCACGTACATCGCCGTTGACGTTTTGGCTGCCGTCGCCGTCATCGATCCTAAAACTCCCTACTGCAGTATACTTCTCAGAGAGCTGAACAATGAAGGACATACTTTAGAAAAGATTACATAGCACCAGTAAACTTCGGAACGTGTGCACTCCGAGCAGCGTAGCCAACTCACAAAAAGGCAACCCTATCGAAATTCACCACCAATGTCGAATGTCATCTGAGTGAGGAGAATTCGATTTGCAGGACAATCGAAGACGAGATCACGTACAGAGCAATACATTTTGGGGGCGATTAAACAGGGACGAAGATCTCCACCCATGCAGGCAGAGCAGCGGAGGACTGCGTCCTTGAAGCTAGAAAAACGATATAGCAGAAAAAAGAAATAGAACTATGTACACCATTTACAAATAACGGTTGATCACGTTTACTGAGGCCAAGACGCTTTTGGTTTGCGCGTCCTCTTGAGAGAATCACGTCCATTCTTAGCTCTTTCAACAGGAATGAGCGGCATATCAATAGATTGCTGTAGATATGGTTGTGGTTAGGAACGTGTTTTACAACCGCTGTATGGATATGATTACAAGTATATAGACTTGAGTATTGGTCGTCCCTGTTCATTAAAACAGTCTTGATGGCGACCTTTAGTAAAATAGAAGACCACAGCGGTTTTAGAATACTTCAGTTCTTCGTCACTGATCCATGTCTTTATAAGGATTGACGTGAATTTTGAAACAGCACGCGCGAAATAAACGTGATAACCTGCTAACCTATCTGTTTATAGTAATAAGCTATTATTTGTTTTTCTGTTATAAGTAGCCCCACCATACCGCGTCATATTATATGTAACATTCCGATCATTGTCTCACCATATGTATGCTGTACATATTTCTTTTATGATTTGTTCTCAGTAATAATTTAACTAATGCATAGAGTTACTGGCGAGTGGAAATATCGCAACTGGTTGTTTTTACCTGAGTCTTTTTAAAATTGACTCCAATGACTCCATGGTCACGATTTGACGTCGAGCAAGGTTGGTGACTCGTTTTTACAGTGGTTTTTTACTTTAAAATTGCACGAGTTACGTGTACGTTCTTCACCTTATGGGAACAAAGGTTTATGGAAGCTACAAACTAAAAAGAGGTAATCTCTTTTAACCCCTCAAGCTTTTAATTACCTCCTTTTCACATTTCTTGAATTGTAAATAACAGTTATCAGTTGCTATGACTATTTATTTTTTAGAAAATTCAGGTTTGACCTTTCTAATTGACATTAACCTAGATGAATAAAGAACGAATTTACTTTACACTTGCTAAATTTTTTAACTTCTTAGTGCAGCTTTTATTTTCGTCTAATTCTTTGAACTCATTCACGAAATGCTTCAGTCTACAAACCTAAGAGGATCATGCGAACGTGCAACCTGATCTAAGGCAAAACGAGAACACTAAGAGGAAAATATTTGGCAAGTTTTTCAATTTGCGTAAAAAGGCTTGAGCAGGGACCAAAGAGGACTCAAAAAAGTGGCTGGCAAAGTTTGGAGAAGAGTTCTACTCTAAACACTAAAATTCAGCGGAAAAAAGGCAAAGAACTGTAAAAAAATAACAACTCAGTCAACATGAATGAACACGGAAAGAATTCAAGCCGAAAAATGAATACTCAAAGACCCAATTGGACTATGCAGGTAGTAAGTGAATTTGCAGTTGTACTCGCTAACTTTACATTACTCGCCAAATGGCGCTAGACTAAAACTAAGGATTTTTCACGTCACGCCTTCTCAACCACTGAACTTATTTCACTTTTCCCGAGTGTACTCCTTCTCTCCTTCCCCAATGTTGAGATTCGCGTGTATTTGCCAATGGTTGATAAGTGAACATTGGGGAGGGCATAACGTGACAAGTGTTACTACAAATGTGGCGAGAGCACAGCGCGAATCAGCTGAGATCCGGCATGCAGCGCTGCGGATGAAAAAAATTTCAAGCGGTATACCCTTTCCGGTCACGTTTTTAAAATAAGAACAGGGTCAATTTTGTTAAACATGAATCAAAACAGAAACTTGACAGTATTTTAAACATGTATGAAAGATTTCCCTTTTCTACGTCCCTTTAAATAAAGAGGACTCGAATTAGTCTTGTCAATTATCCGGGCAGTTTTCAAAACACAGGTTAATACTCAAGACTACTTGAGTTTATCAATCGCTTTTTCGTTATGTCAGAGCTATTTTAACGGATAAAATTCAAGAAACTTCGATGCTAGATAAAAATGTTAGGAATTTAAAGCCGTTGAAATACCCTGGCACCACAACGTCGGCTAGTTTCACTCTCAGCCAATATTGTAGCAATAGAACACAATACCTGGTCTAGACAAGATGAAATGGATTCCTTTTTGGCGGAAATAGCGCAACAGCTCTATCCTCTTTGCGGTTAAGTTGAATAAACAGAACGATTATGAAGTGCATAAATTAGCTTCCTCCTTGAGCATTGGAGTGGAAAAGCTGTAAAAAGAGGTTTACTAATACGAGCCCATATTATACCTCCCAGATTCATGGACAGCTTTCAGTAGCTTTGTCAAAACCTAGTATTTACCTTTGATACCAAACTTTGGAAAAATAGGAAATTTTCAACAGTCTAGTTCGTAATAAGCAGTAGCAAATGTACATGATCAAACTGCATTACAGAGAGTCTTTGATCGCCATTTCGCGTTCATGTAGTATTTTTATTTATTAACTATGGAATATATTAACTTTATACCTTTTTTGCGCAGCCTGAGCTTCGAATCAGCTCCAGATACGGTTTTTTCTTCTTACCTTAAATTAAGAAGCGGAACTGTAGTAAAGTTAAGGCCTTTCTGAAAACCACAATTCTCGTAAACCCTCATTCGTGCATTTAGTATTCACTCGCGTAACTTTGTTCTGTAAGTTTTCAGGCGATATATGTAATTAGGAAACCCATTGTAAGGAATGAACAGGAGCCATTTAGGGGTCCTGAAATAAATTATTTACGTTTACAAACCAGTCAGAGAAAAATATCGAGAGGGCTTCGGACAAAAACTTGCCATCTCCGCAGCTCACTAAATTTCAAACTGTTACTCCCAGCATCTTATTTAGTTTGTTAAAATTTCCACTGTATAATTAAGGGTTTGAGACTGATTTGAGACTGATGTGGTTAGATCCCCGTGGGGGAGGGGGGAGGGAGGTACTGAACAAATGTTTATACGTTTAAACCCTAACCGTGACAAGAATAGAACGTTTTCTCGACTTTAGTAAAGCCATAAAATTCATCTGTTCGCCCAAATGACAGATTTTCCCACCCTTTTAAGTACTTCTACTAGGAAATCGCTACCCCTTCATATACCTGAAGCCTGAAAAAGATACCCCTTTCGGGCGGAGCCTCCCCGTATAGGCCATTATAGGGAGTAGGGGGGGGGGAGATTTAATGCAAATACGTGCAGGCTGAAAATGAACGGTCCTTAAAATACGCTACAGGAGGCGTAGCCGAATGGGGATTCATAATGCAAATAACGTGATGGTACATCTTCAGGCTAATAATAATAATAATAATGAACGGTCCTTAAAAGGCGCTTTACAATCGCTAAAACAACATTATTGAAAAATATTTATAAATTTACGACCATATCCTAATATATAGCAATGGAATGGGAAAAATTGAAACTAAAACAACTATTAAACCATATTCATAATGATAAAAAAGGAAAAAATTAAAACTAACGCAATATATTAAAAACATCCGTTATCACAGAATTTAGTAAACAGCGTCTTAAGTGATCTTTTAAAACTCGAGATGGTTGGACGTGATGTTCCATCTTTGCATGAACAGCCTTTTGATATAGGTCTTGGTATACGATCTAGGTTGCATTAAAAGTTCATTACTAACAGACCTCAATGATCTAGAATGAGGACGATAATGAGCTAAATAGCTAGGCGATGTCCCATTTGATTTTACCAGAAAAATAACGATAAATCGGTAATAGCAAAACGTTTACAAAAAAAGATGTTTTATGTACAAACATTGCAAGATGTTCTTACCGAAAAATAACGAAAGCAATAGCAAAACGTTTACAAAAAAAGATGTTTTATGTACAAACAGAGACGTAACCAAATCAGAATAAGCTTTAAAAGGGAAGATAATACTTGTAAAGTTAAAATTACTCTTTTAACTAAGTTCATAAATTAGCTGCTAAACTGAAAGGAAGGCATTTCCCATGCCGGAAAATCGTGTCTTATAGCGATTCCAATCGGCCATGATTTGCCTCCAGAATAATCGCTCAAAGCTTGATATTTACCAAGAAGTTCTGTTGATTGAATGTTATTGTAATGTAAGAAAATAACGACAGCAAAAATGAAAGCTCCACGCTTAAGGACTTGATGGACCGACATAATGATATTCAAGAATATTGGATTCTGCTTGTCAGTTGTTCACCGAAATGTTTTTTTCTTTTCCAGCTTTCTGAGTAAAAGAATTAAAATATGAGTCATTGTTTTGATGGTTGGGCCCCTTAGCTTTCTTTCAAAAGCACCTCGACCTCATGACATTAGTACTTCGTTATTCGTTGTTCTGTGTAGAAGTTCTATTGAAAAAATAAATTAACAGTACCTCTAAAACTTCAAATGACAGGTTAAGAAATATCGCCTCAGGGTCAGGGATTGTGTGAAATGTCAGGTGCTCCTCTTCCTTTCCCCTCCGGGGAGGTAACAGGTTGAACAAAAAGTCGTGACGTCACCAGCGTGTTGTGTTGGTAGTTCATTCCAAAGTGAATTGTTTTATAGGTTCGGCTGATTCGCATTGAAAGACTTGGGAATTTTTGTTCACGTGAAAACGTTTTACAGCGTAATAGATGTGTCTCCAGCTATTCAAGCCTTAATTTATGGTGGAATGCAGCCAAACAGTTTGTAAATGAGAAAATTACCGGATGGTGGCCGAAACGAAAATGGCGCCGGTGATTTACATGGAGCAGGTCTAATGGTACTAGGCAACGATGTCTATCATGGATGTGATTTACCTTCCACGAGGCGCTGTTTTGTGTATTTTGCTTCGTAGTTAGCTGTTGAAGACACATAATGAGTGTTAAGGCACTACTAGTTTCGTGGTTTTGCTAGCGATCGCTCCCTCCGAAGAACTATTGTAGGCTTTATTCCACGGGTGTGTAAATGTACGTGATTCATTGAGGGAAATTGTGTCATCGGAAATTTGAAATGAGCTCTGCAAAGTTGAAAGGCAGTGACAAGTCTTCAGGTACGTTAGTATTGCTTACTGTTTTGAAATTTATCGGCTATTCACGCTAGTTCTTGACTGAATAGTATGGTCACAACTTTCCTCAGTGGCAAATTGGAAAAAAAACTACGGCGAGGTTTATAGATAGTATGGGCGATGTATATTTAGCCCGTCAGATAAGATTAACTCAGTGATGTCGTGTTACCAGCAAAATAGAAGTTATGTAGGGCTTCGTGTGCCAGTCTTCCTTTGGTTTTCCCAGAAAATGAAATCATACCATTATCAGTAGTTACTCAGTTTCCTCAGTTTCTTGCTATAAATATACACCGCGAGTGTGTTGTCTTCAAGAACATACTCATTAAACGAGCCGCACATGTACACGTTAAATCGAATACACATTACATTTAGACTAAATTGGTTTCCGTAAAAAAAACGTAATCAGACCATTTGGTCAAGTAATGTGTTTTATTATTCAGTTGTAACCGTTGGCGGTAATATGAATAGAAGATTTCGCATTTAAAAGGTTTCAACGATTTAAACGCTCAATGCGAATTGCGACTTTTACCCACCAAATTACCCTTCCATTTGAGTGCAATATTTGTTGTTGTATGATTAACATTTAAGAGTACATTTACAGCCATTTATAAGGGTGAAAAAAAAATTGACACCAAGACACAAGGATAACGGTTTTCTTGCCATGAAATGACGAAGGAAATCAGTGGATAATTTTTGTTAATTGAATGCTTCGTAGGAGGCATGTTGAAATCTCTGTAACTACCTCCTGTATCCGAGAAACTTCGTCTGTTTGGATTATTTTAGTTATGTGAGGGAGACAAGTTACATCCCCACGTTTTGGCTGGAAAAATACTCTACCTTTAATTAAATTGAAGTCAAAATACCTCGAGGATGAAATGTATCGAGCGGTGGTCACATTAGAAATTAAACAAAACTATCAGATCAAAAGGAAAGATCTTCGCAAAGGAAGAGACTCAGGTTTGAGTTGAAATGTCTCAGGGAATTATGAATGATGTACATAACATTTGCGTATTTTGCTTTGTTTAAGATGTAAGTTCCTTAATTTCGACATGTCAGACGGTTCATACTTCCAACCCTATTTTTCCTCTGAAAGGTTGAAATTTGCATTTGAAAAGCTTAGGGTACACATATGTACCATGCCCTTCTCGCGCGCTCATCAAACCACGTTTTGAAATCCTGTTTCTCATTCTACGATTATTCTTTTTATTTCACAGAGGCATGTTGCATGGCCTTCACTCCACAAAGCTCGCCGACCCGCGTAAGTAGAGAATCCGTAGGGCTATCTTATTTACTGATTAATGGCTTCGCCGGGGGCTTTAAAATAATCGCGACTTCACCGTTGCAAACGAACTTTACACCATCCAAATCATTTTATTTGGATTCAAAGGAATTTGTTGTCCGTCCGCGTTCGCAGTGCTTATTTAGGGTCATCGGTTTAATGACATGAATTGGTAATGTTTTGTTTTGTACATTACTATTGTCGGACAACTTTGTTAATTGAGCAAAATTGCAAGACTGGACGTGATGTTCGATAATGTAGCGTAAAGTTATTTCGAACCTCACACCAAGAGCAAAGTTTGTTTACATAAGATGCAAGATTCGATCGTTCGAATGTTTGGTTGACTTTTGTCGATTTCCATACCTAGAAACATGCTCTCAATACTTAGTCACGCGATCGAGTCAGGTCGATTGACAACTTTGCAATGCTGCCTCAAGTAATTCGTTCGTGACAAGATTGAAATGTTTCCGAGCTGAAGTTTAGCCGTCTGCTGCTTATTTGTACTCCTTTTGGTCTGATTAACGACTCACGATTTGTTTGGATGAAGTTTGTAAATAAAGTTTCATGGCGTGCCTATATGGTGAGAGAGATGTTGTTTTGGTAAACTAACTTCTCACCACTGGAAAGCGTGGGTTTGTTTTTAGGTCTTTACTATAATAGCAAACCTTGAAACAAGATCCGAGTTTTCACCTTTGTTTTCATCCCATATTCTTCCATAATCGTTTTTGGTAAATTAATACTCCTGAGCTGTCAACAGGTCTCTTTGTTTAGTTTTTTTTGCTCCCATAACATAAACCTCCTGATTAAAAGCATGATTCAGCAGAACTTAATGGGTTAATGTGGGAAGCTCTACTTCATTAGTCCTCAAGCTGTATTTTAACTGTGATGATCTTTCAAATGGAAAAAATATTTAAAGAAGATTTAAGAGTGATTTTTTTTCTCTAATATAAACATAAAATTGACAACTTAGTCTGGTTCAAACTTTTGGGATTATTGGACTTATTTTCTGCAGTTACCTCAGCATTTTGAGCTCACAGATTCTCTTACAGCAAGCAAAGTAGATAACAAGAAAATATTTGCAAATCACACTTCCAACAATATATTGTTAGTGTTACAGTAGCCATATAAGGTTTTTTCATTCAATAACAATGTGATGTTGGTCCTGTGGAAAGATTGTTCCTCACTTTAAGTGATTTGAAAGGGCTAGGCCACTGCCAAACCCATCATAATTAAGGTGAAAAAATTTCCTGTTATTGTACTGTATGCTAGTGCATTTCTGTGGCAGTATCAATCAGTCTATTTTTAATAACTTGCTTTGTACAGAGTTAAAAATGTCAGGTATTACTCATGTATTAAAAATGTCAGGTATTTACTCTTTTACGATATTCAGTTTGATAATCTCAGGGATTTGCATGTCTGTATTCTGGGATAAGAGTGAAAAGAATTAACTCTACAAGGGCTATTTCAGGTACAATTATTACACTGTAACACCTTAAGCTGTTGATGACATACAGTACTAAGATGTATCAACTGACTCCAAAGAAGAAATTTGTCACACTACTTGATGTGTAATTTTCTTTTAGCAGAACAAGGCCAATGTTTCTGTTTGCTTGAAACCCGAAGCTTTAAGTTAAAGTTACAGTGCTAGAATCTTGCTAGGATTAGAATCATAGAAGAATCTCCATAGTAGTTGTACTAGATTGGCAAAACAAACATGACAACTGAGAAGGACAGCTGATGGATTTTATGAATGGTTGCAACAATAGTTTTCCTCACTGGCTTAAATTAGACTGTGTTGTACTTTCAGAAATGGTGTATAACTAATAGTTTGATTACTTTGACTTTGAAATGGATAGTTTAATTTGCAGTTGCTGATCAGTGGTGTTTTTAGTGGCCTAAAAGTTTGAAGATAAACACCTTAGAACAAAAAGAGACTTAAAAAATCATCTAAAATAGGAAGGTATTAATTAAAAATAACTCTGAAATCCTTAGTAAAAGCACAAAAAGGTCAAGATTAAAGTAAACCAAATTAATAGAATTGTTGTGGCTGGTGGTTAATTATAAAGATCAAGAAGTTTAAGGAAGTATATGTTTTTGTCCGACAGGTGTTAGACAGGTATTGTCTAGTACTTGCATTCCAGTGCAAGGCCAGTATTTTACAACAGGAGTTTTTATTGCTACTGTCATACTCCATAAGAAGATTTATTAAAACTAACTGGTGATATCCTGATCCTTTATTCTGAAATACCCTATATATATGCTTAAATCAATCAGCAATTTATTTATTACCTCATAGATACAGCCATGTTTCATGAGCAAGTGTAGCTGTAACTTTTGTGTTTGTGTGAGAAAAATCCTATCTACTGTTCTATGGAGTGACAGCATGTGCTTTTTTTCTATTTTCCATAAACATTTGTTCATTTGTATTAAATTGAGAGGAGTGAATGCTTTGCCTTTGTGGCAGGGAGTATTGTAGGGGAAAGGCTGGAATGGAAAATATGGGCGAACAAGGATGCAATGGGCTCCTCCTCCCTCCATACCCTTTATGTACTTCCATGACTTAATTCCTCTTTTTCCTTCTGCTTCAATTGCCTGCCACACAGCTATGCTAGTGACACACAACCACTGAAGCTTGTAGTGCTTGTACTGCACTAATACTGCTTAGAAGCTAACATTTTAGTGGTCACACTGGACATATTCTCTCTAATTATTAGTAGTGCAAACACTAAGAGAGGGCCGGGGAAGCTTGCTTTTTTCTCCTGACACATTAGGCAATATGTCACAGCAATGAATCACACCTTGTGTACAGGTCAGCTGACAAGTTGCATGAAACGTTGCAGCGACAAATTGCTGCATGTGTACTGAAGATTCTTGTGTCAAATCCTTTTCTCCACAACCCAACAAGTTGCAAAAATTCAGTCTGTTTTGATTTTGTGTAACTTGTTGCGATGACAAAATTCTGTTATAAAGAGATATCAATTTCCACAAAGATTCTTCAGTACAAACAAAGTGGTTTGTTACTGTGACTTCTTGTTGCCTACTGTGTTCTGACCTTCAGTGTTTCCTTGGTTAATTTTAATATATTATTGTATCTCCATATTGTAGGGTGGGGAGGTGATATTTATTACCTACTCTGATGAATATCCTTTGCCAGACAGTGGAGATTTTTATATGGTATTTGAAGGAAAAAATCAGCGTCATGTTACAACTGCACAGCAGCTGAATGCATTCACTCTCCGTGCTATTGTGCCTGGTAAGTAAAATAGTAAGTTCTAAGCCTTTAAGCCCTGATATCCACATGCAAATTCTCGAGACTGATCACTATAAATTTCCTTAAGGAATTAGTTGAGAGAACGTGACAAAAGATCAAAGCGTTTGCCCTTGGGTGATCATTTTAATATTTCTCATAAGCTTTGCTCTTGGTCATGTATTGATGTTGTTGGGAGAACACTGATGTTCGTGAACTCTTGGAACTGCTATATAGCCCAAAATATTTAAAACTTGGAAATGAATTTTTTGCTCAAATACAAAGTCATCTCCTTAATTTTCAGTAGCTTACTCGGACCTGGTGATTAAACTTATGAACTCCGATATTTATCTTAATTTACGATAGATGAATTATATCTCATTACTGAATAATTTGTGTGACACTGTACTGTCATGTAAGAATAAATAAGTGTTACTTGATTATCTGTTATTAATATCAAAATTATTATTATTTCCTTTTCTTTCGTTCTTATTTTACATACCTTTTGCAATACTGTAAATAGTAATAGTCATGTAAATAAAGGTTATTATTGTTGTTGTTGCTTAATGGAAGTTCAATGGTAAATGTGAATGAAAGAAATGGATTATAATTCCCAAAGTTTGAAAGAAACTGGGCTAAACTAGCATTCAATCTTTAGCTTTGGTGGGGATCAAAGCCATCTAAGGCAGGTATTAAATAACTTTAGTTACTTTGAAGTAATACTTAAATGAAGTAATAAAAAGTATGTGCTGATAAAATTATTTTATTTCTTTTAATAGATCATGACCAAGCGGAGAAGGTGTCACTTACTATATACTGTACCAAAGATAACAAACTGGGATCGCTATCATCGCACAAATTTTCATACTCGCTGGAAATTGAACAGATCATTGCACGACTTTTGGCAGATGGTGCGTCAGAGAGCAAGTTATTTGAATGCGTTGGATCTTTATCTGTCATATCAAAAAACTTTTCTAAGGAACTGAAGGACATCCTAGATTCCAGAATAACAAATGCATTTGAATTTCTCGATTTGTCTCCTTCTTGGTCACTGTTTGGAGAAAATGGCATAGAAAATTATTCAAACAGAAATGGTAAGTAATAAGAGGCTTAAATCTTTGTTAAATGCTGATAGACATAATTGGTGATTGTTGTAAGGATTATGTGGTGGTTTAATGATTTAAAGGGTGTAATTTAACTAGAATGTACACTACTCCATGGAGAACATTTCCTCTGTTTTTTCCTCTGCAAAAAGGTTTCAGTTTCCCAGTGTTTGTCCACTCCAGTGTACTATGTGTTACAGGTCAAAACTGAATTTGGGTTAAATTTTTTAACCAAGGGTTACTCTCGGTATCCATTGTCTTCAAGCCATAAATAATATTATTTCAGTCTTCTGCAAGTGGGTTTTCAGAGGAGCCCTGGATATACCCTTCTGCCTAAGACCTTGGTTTAAGTACTCATTTGATGGAGAAACCTGAGGCTGACGGTGCACTCCATTTACCCCTCCATCCCCCCACCATCAGTGCTATGTTTTATGGGTGTATAAAGCTACTTAAAGCCACAGAGAAAGAAAAGAAGTTGAGACAAGGATCCATGGTCACACCCGGGAACCAAGTGTGGACCATCCTGTGCAGAAGGCCATGCACTAACACCACTGTCCTGCAGAAAACTCCAAAAGCTTTATTTTACCACTCGGGTTCCAAGACACCCTGAGTTTACTGATCAAATTTTTAACAAGTTACTTTTAATTCAGGCCAGGAAACCCTGCTTCATATTTGTGCCAGACTGGGTTTCACTCAGCTGGCTACATACCTGCTAGATCAGCCTGGATCTATGGAGGCACTTCACATGAAGGATAAGGAAGGAAAAATACCCGAGGAGATTGCACGGGAAAAAGGAATGACGTTACTTGCGGATATGTTTTCAAGGTAAGTATCACAGTCAAATCTCTTAATACAGTGGAACCCTGATGCATAACAAACCTCTAACTAACGAAAACCACAGTATAACGAACGATATAGTTCAGTTGTGCCCAAAATAGTACGATATGTGGAAAAGAAACTAGAGTACGCTTGAATTTCTAAGCATTTGGGTGACGCGGCGTTTACATGACCGCCATTAGAGAGCTGTTATGTAGGTTCAAGAAATTTAATCACTTATTTCAGGGAATTCTGCTCTCTAACAGTTCATGTATTAGACAAAGGATTACTTTAATGTTTATGAGTTCCTCGAAGAATAAATTCACGCTTTTGTAGCAAAACTCGGTAACAGATGTTTCTGTCCGCCATTGGTGCTCATCCGGATGGGTACCAACATGGCGTCTCCATACAAATCTCTACTTAATTTTGTGTAAACATTTCGTTGGAAATATTCCTCTGACCTGAATCTTGGCGAGGGTCTTTGTATATTTACCTCCTTTCATTTCCCAGATTCTAGACTTAATCTATTGAACGGTTTTGATTTTTATTTTGATCTATTTTGAATGGTGTGACACCGACAACCAGCAATTCCTTGATTAGCCACTGCATAAAATTCAATTTACAAAGGTAAAGATAACACTTAAAACCCTGGTTCTGAGTCAAGAAGCGAACATGCCACCTCAATGTAAATCGAGCTGCGAAGAACAAGCTTGTTCTGATAAAAACTGGAGCATAAGACCCTATTCCTAGATCAGCTGCGGCTTTAAACGCAATTTGGAAAGCAAACCAGAGCACTAATAGCCCTTTCAAACTAGAAATCATATTAAAGCTTGCTCACCTGTTAGGGCCTCTTAAACAGAAAACAAACAGCTGCACATAGGATCACCCAATTTCGAACCACCGAGTTGTAAATACAGGATCATAACGTCACTGCCCAAATATGGGGTCTTGCTTACACCTGAATATGTTCAAAAATGCAAATTTTAGAGGGTTATGCAGAATTTGAGAGTTTTTGCCTACATTGCGCGGGATTATGAATGTGCCGCCAAGGTAACCTCGCTTCTTAGCTCAGTTGCCTCGTTGGCAATAAACTCATAGACCAGAGACCATGTAAAATGATAATATTTTAATAATGATAATAATAATAATATTTTATTATTAACAAAGGTAGATCAAACAGATACATACCTGTAGCTAGGCTGAAAGCCAAGCTTCCAATTTTATATTCTAAAAACTAAAGCAGGAAATGTTAAACTAATTGAAACTCCTCTATTGGCTGTTGACTAATAAGTGTGTGAAAGTAATACTCGGTATGGATTCTTTGAAGTTTTATAGGAGTTTGGTGGGGGCTGATAAAGAGGTCTTTGTATGGTGCATGAAGGCATCTACATGCATCAGTGCCCTTCAAATTTTGACTGTTTGATGATTAAATAGAACCAATTTCGGAGTTGTAAATTATTGCCCAATCCTAACTTTATCGAATTATTGTCAAAAAGAGCTCTGATGATTGTTATAAGCAACTAAATGTTAATAACTTTGTTGAAGGAAAAAGTCAAATTTGAATAACTCTACGACTCCCCCAAAAATGTATTTTTTGAATATCTCTGTGACAACATTTTGTGTCATGTAAGAATTTATGCCTTAATTACAACTGTAATGCATTATAAATCTTCTTTTATCATCGCCACGTACACATGAAAGTGTAAAATCATGAACAAGAAAGCAAATTCAATTAGAGCTTAACACTAACAACAAATGACAACAGCTAGGGGCAGAAAAGTTTGATACTTTCCTTAGAAGGTTCAATTGGAAAAAATTGTTTTATGATGCAGCCCCACAGGGGCATTGTTTCTGTAATGCCACAAAATTCTTGCTGTCTAAGTGAGAAAGAAAGTCAGACATGTCAGCTATGTCGTGATTGCACTATACATAATAGCTGTCACAGCTGCCAAGGCAAATAAATAGCCAGCAAGCCAGCCACACTGTTGTCCAATTTTAGATCTCAGCTTTCAGCTGTACAAGCATTGTCATATTTGAATGAATGACAGATGGGATCGTCACAGTTGTATGTCATGATCAACGTTAGTGGTTTAAAAAAAATACCCTGAAAATGGTCAGTTTTTTTTCATAACTGCTTAGGTTGATGACTAAAGGTTTGGTGAGGATCATCACATAATTATCATTCATTTTTTTGATCCACTATCCATAATTTCAGTTATTCCACCCTGCATTCACTATTAGGTTTTATTATTTTTGTGTTCAAGATTCATATTTTGTATTTGACAGAGGTCCTGGTGATTGTCAAAAAAGGACAGCGAAGGACACCAGCAAACCGCAAGTAAAGAAAAGTGAAATAGGAACCACAACAATATCAAGTTACAAGTCACCTAAACAGAACTCTCTTGGTAAATAAACAAAAATATTTTTAAAAAAAATGCTCAACAGACATGCAGTAGCACATGTATGTTTTCTCTGTGTCCTTTGTTGTTACTCAAACTAAACTGTAAAATCATTGGATTTTTGTATATTTTTAGATACAGTCTGACACTCCATCAGTGTACATTTCAGCATTTATGTGTCCAATGTACTTATTACAGCTAGCCATGTGAAAAATAAAAATTTGAGTTGTATGCTTCAGCATTGTACTGTTGCACATGTTTGATGAATGACCAGATTCTGGTCTATGCGTGAATTTAACATCACAGAGATTTTAAAAATTCCTTTATTTCAGTTTTATTAGCCTAATCCCTAGACAAAATAAAGTACAGTACTGCCACAGGTAGCTTGTCAGAAATCATTTAAACCTATCATCATTATAAACTGCAGTGTATGAAAACAGTTTTTGTTTTTTGCAGAAAAAGACATTGAAATGCTGCGAGACATAAACTCTTTGGTTGAAGAAGAGGTATGTGATGCCAAATTAACCTTGCCTTGGAGGGAAAGATGCTAACTAGTAAATTATTGTAAATATCTTATTAACAGTCCACTACTCCTCTCAGGGCTGTTCAGGGACAATTTACAACACTTGTTGGGGAACTTTTGCCAGACTGCTTATGGTGCAGTTTACAAGCAGTGAAGGATGACTGATGATACTCCCAACATGAGTGTGAATTGAGACAGAACACCACATGGGGGTCTAAGTCCCTTAGTTAATCTTTGGCGTTTAATTTTTGTTATCTCGACCTTAAATTTTGCATGCAAATCCCTATTGCCAAGGTCTTTGAATTGAGAAAAAATGACGGTGATAGGATATAGTCACTTTAGCTTCCAGGAATACCTTAAGGTCCGACAAGGGTTTGTACCAGCAGTCTCCTGCTCAGCAGACCGGCTCTTATCCAATTGAGCTAACAGGCTGGCTATTAGTAGTAGGTGGTTATATTACCCATTGGTTGGCTGTGGCAAGTCCAGTCCTTGGGGTAAGGTTAAGGGTGCACTGTTGCGCAAAAACAAAGTACCTCAGAGCCTTGGCCATGCTGGCCTTAATTTTGACCTGAACCCTTGGCCCCTATCCTAGATCTGCCAAATGTTTGGGCAACTGCTTGGATCTTCAGTTAGATCCCAGCAGTAGCAGCAGTGAAATGCACAAGTTGTTAGTGTATTATGACATGGAACTTTCCAGAAGATAAAAGTTAGTTATCTATGTTTCTGTTCTGCTTGTCATCAGATGAAGAAAAGAATTCCAAAGCTACGTCACTCATGGCCAATAAGAAGAAAAACCAAGGATGTCACAGGTCTGATTGCCTTTTAAAATAATGTGATAGAACTGTTTCAAAACACTGGTGAATCATTAATGGTTTCCTATCTTGTACTAATGGGAAACAAGCAAAATCATTCATTTTTTGCTTGATTTGCATTTTACTGGAAATGTGTAGCTTATCAATAGTGAACTGTATGCAAAAGGACGGGAGAAGAAAGAACACACTAAAACTTTGTGTGACAAGGGTGACAGCTGATAACATGTTTGAAAAAAGTTTCCCTTAAACTTCACCTTCCTTTTAACAGTTCTTTTAGTGAAGACCAGAACACAGTAATGTTAAGTGAATATCGAGAAAAATCACACAAGTAGTAGCCCTGCCACATTTGTCACACACAAACGTTTCGCTGTCCTCTTCTTTCTGCCAACATGTTGTGTAAGCTTGCTAATCTTGATTGAAATCACATCATCATCATCATCATCATCATCATTATTAAATTGCTGTTACAGAAGATGCATCAAGTAGTGATGAAGAATTAAAGCAAATTAACAGAGAGCTTTCACCAAAGAGGTTCACAAGTCAGTTGAACAGTGTCTCTACAGGAAGAAGCAGTGGTGGTGGCAACAGACATTTACTAGGTACATAGTTAAAGTCATATGTAAAATTTGGGCTTATGGCTTGAGTAGTTTTGAAACAATTTGCCGAGCTTCCCTCAGATAAGGCAATCATGCATTCCCTAGGCCACCCTTCTAAATGGCCAACAGGTTTGCCTCCAGTCAGTTGGGTTTCTTAAGCTCATTTTGTGAATTTTGAAATGTCTGTCTCTGTGCTTAATTGTGGGCCACAATGTAAACTACTGGATCACCAGAAAATTGTGTTACCCCTGTTAAGTCCATTTTTTGTCACCTTAGTGGTACTCACTGGACCCCTGCTAGTGACTTGCTACTCAATAGAGGGTGTCTGCTAAAAGTAAGGAATATTTTAGGACTTACAAAATAATGCCTCTGTCTTCTAATAGACCCTTTCTGCATTCCACTCCAGTAAGCACACGTAATAAAATAAAATGTTAAGGCTTGGGTGGAAATAACCCAAGCCTCGAGCTGATGTGATATTTGGAAAATTAGAAGATGTTTATGTGATTTGCTACTAAGTGTTCTCTACTCATTCTCCTCTTTTTCTTTGCAGAGCAAAATCTTAAAAGACTGCGAGACATCAATGAAGAGATACAAAAACTTCGAATGGTTAACTCCCATAGAGGATCTCGAGAGGTACACTGTGTTCAGAAGAAAAGTGCAGTTCTTATAATATATACAGCTGTAAATTAGCTGCTGATATTTTTGTTTTTTTGGTATTTGTAGAGCAGTAGAGGTGGAATGCAAGCAAGGCATCTGCGTCGCCTGTCTTGTCCATCATTAAGTGGGCAGGACATCTTACAAGCTCATATCATTGCAGGTTAGAAGGAATATCGTGTAATAAAATGTTATTGTCTAACTTATGGGATAAAGTTGACAACGGAACTTCAAGTCCTATACTGCTCAGTATGTATTTTTTCTTAAAAAAAAGGCTTAAAAATATGGATTTCCCTGTTTTTCCTCTTTGCCTTCGGTGGCTACCATGATTGCATAATCATGACAGTGTACTGGGGACCAAAAGGATTATTTATAGGAATAAAATACCTTGTATTGTTAAATAAATTCTTCCTCTCAGTCTCATGGAAATGTATGAGAAAGGTTTGGTTTAAACTGGGTTTACTACACTGACCTCTTTGAGATGTTGATATTGGGTGTCCTGTGTCCACCAGCAGGAAAAGCCAAGGAGGAAAAGCAAATTGTGAATGGCACAGTTGAAAAAAAAGCGGAGAAATATCTCCCAGCGAGTGATAAAATACGAACTCTTCCAACAAAAGGAGATACTCAGAGACAGGAGGATTCTGCTTCAGCTTTAGACTCTAAACTCCTTTCTGTTGATGGTAAAAGTGAGAGTGTACGGAGAGCCCACAGCTGGGGAAAATGCGAGGAAAGACCGGAATTGCACAAGCGAGTTAGCTCAAGCCTTGATGATTTGTCCAAGGAAGTCAATGGCGAAGAAAATAAAAATGCTAGAGCTCGAGGGAAACTTGATGTTGTTAAAAACAAGCGACCAGTGTCATTAAATCTTGAAACACTTGAATCGCCAAAGGAAGAGGCGAATAGACTTGCAGACATTTTAGATTCAATAAAGAAAGCCAGTGACAAGACCAAATCGACCAGCAATGTTTCTTTGGCGTCACTTAACGATGTTGATGTCAATTTGAACAATCAAGAAAATGCTCTCTTGAATCCGAATAGAAGTAATCTCCATACAAAGTCCTACTCGTACAGTTGCTTGGCAGATCTGAAGCTCGGGGATGATGGAAATTCTGTTGACGAACAAAAAACGGGGTAAGTTGCTGTGACCCAAACTCGTTCCCATCGTTCTCTCCCTACATAGAGACGGGTAGGAGAGAACCCTTGGAACGAGGTTGGGCGTAACCTGTTAATGTATTACAGAGATGCCAAAATCTGGAACCTAAAATCTGGAGACCAGGGACCTTATGATCCGACAACGGCGAATGCTTAGCTTCATGTTTTATGAAAACGTAAACAAGCGACGACGACATTTTCTTTGTCTTTCTGAACTTGAAAGTGGTTCTTGGGAGTTCAGTTCCAGGAGAGTTCGCCTACATTTGACGAAGAAAGTGTTAGAATGCAAATTCACTTTTTAAGCGACATTTTCGTCTCCGTCGCCGGCCTCGGATCTTAAGGTCCCTACTGTCTCTTTGGTTTTTACCTCCGAACAATTATATTATGTTTAATTTGAGTGAGTAGTAGAGTACAGGGAAGGATCTAGGAAATTCAAAAAAGGATGGGAGCAGGGACACTTTTCCGCTATCTAGGTACTGTTTCTTTTACTGAAAATTCTTTAAAAATAATACAAAATTTCACAGAAAAAGGGAGGGGGATGGTCCCCTTAGACCATCCCTAAATGCGCCCATGGAGTACCCTAAAAGGTCCAGAACAGCGCACATCCTTAACTATAATTACAGAAGTACAGCCTTTTTATTCATTTGTTGTTCATGTACCTGTAGGAAAACCTTGGTTAAGTGTTTGCGTATTGGTCTTTGAAAGATAAATAATATTAATGATCATGACGCATAACGGCAATAACTCAAAGCTCTTAACAGCCATTAATGCATTGACAATAATATTAACAAAAATCAAACTGAATGCCATAATGCTTCTAACTTTTAATAATCTCTGCAAGTAGCAGATATTTCGAGGACCAAGTTTGACAAGGGTTCCCCCTGTGTTTTAAGCTTTTCTTATTTTAAGTCAAACAACATTTGACTGATATTTTCAGTGATTTGTTTAATGTTCTTAATGAGATACTTAGTATTTCTTTGTGCGAGCATTTGAACAACAATCAATATATTTACACACAGATCTCAATTTAGTCCTGAGGTACAGAAGAGGACTCTATCAAAGGCAGAGACCCAGTTATCTTTGTACGACTTTCTCAATGACGAGTAAGTTTTTAAAAAAAAGAAAAGAAAAAGAAAATAACATACTTAATATTGTTATTTTTTGTTTACTTTTTTATGGATATCAATGGAACAAAGATTTTTGTTGTTGTGAGAGTTAGCTTTTCTATGCTTTTCTGTGGGGTTGAAGTCTACAACGGACATTCTGATATGCAAGGAAAAACTATAATTATTTTATTCTTCTGCCTTTCGTTGTTTGACGAGGCTTTCCCTTGATATTATATGTATTCCAACATAAGCATCCTGGGGATAGCTGACTTACAAACCATTTTCCTTTTGGGGAGGTGGGGGTGGGGAGATGGCGTGGGGGTGTTTTTCTCCAGTATTTCTAGCTCTGTTTTCTGCCACACTATTTATGCAGCTTGCAAACTCGTTAACTTTTGTAAAGTGAATAGATGTAATGGCTATAGTAAAAATGCCTCTGCTGTTTTAAATATTATTTATTTTCCAGATTTATGTTTTCTTCTTTAATCTTTTTATTAAAATTGATAATTAAAATAAAAATAATAATAAATGCAATTTGACAACAAAGAGTGGGTAGCGATCGTTTACGCAGTACCATTTTAGCGAGGGTTGCGCAGCTTCTGTGACCATGCCAGGCACTCGACCTTCATTTAGTAATTAAATATAGTTTTGTTGGCTGAACTTGATTATGTGATATTTAACTTAGTAGTTTTATAAATACATGTTAAAAAACAAAAAGTAACCCGCAGGTATAGTTTTGTTTTAATGATACGGCGCCCTTTAAAAGATTGAAAGCGGGATCAAGTATAAAGATAATGTTAAAAATCAAAGGCCTTTCATTGCCAACGTAAGACTCATATTCAGCAATATAAAGTTTAAACAAGGTTTAAAGGTGTACTTAAGCTTAATTATATGAGAAAGGAGCTAAAATATAAGTTGTTTTGTTTTGCCATTAATATCTTGTTCAGTGAAAAAAGGCGTCAACTGCATTTAAATGCTAAAGCTGCGAAGAAGTGGTATTCGCTGCATGCTCTTGTAACCATAAGGTACTGTATAACAGTAAAGTTTATTTTTAATGATGTTTCTAATGATTTAAATATAAAATAAAAACGAAAGTAGAAACAGAGATGTCAAAACTTAATTGTAATGATGTCTTAAAATGTGTAACTTGAAGAACAGGAGGCATTAGGTGGGTTATTTTATGCGATACACAGGCGGGTGTGAATCGTGAGGAAGTAGCAGCTCAAGTCACGCGCGAAAGAAGGAGAATCAAGTTCCACGCGTGCTTCGTGTTCCGCGTTCGCGTCTTGAACGGCATTTCTGCAGGCGGCTATTCAAAGAATAACAATTATTGATTGAGGCTGAGTATCATCTGAATAATTATGGAGATCGAGGAGGATAACACCCTCTGAGATCTCCATAATTCTTCAGATGATACGAAAGCCGACTTTAATAATTGTTTTATTATTCATTCAAAATAATTCCTAGTTTAAAAACAAGATAAAACATGCTTACCTCCATCGATGTTAAGTTCTTCGATAGTGCATGTTTATCGGCAAATTTAGGAGATAAAGGGTTGTTCAGGTCTGCAAATATTCTCCAAGTAGCAGATGTCGTCCGTCGAGTTGTCTTCCTGTTGTTCTTGCTATATTTTTAGCCAGTAGTTCGCCTATACCGTAAAATTCCGAAAATAAGCCCGGGCTTATATTTTTTAAACGCCCTTTTTGAGGGGCTTATTTTTGGAGGGGCCTATATTCGGAGGGGCTAATATGCGTTTCAAAATCGGCTAGGCTTATACTGGGACGGAAATATGCGTCTCAAAATCCACTGAGCTAGCTTGTAGTTAGAAGGACATTTATGTCAGTAATTTGCACCAAGTTTTGACTGAAACTCGCCTTGAGGACGTAGATCTTTCTAAAACTCAGCCATGCAAGTACTTTGTCTATATGGACCGAGGAAATCTAAGCCAAGACTGAAGAGTGAACTACGCAAACAGCAATATACTGTAACACTTTTTGACCGCAAACATTTGGCACACGTGATAGTTCTTTTGGCAAATCCAAAAATTTATGTGTTACTGTAGAGCTTTTGCTTTTTTTTTTTTTTTAATTTAGGACAGTTTCCAAGTAGAAGCCCCCGAGGGCTTCTATTTGGAGGGGGGATTTATCGGAGGGTTTTTTGCGTTACGAGTTTGGGGGGCTTATATTTGGAGGGGCTTATACATGGAGGGGCTTATTTTCGTAATTTTACGGTATCTTCCTCGTGAAACCAGTGAAATGTTCCGCCATTTTGAAGTCACTACCGAAACAACTCAACCTCGTCCCCAGGTCTCCTCGGTGAACGGTTTAATAATCTGGCAATTTTGCTACACGACTGACGTCATTTTTAACATATCGCAAAATTCTTCCAAATTTGGTCGACAATAGCTGGTTGTGATGAATTATGCTTGGGATTTTAGCCAATCGGAAGCGGAGAAATACTCTGAATTAATAATGATCTAGTTTATTTGACCTTTTCCAAGCACCTTGCAAAGTTTTCATTCTAAACGAGAAAATTTCTTAACATCGAATAATGAATTTTTCCTTAAACTCGCTGTAGTTTATGATGAAGGTTACCTTAAAACGTTCATTCAAAAGTGCTTTCTTTGTAGGAAAATCAGAAACTCAATTGCTTACGTAAACGATAAAACTTACTTCTTACTACTCCCTTACTTCTTCCTACCCTCTGTTCATATTGGGAAAAGTACTTCGTTCTTTAAGTGGAACATGTTGTAATACTTCGGTTTTGTTGTCACAGGGAGGCCCACGATAAATCTCAAAACAAATTGTCTCTAGAAGAGTTTCTGGGCGAACAGTAAGTATTGAATGCTCTTGTGTGCTTAAAGAGCTTAACAATTGTTGGATGAGGCTGAGTATCAATTCAGAAACGGAGAAATATTTTGAATGAATAGTAATTATTTCCGGTGCAGGGATTTGGCCCAGAAGGCGAAATCCCGAGGAGGCATCCCAGTAGCTCGCTCGTATATATAGAAAAGTTCTTACAATTGAAATATACAGTCAGTACACCAGAAAAAACAATCTCGATTTGCTTGAACAGGGGCCGCGAGGAATCGGTAGGTAATGATTACGTTTCTATTGTTGATAGCGTCAAACAAAATGCCCGAAGGAACCGCTTAGGTTGATTTTGTGACTCTTATTGTACATCCTTACTGTGATATTCTTTTGCGTTACGTGTGTTCAGTGATATTCTGTGGAGCAGTTGTTTTGAAAGTTAGTCTAGCTTATCACTAGCAAAAATATGGACGATTACAGAAATTCGCCGACAAATAAATTATGTGCTGACGTATTCCCTGCTCGCAGATGTCCATCTATGAAGGTTTTTTAAAAAGTATTTTCTTAATAGTTAAAAAGGACTAGAAGGCGCGAGCGTGAATTGTTCAAACCTTTTAATTTCTAAGGCTTGCTTTCCGGCTATTAAAATGAGCTGTATGTAAAAAGTGAAATAGAAACAGCGAAAAATTCCCACTTCCAATCAAGTCTTTTCTTATAGTTTAGAATAAAATATTCTCGAAACAGGCTACTAAAAACATGGTTGATACGACCAGATTTTCATAGCCCCGGCCTTAAAGGGCAGTGTTTACTAGCGGGTGTTTTAGTGTACATACTTCCCTGTACTATCCTAATAACAATGCTTGCTTTGTTTTATTTTTCAGCGGCCCGGAAAGTGCTGACGATTCAGAAGAGCTTGAAAAGGTGAGACAGGTGCCAGTATTATATTTAACTAACGCGGCAGTTGTTTGCCGTCAGATCAAATGTGTCACATTAAATCCAGTTTGTAGTTCTGCAGCACAATGGACCACTAGTCATCTGTCATACGGTTGACACTTACTGGCAAGTTAGCGACTGAAAATGTGGTCGTGTTTGTCAGCTGCTCTCTCGCTTATAACCCTGGCTGAACTGTCCTCTTTGTAAAGGAGTAAAAGGCTAGCTAGTCTCGTGGTTTTATCATGGACATTTCGTAAACTGAAGCCTCTTGCAAAACGGACGCAACATTGTTGGCCAACAACTCCCAACATTTTTGGAGTTGTTGCGTCCGTTTGCACGTAGCTAGGTTGTTTGCGCTTTGACAAGCGACGCGAACGACTTCGTAAATGGTTAAGCGATGCCGGAAAGAAATCTCTGCTCGTAGGGTTAGCCGTCGTGCGCGCAAATCCCGCCAGCCATGCGCGCAGCCTACTTATTTACGGAAGCGATTCCATGTGCGTTCTAATTTTAGCGGGTAACTTAATATGCTGGTAAAGTGAAAGTACCTTTTTTGTTATTGTTCTCGACCAAAAACTTCTGAAATACTCCGGTGAAGATATCAATCAATCACCTCTGGAGAAAATCGTCAGTTTTAGCGATGTTTACACCATGGTAGAAACAAATTTAGAGAAATTAGTTACGATTTAAGCCCGCGCTGGTCAATTGCTCGCAAAATACAAATTTTGTATCATATTGTCTTTCTGATTGTAAAGTGCATGGATAAGTTACAGTGGATCGCGCTGTTTTAATTATCACTTACGCTAAGTATCATGTGAGTTTTTTTAAAAAAAGAACATGAATAAGCGACCAGTTATTCATTTGCTTTGATAGACGTTGGTGAACAAATTGACAATCATATTCAAGGAGTGTCACTATTCTGATATTGTAATTTAATTTGCATTGATCCCAGAGGCTTTCTTGAACACGCGGTTTTGATGCGCTTTTTGTTGATATTTTTAAAGCGATGTCAGCGATATATAAGTGCTGTTTTTATTCACACCCATGATAAATGCTGCAGGTTTATTTACGATATTTCTAACTTCATAGCGATTTTTAAGGAAATGACAACGGCAGTCGCGACCGCCAACCTGGATTTTCGTTGTTTTCATCCTGAATTTTGTCAAACTTGCCATCTATTTCAGGAGAGACATGAATCTAAAGGAATTCGCCGATTTAGCCAGCTGTTTTCAAGCAAGCAAAAGGTGGGTTAATTTGTTCGTAGTAGTAATAAAATGCTAACTTTTTAATCGACCGGGATCGGCTTCTATTTTTATATACGGATATTGCCTTGTCTGAAAAGGGTTAGCGATTTATTATTGATAAAACAGCGCCGTGAAATGGCCTATGTAAACATTTTAACAACCACAAATCTCGTGTTTGTAAAATCAGCGGTGCTGTACAAATACTCATGGAATACAGTCCAGTCTCTCTTAACGGACATCTCTCAGTGTAAACCGGACACCTAAAGGTGGCCCCTGCCTTTCGTTACTCCCTTCATTTGACTAGAGACGTCTCTCTAAGACGGCCACTTATTGCCGGTCGCAAAGGTTTCCGCCTAAGAGAGAGTTGACTGTAGATTCCTTTCATCAATTTCGATGGTTAGAACACACTTTTATTGTTACCATCTCGTGAGCGGTTGTGTTATATATATATATATTTTTTAGATAAACACAGCTTTTCACTCTCATTATTGCGAGCCGGTAAGGTCTCGGAATGAACTTAAGTGAAAGGTGTGTCAGTGTGTGATGCAATGGATATTTTTAGGAACTCGGCGTGATATGCACCATTTTCCTTTGATCTCATTGATCGAGTTGTAGCAACCTCGTCGCCAGGCTCTTTCTTCTTCTTGAAACAGGAGGAACAGAGAGGGCCTGGAACGATGTCAGGTTAGTAGAGCGGGGAAGTTTAAATTCAGAAACGTATGTTGACTACAACTTCAACTTCCTGTGAAAAGTTCGGAACTCTATGAGCTCTGATTAAAAACCGATCATTGCCTAGATGTGTTCAAATCAGATCATTCAATCAAAATTTGTTTATATTTCAGCCATTAAAGCGTGAACTTCCAAAGCTTCAGAAGGGGAATTCTTCCAGAAACAGTTTACGTAAAGACAAATCGTTTGGTAAGTGTACTGTATTTAGGACGCGAAGGGAGCTTGTTGCCTACATGTTCCTCAACTTATTTCTTTTTGAGAAATAAAGAAAGGGTGAAAAGTTCAATTCACAGGATTTGAAAAGTGGAGTATACCCCGTTTCCCCAAAGGAGAAACGAACGAAGAAATAAGTGTATAAATTGGGATGTTTTCCCGGCTGTTGCCATAGTGGTTGATCACTCTTTGCCTATCCTGTCGGATTATGCTTACTCAAAAAAGGTCAAAAGTTTGACTGAAATGAAAAAACGCCTTGTACTGAATATGGTAAACAGTACCCACAGGAAATTTCTGCTCCCCTGTAGCTTTCATTTTAATGTTCACAATGTAGTCCGCATATTCTTCAGCTTTCTGCAGACTAACCACCCGTGATTATAGTAACCTTGGGTGATTTGTTTCCCATAGCGACGCGCAATAAGGATGGGGAAGATAGCAAGCTTGTTGAAGGGCAGAAGACAGCACTCGGACGCAGAGCGTCGGGTGTAACAAACAAAACGTCCAAGCCTGGGGAACAGGTATGTGACAGTCCCGTGACTTATTATCTTGTGTCACGCAACCAAGCTGTCATCAGTGCGTACATGACTTTGTTGTCAGACAATGGTTGATAACTTTATGTACCAAACATCACCCTTCGTCTCTCGACAGCAAAATCCATTGTTTGAGTTATGGGAGGTCTGTTGTCAAGTTGTCCTTCCGGGAGTCTAGGTAGCCAAGTCCTGTTCTGGTCAAGAAAATGAAAGCAAACAAAACAACTAAATTTAAAAGTTAAGAGTTAAGAGACACCACTGTTGATACTGAAAGTGTACTTACGTGCCTTTACACTGCCAACTTCATCCCTGTTTTAAAGATAGAGAGAATTCGTGCAGTGTTTGAATTTATTAAGAACCTGGGCCCAGTTGTTCGAAGGCCGATTAGCGCTTATCCAGGGTTAAATTTTAACCCGGGTCTCTTTTTCGTTTCATCAAAAGCATTTTCTTGGACAGTTTCCTCTATTATTTTTAGAGTAGCCAATCATCAAATGATAAAAAGAACGAACCTGAATTTACTTTTCAAGCTTTCATATCTGAATTCAAATTTCGAACTACCCTGGGTTATCTTAACCCAGCTTTGAACAACTCGGCGCTGGAGAAAAAATTAATTGTGAATAAATCTCAGGCCCCGTCCACACGTATCCGGATATTTTTGAATCCGCAACTTGTTCTTTCCGGGTTAAAAAATTTCCACGTCCACACGTATCCATATTCAAATCGAATTTGCCCGTCCACACGTATCTTGATTCGCTCTAGTATCCAGGATTCTTCTGAGAATATTGGCAACAGAGCATGCGTCGTGGTTGCCGTCTTGAATACAGTATTCATGGTAAAGAACTAGGTTTATCTTGTGACGTCACCGGGTGAAAAATATGCGGATTTAGCGTCCACACGATTCCGGATTCATAGCGTATTCAAAAATCTTCACTCTGGAAAGCGGATTTAAAAAGTTGCGGCTGCGTATGCCGAATTCACCGGATACGTGTGGACGGAAGCCGTACCCGGAAGGAAAGAGTTGTGGATTCAAAAATATTCGTATACGTGTGGACTAGGCCTCAAACTTCCTGCAAAAAACTGGAGATTAACTAGCGCTTGTTTTCTAATTATTTTAGGGGCCGACGCTTCCCAATCCTGGTTTATTAACACGTGCAGGAAGAGGAAATAATTTATCAGCAAGAGCAAGCCTGCATACTAAGCCGACCTCTCCTCTTTCGTTTAGAAGGTAAATCAAAATTAATATAAGGCGGACTGAAGACTTTTTACCAAACCCTCTAAACTCAATCAGCACAGCATGTTAGTTCAACATTGTCCAACACTGCTGGATGAAACCTGTTGGGCAATCACTGTTCAACCGTTTTGGATGCAAGGTGTTGGACAGTCATTGCCCAACACTGCCCGATGTAACAGGTTGGGCCAACATTGTCCAACACTGCTGAATGTTACATGTTGGACCAATTTGCGCAACACTGCTGGATGCAACGTTTTGGGCAAACGTTGGTCAACATTGTTGGATGTAACATGTTGGGCCAACATTGTCCTGCACTTCTGGGTACAACCCGTTGACTCACCTTGTCCAACACTGCTGTATGCAAAATGTTGGGCCAACATTGTACAACACTGCTCAGTGTGACATGTTAGATCCTCTTCAAAACCTTTTTGGGCGGTGTTAAAAATTGGGGCTTCTTTGAAACCAGAATACAGTTGAAAGCCCGGTAAGTGACCACTCAAAATGCTAAGACCTAATAGTGGCGTCCAAAATTGAACCAAGGAGGGTCTTTTCGTAGTTGAGGTCCCGACACGTTTGCCGTTTGGAAGAGAATTAATTGCACGTTACGATGGGCGCAGTTTCGTGTTTTCACTATAAGTTCTTCATGTCCTGTGAGTAGCCTAGTCATGACATACAGCAAGCACAGAAATCAGAGCATGTGTGAAGCGGTCGCATACACGAACTTAAAAACAGTGGAAAATAGTAAAACCGCAAACTGCCACCTCAAAAAGAGGTTCCATCTATCAGGCTTTAACTGGGAAAATGGTGGTATTTCGGATGGGTCCCACGTGGAGGTTAATTCACTTTGATACATAGACCTACGACGCTTATCCCATGATGCTATCACGTGATCGGGTAGTTCATTACTTTTTGTTTTTACTTATAAAGCAGAAGCTTTACGATGGATGAAGAGAATAAGGAGAAGGGAAAAGACAAAGGGAAAGACAAAGAGTGAGTGAAAAAAAATGAAAACTGGTGATTTTGATATAATCGACTTTTTTCATGTTCATTTCACTCATTTGCAATATAGTTGTATGCGTTATGTTGGACGTAACGCTACAGCGCTTAGCTCCGCGTGGTCAAACATTTTGCGCGCTGTTACACTGTGTTGCCATCAGCTTTAGTGTCACATTTTCAATGAACCATCACTGAACCATCTGTTTGCTTACAATTCTCGTTCAGTTTTTAATTTTTTTCTTCCTTGTCTGTTGACTTTAGTTCCGGTGTGTCGCCCGATGTGTCTGGAGATGACGATGATGACGATGAAAGCGGTGGGTATCCTGTCATTCACTTTACAACCCAAGCACTCGTTATGTGAAACTCTCCACCTAGAGAGAGGAAGGGGGAGGAAGGGGAAAGGGTGGAAAGGTGCCTCTCCACCTAGGGGGAAGGGGGAAGTAGTTCAATTTCCCCGAATCACACACTTTCATCATTGATTCTTTGAAATCTGTTATCTGTTTGCTGCTACGTGCACTAACTGAACGAATTAGTTATTTGATTTTTCTGTTGCGATGTATTTGTTAACGGCTGGTTTTATTTTTTCGTTCCAGAAATTGGTCTTGAGGTAAGTTGTCCCTTTATTTGCTCTGCCGTTTTTCGTTCACTCGTTTCTCCTTAACATGTTAATTGCTGCACTTTGTAATTGGCGGAAACGTCTTACGCCACTACGCGTGTTTTTCTCGTCCTTTGCGCCTGCTTCATATATTGACATGTGATCACATTGTTTCGTTTGATACATGAAATGTTAATTGATGTATCTAGATCGTTATACTTGATGTGAAAGACTTCAACCCTTTTCTTAGATAATGTAAGATCAAAGAACATTAATGCCATGTTTTATCTCATACATTTTTTTTGCAGTGTCAAAATGATCCAAGTCTTGAAATTAAAGATGAACCAGAGGCGTGGAGTGTCACAGTCGACAAGAAGGTACCAGTACCAAAATATTTTTACACTTGCTTCTTATAACCCTTAAACGTTACTACCTAAACGAATTGGAGTTGTTTCAAACTCCACTGCCTGTTTTCCCGCTTGCTCAATTTTTCAGTGCTAGGCAGGAACCAGCCGAATATCAGGGAAAAGAGGAAAGCTTAATTTGTAGTTGTAGGCAAATTGTCCTGAAGTTGAGTGCGTAGAGACCCCGATCTAATTCCAGAAATAGAAAGGAAAATTCGTCGGCGTGTCTTGCCGCCCTCCTTAAATAGTCGTGCATGGTAGTGATGGAGAAGAAATTTACAGTGATGGACGGGTAGAGTTGTTGTTTCTTAAAGGTTCACCTTTTTTGACGGAAATGTCTCGTCACAGTCGCCGTCGTAGTTGTTTCAGCTTCATCACCAGAACGCGACAGAAACTTCACTTTAACTAATAAACGCTGTTTTCTCCTTCAATTGCAGATTTTAAAAAAAATGACAGCTAAAGATATCAAAAGACAAGATGTAATTCACGGTAAGACCGAATGATTGCTTACAACCAGGGGTGGAGGACATTTAAGGGTAGTTTGGGTGGCGGTGTGCGCTAAGGCCTTGGGACCTTGATCCTCTTTAAGACGAGACATTTTTTTTCATGACTTTGATTTAATTTGTTTCGCATACAAAAGTATTTTTCAAGTGACCTCAACGAATGAGATTTTAAGTGAAAAAATTGTTAGCAATACACATGAGAACTGCGCACTACCAAGGTTTACACCCAGTTCTAGGCGTCTGGTCTAGGAAAACACCCTGTTCAAGACGCGAAATAGAGAAATGGCATTCCTGGGACCCCCAAAACCATACCCCGTCCACATACTCATTTTGGCCAAATAAGGGAGTGTCTCCCGGAAGAAGGGGGTTGGGGGGAGGGGGTGACCTTTTACCGGGTTTATAGCCGTGAAGCGTTCCTCTTTAACTCCAAAAACAGTGACGATTCCATTTGTAAGTTTCCCCCAAAAAGGTTTTTAATGAAGAAATGAATCTAAGAAATTCTCCCTTGAGTACGCAAAATTTTGAAACGTAAATGATGCTGTAGAGGTTTTCTCAAAACATGTAATCACACCACCGGATTTGTTCACAGACTCAAAGAGTTCGAACTACGAACTGAATAAATAATGCCATGTGAAAGTACTACTGAAGAGTTAGCCTGCGTAGCAGGCGCTCGGAAGTAGAGGGCGAAAGAGAGAACGGGCGCGCGCGAGGGAGACACGCAAGGGGTGTCTCGCGTGTCTCCTTCTCGCGCGCCCGTTTTTTCTTGTGCCCCCAACTTCCAAGCGCATGCCACGCAGGCTGCTGAAGAGTTCTCATTGAAATGGCCCAACACCTTAGGATTTCATGCACAGACTCTAAAGTAAGAACTACCTACTAAATACGTAATACCATGTAAAAGTACTGCTGAAGAGGTTTCGTGTGAGTGATAACGACATAGGATTTCGTTCACTGTCTCAGGAGTTAGAACTACCTTATTATCACTCCACAGTATATTTTAGACAAAAAGTGTCCCTCTGTTTGGTATAGAGCATTCCTTAAACCGATTTCCACTCTCTTGTGTGTGCTACATAATACTTATCCTGTTGTGTGTTATGTTTCTCTTAGAGCTGATTCAAACTGAAGTCCATCATGTAAGGACTCTAAAAATCATGCAGAAGGTTAGTATGTCTTTCAGGCTCTTATCGTGCGACGTTTTTGTAAGTTATGGCTGTAGGCAACAGGGACTTTTTGATACATGTGTATTGCTTTTACTTATTATTAGTGTTACTCAATTTTGCTATTTCCTGTATTATTCCTTCTTATGTTTTGGAAAGAGAAAATACATGTTCTGTCTGCAAAGAGCAGGTTACCCACGCAACGACCTGTCACTGACTACATTCAATAGGAGTTGAAGGTGTAAAACTCACCGCGAATACCGACTTTTATCTTTTCAGATTTTTTACAAGGGAATGTTGAACACCTTGAATATGCCACCGGATACTGTCGATCAGATATTGCCAAGGCTTAACGATCTACTACAAATAAACGGTAAAATATTGTTAAAACATAGCTGAGATTGTGTTAAACAAAACCGCTTTTTAGACTTCGCGTAAATGACACACCCTAAGAGTAAAAAAAATGTTACTGCAGACATTGTCGAAGTTCTTAATCGCTTTTCCGCAACAACAAAGCTTTATCAGTGCTGGTGCTGTTCACGAGGATACCATGATAAAGAGTTCTTGGTTTACGCTTTGGTCGTTAAAGGGCACAAATCAGACTCAGACTAAACGATTTGTTTATTCCTCATATACTTACCGAAAAGAGGTGTAGTAGTTAGCTGTGACTAATTCTCGCTTTATTTCATATTTTTCAATCTAGGAGACTTTTTGAATCGCTTGAAAGCAAGCGAAGGAGAAGATACTGTTGTCAATAGCATCGGAGATGTGTTAGAGCAACAGGTTAGGAAAAAACAACTAGTAGAAGATGATTCATCTTGTACAAGATTAAAAAACAGCATTTAAGTTTTGACTATAGAATTGTTGCATTGAGGGCAACTGCTGCGCAGTTGTAGCCTGCGAGCAAGCTCTCCTCTTTGGGCGAGGAAAACAAAAACAAAAAGCGAGTCTTTCCTCGACCCCTCGCTTCGCTCGCCTAAATAGGAGAGCTTGCTCGCAGGCTAGCGCAGTTGTAGAGAAAACATCTGAAGTTTAATATCTGTCGGTGAACTGCATATCATTTATTTTATGATAAACGGAATAACAGAGATTAGAGTTTCCTTTAGTTTTCTTGTCCAACTTTATTTTGTTTTCTCTGTCACCTTCTATAGTTTAGTGGAGAAAACAGCGAAAAGATGAAAAGCGCTTATGGCGAATTTTGTAGCAGCCACATGGAAAGTGTGGAGCTTTATAAGGTATGAAAGTGCACCTGTTGTTTGAATGGAGAGTTTTAACTTGAGGTTAAAATAATTTTGGCACTGCTTTTGACTGCTTTGGATTTCCATTGCAACGCTGCCATTGCTTTAAAAAACATTGCAGCAATTTTGCAATAGTCTCCCAACGAAGGTATTATGTCATCACGCAACACTCCAGCGTTGCGTGACGACTCAAAGAACGGGCACATCAGAGACTACTTTTTTCAACCAATCAAAAACCCCACAATTCAATCAATCCTGAGAACCTGGCTACGCGTATTTCTTCTGATTGGTTGATTACTTGGGAAACAGTGCGTAGGTTAAGTAATTTCTTTTCTTTTTTCGTTTAGAAATTAATGCAGAAAGACAAGAAGTTCGCAGACTTCATTAAGGTATGTTTTAGGATGAAATCTAATTTTATTGTAATAAATAGGATTACTTTGAGATTGTTATAAGATATGTTAGGGCTGGACACAGGCCAATGGCTTGGTAATGGTCACCTTTTTAAATAAAAAGGACCTCATATAAAAAGCATAAAGTCCTGCAACCGGCTCTGATATGTGGTCTCTGAGAAATATTAATGAATGCCTAGCTTAGCTTTTATTCGTGTTTAAAGTTGATAGGAAGCACGGTAAATAAAACGAGTTTAAGGTTTGGAAAAGATGTGCCCTGACTTCATTGTTTGTTTTTGCAGAGATGCAATCTGAACAAGCACACTCGGCGACTATCTATCCCAGAGTGCATCACGCTCATCACCCAGAGACTTACAAAGTATCCGATACTTATTGAGGCGATAGTGAAAACTACAAAAGGTAGGTCGTAGTATCTTTGATAGCTGTGTTTTGAACCCTTTGGCCACTCATTTTGTGTGGCGTTTATCGGATTTTGATCCTTTGTATTTGTTTCCGTTTTCATTTTAGAGTCAAAGCCGGATTTTACGTCGCTGAAGAATTCAGTCACTCTTGTTAAGGTAATATGAGTTAGGGAATTGACTCCATTGACAGAACATTCTAGGGGACACAAAAAGAGTGAAGTAATAATTTCATAATGGCGTAATTTCATATGAGACAGTGGAGTTCAGAATGCATGTAGGCAGATTGCACTCAGAACGAAGGTTTTTCTTTGATTGATAAATCGTTTAAAGCTCAATAATCTCAAACGAATGGAAAGCAGGCGAACATTAGGACTGAAATCTATTTCAGTAAACTTTGGCGCTTCAATGTGGCATACAGTGATACATGGCATTTTTCGAAGAAGTCCATTTCGAAAGGATCCCGCTATAAACGGCATTTTTTCCAATCAGCACGTGCACCGAAAACGCGTTTGCATTCATAGGATTAGGTAACTATATTACTTCTTCTTTGGACAGGAAATACTACAAAGCGTGGATCAAACGATAAAGGATTATGAAAAACAGAAGGTATGACTTTGAGCAATAAACTTTTGTCGAAAAGTTCACCACGATACAGTATTTCACTCAAAATACTTCCCTTCCGTGAGCAGCTTTCACTTGTGGTACATCTTGGCATCAAAATTTACCACTCAGTAAGGTTTACCACTGTTTTCGTTTATTGAACTATAGACTGATCACTACATAATGAAAGTGTGGCAATCAACTAAGGGCCTGTTTACATGGAAGTGGGGGACCTCAGGTGGGTGAGGTAACCCCCTTAGGTAGGGTAACCCGCCAGTTCATATAATCTCTCATTTTAATTTAATTACGTTTAAGTGATAGGTGGGGTGACCATATGAGGGATTCTATGGACAGGCGGGTTACCTCACCTACCTGGGGTCCCCCACCTCCATGTAAACAGGCCTTAGAAGTCAGAACATTTTTCTTCCCGAATTCTTCTGATACATGTTAACTTGTTCTTCTTCAGCAAGCGCAAGACATGAGAATGAAACTGGATTTAAAAGTTACTGTTACATACGGAAAGAACGGGAAAAAAGTCAAGGTAAGTCACGAGACGGAGGCACCGCCTAAGGCACCATAATCTCCATATTAAAGTTTTGGCCCTGTAGAATACGTTTTTAATTTTGAAAGAATTACAACCAGAGCAACGACACTACCAGAGTAAAGTGTTACGAAAAACAAACGACAGCATGGAAGAGGTACCATTTGCCAGGGTCAGCCATGGTTTTCGGTCAGTTATACGGTATACAGGGGTCTTTAAAATTGGTTATACATTATCGTTCAGCTCAGTTCATCGATATCATTCTTGAGACGGCATATTGCAGAAAGGTTTGGTAACTCGCCAGAGTTTACTTAAGAAACTTTTGTTTACGTATTACGTATTACACTAAACCTCCACCGACTGTTAAAGTGGTTGTACTGCACGTAACTTACTAGCATCTGATTTTGTAGAATATTGACTTGGCATCCAACACGAGTAAGCTTATCCATGATGGTGTGTTATTATGGAAGACAGCCAGAGGAAAACTGAATGGTATGTACTCTGTTATCAATTGCCCTAGTACAACTGTGCAGAGTTGTTGTTTTACTTATAAAACCTTTTCCCTTTTTTGACGTTCTCGTTGCCGTCGCTGTGATCGAATCTTAAGGTCCCTATTAGTAGTACCCTGGAATGCTTTAAATTATAGTGCACCACTTCAATAATGATGAACAGCAAGTGCGATTTAATTTTGCAGAAACACGGGTATTGATCATGGAAGACATGTTGGTTTTCTTGGAAGAAAAAGACAAAAAGTACAGTTTACTCTCACTTGACCAAAAGGTAATAAAGTGTTATGTATTGGCTAGCGTGAAAAAACAGCTGACATTTCGCCACGCCAACCGTTTTTCAACCAGTCAGAAGCACTACTCAGACCTGGGTTGTGGCACGTCATTAGACAGCATGGAATTTCTGCGCGCGTGCCTCAGACGTCACGTGGTGGAGAAACCAGTGGAGGCGTCGCGAGATGACGGCTGTTTCCTCAGGCTATGTATCGGTTAGACTACGAGTAGTCCCCCATTTTTCCTCAGGGATAGTAGAGCGAGCGAAGCGCGAGCGCGCGTGAAAATCACCCCACGCGAGAAGGGCGAGACGCGTGTTGCCTTTTCTCGCGTGGGGTGATTTTCACGCGCGCTCGCGTCTCGCTCCCTCTACTATCCCTGAGGAAAAATGGGGGACTACTGGTAGTCGGTCAGCCATCTGATCTTCATAAGAGTTCGGAGGCAACTGAAGTTTGGTTCAGTCACCTTATTTTACCTTCACACTTGGCTGTCCCTGCACAATCTTCTTTCACCGGGGGTCTCTGTGAGCCTGGAACTGGTATCTATTTTGTGCCTCGCTTTGTAGTTCAGCCCATCTTCAATAGGTCATTTCTGAGTTCCAAAAACTCTCACTTTGAGAGCGAGTGTGAAAATGAGTTCTATTTGCACGACAATAAAAATCATTTTCATAACAATGGCTTCGCACGCAGCCTCGCTTTGAAACAGAGACTTGGAGGAACTCGGAAATGGCCTAATCATGCAGACGCAGTAGTAGTGTTAGTAAAAGTAATGCTCCAACTCTTTATAACTTTTGTGTGTAGTTTGCCGTTCCTTTGTTGCCTTATCCAAACTTTTTTCGTTTTGTTCACCAGGCTCCAGTTATCAGGCTCAAGAATTTGATGGTGCGAGAGGTAGCCACGGACCGAAAAGCCATATTTCTCGTGAGCACCAGCCTGCAAGGACCCGAGATGTACGAGATAGTTTGCGAGTCCCCAAGTGAAAAGAAGCGGTACGTATCTAATCGAGGCAATTCTAAGGGCTTCTAACCTTGCTATTGATTAACCTTGTTACCTCTTGCCGTGGCTTAAGGTAAAATTCAAGAAACGGAAATATTTTAAAAAGTCACAACATAGTGTTTCATTCACAGACTCAAACGTTAGGACCACAAGACAACAGGAAAGTACCGCTCAGTAGCATGAGAGTTCATAGCTTTGATTCAAAAGTAGCATGTTCACAAATCCTCTATTTTCTCTTTGGAGATCGTCGAGTGCGCATATGAAAATAAAAGCCGCGAGGGGTCATTGATCGCTAGTGCAAGAGGGTGTGGTTTCCTCGGGGAAAAAAGAATGAATAGGAAGGGGGAGAAAAACGTCTGTGGACAACCGGGCTAATTTGAAATTCCACGCCATAGCATTTTATCTACCGACTAAAGAACGACTTCGCTTGCGGTTGAAAAATGTCAGGCTGCATTTGACTGCTCTTCTCTAAACTGTCATCGTCAAAAAGTTCTAACCTTCCTCTTCATTATACATATACACGTCTTTGTCATAATATCGTGGGCCATTTAATGTGTGCTTGTTGTTTGAAGGTGGATGGATATAATTAAAGATGCAGCAGCCAAAGCCCCCGCTGAAGATGACCGTAAGTATTGTTATATAGTTGAACCAATAAAAATCGGCCAGACTTGTAGAAAACGTACTGCTTACGAGAGCAGCTAGAACCATGACGAAGCGTCCTTCTCCTGGAGTTGTCAGTTAGCTAGGAATGTTCTGTATTATGTTGTACGTTATGTCTTTCAAAAGGCTCCGGTTGTTGAGGAAATAGGACAACGCTGTCAGTAAGATTTCAAGTTGCCGGGTAAATATCACAAGTAGGCGGGGAATCAAACAGCTGGGGATTTCTTTTGGTTCTATTTTTCAATGAAAGTAGCCGGAGGAAATCCCCGACCCTGGCTCCTAATGACAGCCCAGAAATAGAACTTCTTTAAACAGTCCAGACTTCTTTGCGTCTTCTCTGCTTCGCTTTATTCAATTTGGGTCGGTTTTCTTCATATTGTATGTTCGGGTATTTATCGTTGTTGCCGGAACAGTGAAGGTCAAACCAAACAATCCAGAACTGATTTTGTCTCTGCTCCTTTTTGCTTTCAACTTTTAACAATTGGCGACATATTTGTACAACACAGCCCTGACTCTCATTTCTCTTTCAGAACCAGCAGACGGCCTCATAAGAACAGCAACGGATGAACGACGAAAGTTCATTGTCCGAAGGGCCAGTGTATTAATTGGTTAGTACAGTGTTGCATTACTTTATGCGTCTTGCGTTCTCCGTCTTTGTTTGAAGGATGTAGCAACAAGTTGTTTTATAAAGCACGTTTCCTGTCTTAACTGTTCAAGTATATTTTTTTAATCGCTTTTGCAGAGCAAATTCAAAACAAGGAGCTTGAAGACTTTGACAGAGGGAAAAACTTAAGTGAAATGCAGGTATGTGAAACGTAGTGGACGTTTGTCATGAATGCCACGCAAGCCCGTTCAGTCTTTCAGTCAAAGCACCGATTTACAGTTACCCCTTACACTTGTGAGAAGCTGTGCATTGATTATCATATTAGTTTGTCCTTTTCATGTCAAAAGCCGATTTTCTCTAATTTTTGTTTTCGTTTTTGTTTTGAAGGAATTGGTCTGTCAAATAGAAACGCTGCAGGATAGTAAGGTATAACAAGACAGAGTGTTTCATGAGTTGCTCATTCCGTGTTGATTTTCTTTGTTATGTGACGATTATATTTTCTCTTTTTCAGTCGAAAATTGATGCTGAAAAAAGTAAAGAGTTGGCAAGGGCTAAGTACGTTCATAAGCCAAACTACATTTTATCATATAAACTTACTGTAAACCATTTTGCCCCTTCAAACATAAGTTACAGAAAGTTTATATCGCATTACAAGTGCACAAGTTATTAGTTTCATCGTTTTAGGAATCCCATTTTTGTTTAGCCGCTCTAATTAGCAAGGTTGAAAAATGCTTATGTGACAATATTGCGGATCAATTTGCTACACCAAATGCTAATGCATAGATTTTGATTTTAATGGTTAACGTATCCCAGTTTATCAAGTGCACCGCAAAACGTATTGAGCATTCTATTGAAGTGAATTCCCACGAACTCATCTCCGTGAATTTTGTACAGTAATAGAAATACAGAGACATTCCTAGACAGCTACAAGTCGCCCTCTTAAACTGCCCTCAATCCTCGATCGAGATTAGTCTTTAAAGCGAGCGCAGCGAGGTTACTGGGGTCCGAGCGATGCAAGTGCCGGTGCGAGTGACAAATTATGCGACCAACCAGAAAAAAATTAAAGGACTTTAAGAAGGTCTACGATGACCTGGTCCAAGTGGAACCCATTTTTTTAAGGTAACATGCAGTTAGGTTCTTCCCATTTTTTCTGTGAAATGGAGGATGTGTATCTAAACACAAGGTTCCGTGGGTGTCCTTCTGATACAGGTTTTACTTAAATAACAGTGATAGTGATTGGGAAGCCTCGGACAAATTCGTCTCTGATCGCGGCGAACAAAAGGACCGCGTTTAAATACATTTTTATCCCTGTGTTGAAGACAGGCATGGGTGTGAACGCAAACAGATAAAAACAAAGCTTGAGTGTAATTGCAAAGGAATATTCTTCAACACCGACAAATTCTTGAAAATGACGCAGAGCTTTCGGAACCCATCTGGATCCCTTCATCATTGAAAGGTCTGTGTAACTTTGAAGAATTTGTTGGTGGTAAGGAATATTTCGTTGCAATATAATGTCCCAAAAGTTGAATCTTCATTCTTTAATCGAGTATTATTGTCTTTTGTCCTCAGGGAGTCTCTTGTGACAGCTATCCAGTCATTCGATGGTGCCTCATTAGAAGAGCCCCAGAGTGATACCCGAGGAAGCACCCCATCGCTGGCCGTTACTGGACCAGGGTCAAATGGTCCTAAGAGGGCGGAGACGTTCAGTGGGTTTGATACCAAACTCAAGCCTGATAACATCAACCGAGCCAGTTCAATGAGAGCTCCCGAGAGACCCGGTATTGGGTTCCCGTCAAGGCAAGTTCCAGGTGCGATCAGTCCCGTGGTAGGGAGCCCTAAAGTGAAACACAAGCGGCGAGCCAGTGGAGGAGTCCTGCCCTTCCTGACCAAGAGTAACAGCAAAGAAGACAAAGAGCAGGCTGGAACAATAGGTAGGCTGTGCACAGGGAAACCCGTTAAGACCCACCTCGGGCCTGTAAACTGCAAAACAGTCGGTTTTTTCCTCAAAATCAGTAAAGAAATCGGGAAAGCGTGGCGTAAGAGTCGTACGCGCCCGAAGTGCGCGAGCCTCACACGCCCTACGGGCGTGTGAGGCGAGAGAAAAAAAACCGTATTTTTAGCGTCTCTCCCCAGTCTCGATCTCTGTTTTCAGCCTCGTTCCAGACCTTCTGTTTGACAGCTCGCGCGTACTTGAACACGCAAAAATTCGGACTGTTTTGCAGTCTACGGGCCTTTGGCTTACCAATGAATCCAAATTCATAAGTATTTCCTCCATATTGATGTTACTGGAAGTCCAAGTATAATATTTGCGAATTAACTACACGTAAAATAATATAGAGTTCTTTGGCATTAAAAAAAGCTATGTCAAAAGCTTGTTTTTTGCCGGTTTGAGAGGTGTGTTTTAAAAACATGTACCAGTTTGTACAGTGTACACTTTAGTACACTTTCACAATTCACGTGTCTTGGTGAATTACTTGTCGTGTTTCAAAAAATGTTGGTGTGAAATAACACAGTTAACTGATCCATGAAATGTTGATTGAATGTTTCTTACAGGTGACGGGGCTTCAGACTCGGCCTCATCATCACCCACTCAGACTCCTACTCCATCACCAGGCCCTGGACAGGAGGTGAGTAGTCATCTACAACAACTTTGCGCGTGCATCACGCTTTCATGTACTTTTCTTCACCGTCACTGCACCGCGAATACGGCGTGGCAAATGCCATATTTCACGTTTTATAGAGGACGTAAACTAGCGACGACGAATTTTTCTTTCTCTTTCTAAACTTGAGTGCGGTCCCCAAGAAATAAACTCCAGGGAAATTCATCTACATTTGACATTTTTAGCGAATTGGGATAAACTCGAAAAAGTTTGAAAAAAGGTAAATTCATTTTAAAAGTGGCGTCTTCGCTGCCGTCGCCGTCGTCCATACTAAAGCTCAATAGGCTATTTGAGAAAAAAGGTGAACGGTTTGTCTATGGTGGAAAGTGCACTTAGCATATCCAGCTAGTTATATAGGTACTCCACTCAATTAATTAGAAACTAATAATCCAAATAGAAAATAATAGGATTAAACAACTGAACTAGCAGGAGGCAACTAGTTGGCTATTTACAATCGTGGCCGAGGTTTTGAAATCAGAGCGACCGAGCGTGACTTGAACCTGGAACACGACAGTTTTTCTTGTAGTTTTGTCACGTTTTTGCAGGACTAAATGTTGTCAGTTTCGACGCGTGCTAAGCACAACTTCAGGGTAAATGCCCATGAATTGTAGGAATCGGGAAGTCTATGCTCTTTGCGTTGCTGAAAAAAAAAGCATTGGTTAATTCTATGAACTTAAAAGATCTTTTTATGTATTTTTCAACAGTCTGAAGGAGGTAATGAAAGTGACAGGTAAGTCATGGACAACATTCTTTCTTTTTTTCCCTTCTAGTAAAAAAATGGTATTGTGTAGAGGTACGTCATCATAAAACCTGTCTTTGAATTATGGGTTCTTAAAAAAGCTAGACATAGGCATAAAGTAAGAGTTCTTCCTTGTGAACCTACTGCTTATCTTATTTAAATCAGTTCTTTTCTTTTACTGGTCTTGCTATTTCACTGGTAATTTTTAAAATCTCAGATTTACTTAAAGCAGTTTTGTACAAAATGTGGTGAAAAAATAAATCGAAACTTAAACTGTACTCGTTCATATGCCGTGTTTAAAAACAACAATACTCCTGGGGGCGAACAAAACTCACCAACTCTTCAGACTCTCACGCGATGAGGTCGCGCACCTTGAAACCCCGGGAAATATGTGCTAGTCGCGTCAAAAACTAAAAAGTAATTGTTTTATTTTTGAGTCAAGGCTCTCGAAGAAAAAAAGCTCACTGTTTCCCTCCAGGTCCAAATAGCTACGGCGATTTCCACTACGGCGCTCGTGGATGTGGAGTCTGAAGCGAGTACGTCATCGTCGCCCGCCAAATTTCACCCTTAAGCAAACAGTGACTACTGGGTTTCTCGCTCATTTGCTTTCGCTGTTAGTAAAACGCTGGGAAGACGTAATTACTGGAAAACCAGAAGAGTCAAATACAAAACAATCTATGATTAAAACCAGTGACTGTAAAAAATTGGAGAAAAGTCGAATTTTATTCTCGCGTAGCAGCGACTACGCCGTAAGACAGGTCTTCACGTTCTAGGGTTTAGCGCAACGTTTGCGCTACGGCGGAAGTTCATTTCCAAGCATGCGCACTTCGTCATTTTTGTTTTCTTTTTATACTTCCGGTCGCCGTAGTAGAGGTCGCCGTAACGATTTGCTTTGAATCCTTATTATTCTAGACTGCGAGCAGTTTCTCTTTTTCTTCAGATTTAGTGAGAGAAGTACACGCGCGCGGGAGCGGCGAAGCCGCGAGACACGCGTCTCGCGCCATCAGTCACGCGCCTGGCCATTTGCGTGTCTCGCGTTTTGCTCGACGGATTACAGAAAAAAAGAGAGACTGCTCGTAGTCTACCATTATTCCAACACTAGGCTCTATGTTTATCCCCTAGTGCAATCAAGAGTGCTCGTTTTAGACCAGTGAGAGATCGAGGAGACATGTCACCTCCAGCAGTGACTAATGTCGAAGCACCTTGCAGCAGAGTAAAGCCGACTCCTAAGGAGGGCCTGTCGCATATTACCTCACCACGCACCCAACGCCAGACTCGCGAACTTCTTAAGAGCGAGGGAGATAAAGACCGAGATCAAAAGTCACCAAGCACTGCACCAGAAGTTATTTATTTTTGATTATGTAAGTAAAATCTGTGTGTCAGTGTTGCCTAAAATTGTTCTTCCAATAGGCCCTTTGTAGCTAGTTATTCACGTGGTACAAAACCGCAATGCTGGCTGGCATGGTGGAGATACACTGTGAGGAGACAAACAGGAAATTACTAGTTTAAATCTTGTGCATCTCAGATCATCTTCCCCTCCCCTAAGCCAACACTTTGCCCTAAGTGGGAAGTAAGTGTTTATGTTAGCTTAGAGGATAGGTAGGTGGGCAGTTTCCCAGAAACCTACATTGATCCTTCATCTCTTGTTCGTCCTGTCCCAGTCCCCTACCACGTGAATGACTAGCTGCAAAAAGCCCGTTTGTAGGTGAGTCGGGAAATGGTAACCAGCTATGTTCGATCTCGTAGCCCGACTCCAGAGGTCTGTTCTTAAATTTATATCCAAGATTAAATAAACTGCGTCCGTGGTTTTAAAAACGCGTTGCTCCTGTTTGTCACGTCTTCGCCGCTTCGTTTTCACCTGATTAGGTCCCGGTTAAAACGTCGCCGTCGCAATTCACATGTAATGTACCGAATTTATTGTTAATGAAGAACATCAATTGTTCTCGCTCAGGCATATGCGACGTTTGAACTGAGCCTTTGCCTGTTCCAGGCGTTCAGACACTGGGACGGCTGAAAGAGAAGTGCCGGAGCAGGGAACAATAGCTTAGGTTGGAGGTTAGGAAGAGAAGGCGAAAGAAAGCTCTTTCCCCATTACAATAAGACAAAAAAAGACGCAAATAATACGTTTTTGAATAGTCTTAGAAAGGACGAAGTTGAAGCCCAAGTGGAATGTACGTTAAAAATATGGAAAGGGCTAGGGTCACCGGTTATTATTGGTTATTATTCCCCTTCTACTATTTGCATATACCCGGCAACTTGAAGTTTTAGCCACAGCTGTGCAGAGAGACTAGGATACGAAAGGTCCAGGTTCCACGTCCAGGTTCGACCCTGGGTTGCGATTTTCTTTCTTTTTGATAAAAACGCTTTCAGTAACAGGTCAAAAATTTTCTAAGTGTCTTAAAAATAGCAGCGAACGTTTACGAAAGGGACAGCCGCGTCGGCGCTTCTGTTTTCTGGTCCTGCTCTTCTAAAAGGGCATGGCCGTTTCGAGAGGGCGGTCGTTGGAAAGCTGCCCATCCTATTTTTTAAAAATCTTTTTCTTTCTTCTCTTTGCAGAAACGCCTTTAATAGAAACCAGTTTTGCTCTTTACGGGGACGTTGCACGAATCAAGTGTAGAAATGTGTAAATACGATAGGGGATGATATAAAATGTACTTAATTAACTATTGTAAAGTCACTTGGATGTCAACTATTGCTATAACATAGGCTATTTTAACAGCTGCAACAAAAATTAGAGATACATTATTGATCGGTAGCTGACTTAGAACAATTGTAGTCTTCCAAAATGTTACTTTGGCTGAATCAAGGAGGAAATAACACAAAGTGAGACAATCTTACGCAACCGAGATGATTCAAATAACTTTTCTGAAGGGTGCTAGACGTCCTTGTCTTCTTCTTATCATTGTTTAGAGGCCCTTTCGTTGCGTTTGTTCTCACTATTCTAATGTAAAGGGAATCCTGATTACAGGTTTAATAACATGTTTCGTGTAAAGATGTTGCCAGAATAGATAATCTTTTCCATGCTCTTTGCCGATCTTTGTAGATTCCATTTACTTTGTTCACGCGTGAAAGAATGAATAAATCATATTTTTGTACAATTTAGTACTTGTCTCCGTATGAAATGATCAGTGGTTTATGGTTCCTCCACGTCCTTCTGTGACAAGGATGTATTAGGTTGCATATACATGGATACCTGTGATACGTGAGGGTTTGGCAAGGAAAGTCGGCCAAATCTCTTACACCTCTATCAACATGGTTTGGAAGGGCATTCTCGGGATCCAGCATTAGAGGGGCGAAATATAGTGCGGGGTTCGGGAAAAAAGCACAATTTCTTGACGGGGTACGGGATTTGACCGCTACTCAGGAAATGAGATTTGCCAAAAGCTTGGCATGGGACGCGGTATTGGGAAAGAAAACGATATTTGAGGTAGCCGGCAATGCAGGCGTTTTCTTTGGACGCGCCCTCAAGGGTTGCTATTTCTACTCTCCATAATCTTCCTCTGTCATAAAATGAAAAATGGCGGCTTCAACAGTACGAACATAAACAAGAAGCTTTCGCCCGCCTAAAAATACTACTGCATTGCAGGCTATACATGAGATAGAGATGACAGAAGTTTGGTATGCGGGAATTAAAGGAGCGGCAACATGAGCCCTAATGTGCTCCTAGCGGGAATGCGGGATCAGAGCTCCCCTCCTATTATCAGGACCTGCTGCGCTACTACCGTAGTCGAGCGAACAACTGACAGTCAACAAAGACTTTCCTCTCCGCTGGTCTACGGATTGCTTATATAAGAGTCAGTAAACCGTTCTCAGTAGTATACGGAAGACATTGCATTTCCTATTCAAGGGGAGGTGTTTAAGTGCTCGCTCCGCCCGCCATGAATTGAGAAAATGGTCGCAGGCTATCCCGATCTTACGTTTATCGCGACTACCATGAGTTTAATAGGTGTGCGCGTAGTGGGGTGCTTGAATATCGGGAGTGTGGGAGATGGGGGACGAGACGAACAACTTTTGTTCTTCATGGTTAAACTTAAAGGTTCACCCTAGCCTGAGATCATGCCCTCTCCCTATTATCCCTTTTTGTTTCCCCTCTCGAACCAAAGAAGCAAAGCAGCAAAAAAAAAAAAATTAAAAAAACAACGCCTGATTTCAGGTTAGGTTCACCCAGGATTAACCCACGTTTAATTAAAGTTTGTTAAGTAGGATCTTGTAACATGTAACTGAAGCTTATTGGATTGAACCTTTACCGAGACCCAGTTACTAAAGGCTGTCCAAAAATCTACAGAAAGATTGAGACAATCGTATTAATTATCCTGGATTAACCCTAATCGGCCTTTCAGGAACCCGGCTTAGGTCTTTAAATTAGTCCCATTCTCGTAGACCCAGGGGTTGGAAAAAAGACAAAGAAAGTTTTCACGGCTCTTCCGCCACCCGGGTCTCCGAGGATGTGTTGCTCTCACCCGCTCAAGAGACACGTGACCCCGGGGGGGCACTTGGGTATTTTTTGGGTGGGTATGTGCCGCCCGGGCCTCCAGATTGGCACCCCGTTCTAAAAAAAATTCCCCTAAAATTGATACCCCGTTCTAGAATTCGCCCTAAAACTGATACCCCGTTCTAGAAATGAGCCAATTTTTTATACTCCGTTCAGGGTGCAACAAGAGTACAACAGTTTGCTTGTTAACGCGCGCATTTAACCGTATTTTTAAAAGCAATCTGTCCTTGAATAATTTCAAATAGCTGCTTACAAAACTGGAACTTGCGTTCGAAATATTATACCCCGTTCTAGAAAACGCCTCTAAAATGGATACCCCGTTCTAAATCAGGAGCTTCAAAATCACTACCCCGTTGGGCGGCACATACCCGTATAGGTAATGTATGGGAGTACCCTCCCCGGGCACGTGACCAACTAACGTCTGACAGAACACCCAAACAAGATTGGCCTGCTTAAACAACATCTGAAGTTTCTGCTCCTATCTTGTTCTTTTCAAGCGTCTTTTATTGAAGTTTGAAGCTACTGACTTTAACTTTCTCAGCAAAAACAGATGTACCAATATGGGGTTGGCTTTTGCATACAGTGCGGAAAACATGTCATCACGCACACACTACCGTTTTACATCACTCGGCTATTGTAAACAAATCTGTATAATTCAACAATTTCCATTGATTTAATGTCACATTATCAGCAGTAAATTTACAGAAAGTTAAACATTGGAGAGGCAAATCTATCGGGTAGAACTAAATGTACATTACTTAATAATAAGTCCCCTGTTAAAAATATTATTCTGATTCCATACAAAAATATCATAAAAACATAAGGAAAATTAATATAACCGGTGGTATTAATTAAATTGGTTTTACAAGTTTTAAAATACAAGGATAATTTGTTTGCAAGAGAAAAGTAGTTACCCATTAAGTTAATTTCTAAAAGTGCTTTTACATAATCATAGTCCGCTTCCAATATCGAGAGAATCACGTCAGACGGTTAATTTGAACAGAGAAATAATACCGCTCTCGATTTACACTTCTTAGGTTTTAAAATGACGTTAAAGGAAATATGGCCTCGAAAAATTCAGAAGCCAATATTGACCGCACCCTTCCAGTTTTCCCACGAAAACTAATGACGTTTGTGCCTATTGAACACAATTGATATCTCCGATACTTCCTTGTTAAATTTCCTTCGCTCGACGATTGACATGATTGTACTCGTTGTCGCCGCATCAAATGGTTTGCGGACAACGTCCTTTTCGGCGTTTTGTTTCGGTAGTCATTTTTAAACTTGTCTCCCAGGGAAGCACTAGGGTCATATGCTCCTGCTAAGGTTTAATAGTGAAGGGCCAGTGTAATCTAGACAATCTGTTGAAGCTCCTATTAAACAGCTACAATGTTAAGGCTGGTAAAGGCCTGCAGCCCAAGAATGTCGTCATAACATGTTCATTTTTTCCCGCAGAAATATAGGATTCGCCAAACAGTCACTGAACAATCACTAACAAAATAAAATTTGAGCGTCCCTCCCGTTCAGCCCCCCACCCCCCACCCCACCTCTACCAAGCAGAAGTCATTGTCACTTCTTTTTTCGAAAGTTAAATCATGGCCAGTTTCTTTGAATGACATCATCTGCGATGCGTCTTTCATTTCACAATGACAAGCCTACAATATTAATCATGATGTCATCGTATTGTGTTTTATGCTTCAGACAAAAGCTTTGCTATAAGATGGCTTAGGATTTGTTCCGGAACGTTTCCCTCACTGAAACGAAAAAAAGAAACGTTTTTAAAATTTATACTGTAGCGCAATTCTAAGTTACTGAAATAAACTATTCTTATAATTTCGTAATGTATGTGTAGTTTTTCATTAACGCTTTTTTTCTGATAGTATATAACTTGGGGGCATGGAAATATTTCATCATCTTTCTGAAAACAGTATAACTTAACCATATTAAAACATTTTAATGGCAAAATTTGCACTGATTTGTAAACTCATGCTTAAAACTAGCTTTTCAACGATCTGAAAGCAGCCAAAGAGAAAACAGCCATGTTCCCCTTTGTCATGTTTCCCAAGTCAAAAAAATCGTAAGTTCCTGTAGCAGCATTTCCGGTTCTCAAAACAGATTACCCACTACTTCCGGTCAGAGTGACCCTTACATTCTCTATCACTCAGAGTGTTCGATGAACTTTATGTCATGTAAAACGTCCTCAAAAAACGATCACTTGGACAACGAAGACATCTTGTATTTATGCATCTACAATGAACCTTCAGATTTTTTCACACGGCTATGGTCTCCTAGTGAAGTGGGACAAATTCAACAAAGCGGTCTAGAGGTGCGATTTATCTTAACATGAGTTGTTAGAAATTCGACTTTTGTTTTCGTCGAAAACAATAGATTCAATAGGCGTTTTTATCGTCGTGTAATTATTTGGTACGAAAAGTTCTGATGCTATTCAAATTAGGATATTATTCCATACCCGTTTTCACTAAAAACAACTGAACAAATTGTTATGCGCATTTATATATGCGACTGTTCGGGAAACGATAATAAGACTATAAATAGATCGTTGTCGAGTGTTTATAAGGTGAATTTTTCTTGTGTTCTTTCTCGTGCGATCAGGGGCACTATTCAAAAGAACTAGGAAACGTAAATGGTGCGTGAAAAAACTTGCTCGAGAAGAAAGGAAAACATCGTGCAACCCTTGCTGACAGAAACAATATTTAATATTCCCGCCTGTGGGAATTATTAAACAGGTTGGCCGCGAACTGCTTCTCCCGGATTGAACGAGCTTATTTATTCATTTAAACATAGCCGCGTTGAAATGAACATCACGCAGAGCGTGCTCAGAGATCACTCTCGATTACGTGTTGGTAACGAGAAGACGGATTAGAATCTTCAAAAGCACAGTATTATGGCGATTTGAATAAACATTGAAGAGGGCAAACCGGAAACCCGAACTATGACTACTGCGACAGAAGAAATCGTCGTTAGCGTTACCCCGCGTAATAGAGCGAATTTTCGAAGGCTCAAAACTAATAGCATACAGAGTTATAAACGATGGGAAAAGGAGAACGAACTTCTGTACGCCATGATGGAAGACGAAAGCGAGTGGTTAGCCAAGTTATTTCCCGATGTGGTGATCACTCCGGATTTTTACTTCTACGCTTTGGAAGACGGTTCGCTACTTTGCCGACTTGCGAATTACATCCAAGAGAAAGCGGAATTATATTCCAAGAGGCACCACATTCCTGTGCCTGGAAAGAAATTTCGCTATCATACTATGGGCAAATGTAGTAAAGAAATCAAACTTTTTAAATCCAGGGAAAATGTGCAACAGTTTCTCACCTGGTGTCGAAGTCACGGCATTCCCGAAGCAATCTTATTCGAATCGAACGATGTTGTGCAAGTTGACGATTATCGAGAGGGTTGCAGGGGGATTATTATTTGCCTCATGGAAATTGTAAGAAGGACAGCAAAGTTTGAACTTGATGAACTACCAAAGTTAATTCAGATGGAGAAAGAAATCGAAGAGGACGAGGCACAATCTCACTCGGACATTTCAAATGGGCAAGGGCAGGTTTTGGACGTGGTGGAAATAAACAACCAGGAGGTACAAGGGACAGATCCACCAGAAATTCAAAGCCCCAGTTCTATGGACTCTGATTCCGGAGTGGACTCAGTGTTTGACCTAGAAGAAGGAGATAATGCAGCTTCTCGCCTTAAAGAGTTTTGGCATGAAGAGAGAGAAATTATAGAGAAAACGGAGATTACTACAACCACTGTGACACGAAAACAAAACTTGTTGAAACCAAAAGATCAAAAAAGTTCCCCAAAGAAGACGTCTAAAGAACTTCCGTCTCTGTTAGCAAGCACCGGGCCGAAATCCGAATTAGATAAACAGGTTAGTAGTTTATATGCATTTTGCAGTAAATTTTATGTTAACTAAATGAAAAGTTTTAAGTACTGCTAATTAACGATTCCATGGATGAACGCAGTTTAAAAAAAACATACTACACTGGTGAGAATGTTTGCAAACTGACTTGTTTCGATCTGAGTTCGATAAGTAGGAGGTGGAATTTCATGTGTCCGGACTAAACTGCTTAATTATAACTTCCCCGAAAAAAAAAATCCACATAATATGAGTACAAAATAAAATTTTTTAGTGTGTACAGTTAAGCAATATCCGATCAGTGCAGTGCCACTGATGGCGCTCATATTATGCAAATATAATTCCACTTCATTAATTGCTGATCAAAGTTGATAACAACGACATTCTGGTCGACTCGCGTTTCGTCTGAAACTCATCTTTCATCTAAGAACGGAAAATTGAGCCCCTTATGAAAGCTATTGTGAATTGTAATTTTATTTATATGTCGATACTAAAATGGCTCGAAATCATTAATAAATATAATACATTTACAATGTAACCTGATATAAAAGTCGCATTTTTGGACAATTAAAACCACCTGTCCCATGTCAACAGCCGGAAAGCTTTTTTACTTAGCGAAAATAATAGCGTCGTATTAAGTTTGAATGGTTTTTTGAGACACGTCTTCAGCCTAAATCCATGGAAACAAGTTTACGTTCGGGCGCCAGCTTTTCCCTGGCTAAAAAGCCAGTCAAATGCACTTTAAAATCACGCAAGCCAAGTATTGAACTGCAGTTCTTGAAAGCTTTAGTTATAAAAAGTGATGATTTTTTTACGAAAGTAAATAGTATTTGCATAGTTATAATGGCTAGGTGCATTATACAGCTCTAAAAGGTCAATATTTTTCCTACCACCCTGCCAGAAGCCCATGCCAAGATATAAGTATTTTTAGAAAAGAACATTCTCTACTGAAAATTTCTATATTGGTATAAACATATAGATCTTGGATGAAAATAAGTGTGTACATCACAGCTAATTAAAGAATGAAATTTGCAATTTAATAAGTTCAACCCAGGGCTTAAACATGTTAAAATCATGAATAGTTTATAGCATGCCACATAAGCAGTGATATTGTTATACAAACACAGTCATATTTAATAAAAGTGTCACAATTTATTCATAAATGTAGTCAAATGTCAACGTATTGAAATTCATACTTGGCTCTAGGGCTTGGGGGAATGAAACAAAAGAAGTGTATCAATTATGCATCCCAAAACCTAGTCTTCTTCGCAGCTGCTCAGACCCTGACTCCAGCCTGAGTGTCTGTGAAGGAGACTACCCAAAAATTGATCAAGGAATTTTTTATATTATTTACCCATTAGCCTTGCAGCCAAGTATGAGTTTTAACACTGTGCAACTGGTCTATTCATAGTGTTTTTTTAAAAATAAAATCCCTTTTACTTCCAAATATTCTGTTCAATTTTTAAATTGAGAGAAGTGTCTTCGTGTGCCTGATAAAGTGCTTCAAAATATTTCTTTTTTTAGTCTGAAAACTGATTTTTTTATATCCATAAAACTTTTTGAAATCTCAATTCCTCACTGATCTCCACTTCTGACAAATGTACAGAGAACTTTCACTAAAATGTACAAAAACTAAAATGGCTTGATTAAAATAGTGATCATTAAGGCTGCTAACGGCCCTGCTTAAACATTTCGTGCTAGAATATAAGCTACAGTGGCCCACAACTGTCATGGCAAAACCAAAACCTCATGGCAAAAACAAACTACCTCATGGCAACACCGAAGACCTCAAGGCAAAAACAAAAACCTCACAGCAAAAACAAAATACCTCACGACAAAACCAAAACCCTCACCGCAAAACCAAAGACCTCATGGCAAAACCAAATACTTCACAGCAAAAACCAAATACCTCACGGCAAAACCAAACACCCACGGCAAAACCAAAGCTATTTTGTTTTTGCTGTGAACTATTTGGTTTTGCCATGAGGTTTTTGGTTTTGCCATGAGGTATTTTGTTTTTGCCGTGAGGTTTTTGGTTTTGCCGTGATGTTTTTGTTTTTGCCATGAGGTTTTTGGTTTTGCCGTGATAGTTGTGGGCCACCATAATAAGCAGTGAATCTATTGTGCAGTCTTTAATGAATTTTTTTACCCATAAACGAAATAATAATGAAAATTAATAGTAATAATAATAATAATGACAAATACTCCAAGTTCTATTTGCCTCATTCATCATTCAAACAGGTGTGCAAGATTGCTCAAGACTACAACATTAAAATTGTTCATCGTCTCAAAGAAGGGAAGTACATTATACTTGGGCGAATCATGTTTGTGCGGGTAAGTATAACCTGAAAGGCCAGTTTTGTGCATTTTAAGATTTTGTTGCTGCAGAAAATATCCCTCCTCCATGATGGGTTTGGCTTGCCCCACCCCCCCTACCCCCAAGAGGCACTTCAAATTCTGACCCTGTTTAAAAAAAAGTTGTTCATTTTGCTATCCTTATGACTGTAGAATAGACCATTTTCGATATATTAAAATTCATACAGCATCTTGGTTCCAAGGCTTGGGGGAATAACACAAAAGATTTTTTTGGGTTTATTCCCCCAAGCCTTGCAGCCAAGTATGAATTTTAATATATTGGAACTGGTCTAATATGTAGTTTTTCAAACTAAAAACATGGAATTAGATAAATTGAAAAAAATGTTGGTACCACAAATGAAGAACTCTCATCATCAATCCCCACACATTTTAAAGACAATTAGAAGGCTTTGACGGTCCAAAATATGCTAATAAGTGAGATCATATACCACGTTTTAAGACTCAAGACCCTAAAAACCACCCCTGTTCAATTCTCCTATGCAGTTAAGGCCAAATAAGGGAGTGCTCTTCTCTCCAAGAACCCCCTACTCCTTTGAAGAATTCCAGTTATACTTAAAAGTTTGGTATTTTTATGACCCCCCCCCCAACTGAATTTCCTATGACTGTCTATGGTAGGTATGGATATTTCTGACACCACAAGTTCTATTTTACCTCTTTGGACAACTTTGTCCATCGGAAAATGGGTGAAATCTTTTTTCTCATTTTTTTTGTGAAGTTAAACAGTTTACTAAAAATAATCCTGTAACATTAAAATTTTTGTGTAATATTGGCCCCAATTCAATTATAACATTATTTAATGTATCTTGTTTGCATTTTCTTTGTAGATGTTAAATGATCATATGTTGGTCAGAATTGGTGGTGGTTGGGATACACTGGAACACTACCTCATGACCCATGCACCATCTAAAGAAGGTATGTAGGCTAGGCTGTACACTGCTGTGTTATTTTGGCCTGTGTTTGGAGGTCATGGAGTCTTCAAGAGGCTTAAGGGTGTCTGACCGCTAATAGGATTTATTTGATTACTAAGGATAGTCTCATGTCTTGATAGTCATGACCAGGAGCCCATGGACTCCTGTCATGACAGGGTGGTCGAGGTGTCAAACTATCTACAAAAAACACTACCAGCCAAAATTGGCGGATCTAGCGGAGGAGCCCAGGGGGCCCTGGTCCCCTCCTTACTTTAAGGTCAAACCGAAACCTGCATAGCTTGCTAATGCAGATGTATTTCTGTATGCCGCTATTCTCTTTTCCTGAAAAGTAATTTTTTGGGTGGAGAGAAGCAACAGCCAGAAATACATTATTTTGCATTCAGGGCTGAGAAGAATTGTCTTTGATGCCGGGGTCCCCTCTTTTCTGAGGCACTAAATGAGCAATAATAATCATCATCATCTTCATCAACTTTATTTAACGAGGGTAACACAGGAGAGTAATTCAACTGAATAACTAGTGGCCCTCAAACTAAAACTGTAAAAGATAAATTAAGCAACCAAAAATACATATCATTAAAGAAAAAGGACTATAAGTATGTATATGAATAAGACTAAAAAGTGTAAAAACTATATTACAATATTATTATAAAATATCCTTACAATGAACATCTACAAATTATTACAATAAGAATACAACTAGGATGGGTCAAACTAGAGGAAGGTTGTGAAATGCCGGATTAGCTTAAAACTAAGAAATAAAATTAAGTTTCACTTAAAATAAATGAAGATCTGAATTCACCACTGACCTGAGCTCTAATGCTATCATGTGCAAGTCTTATTCTTGCCCATCTTAATGCACCCACGACAATTTCTTACTTTCCAACAAATAAATCTGGACTAATAAAGGAAGATCATTTTAAACAATAAAGATTGAGATAAATAATCAGTGATAGTTTCCATGTTTTGATGTTTAGTAATGATTAACAATATCTTTGGCATATTATAACCTTCGAAATTAGTAGTCGGAACATCTTCGGTAGCCCTAAGAACATTTTCAGATAGGCTCGGCAGCTGGTTTAATAAATGGAGATAAAAAACTCATAAAACACCAGCGTTGAAAGCGTGGACAGAAGTAATCTGACCCGAGTCTGATCAGTGAAACATGTTGTTGTGCCAAGAAAATCAACTTCAGGAGTTGTATTAAACGATCATGTCTCATAAATCGGCTTAGATAAGTTTGTGCTTTATTCACAAATAAAGGGCAAACGGTTCTTAACGGCGCTGGTGAGGCACGTTTCGGGCAAAGTTCTTATTTTCTCAGGGTCTGTAATCTTGACATCCCTTGAACTGACTTTGCAGACACCATAAACACTGAAGTACATTAACATGAAATTTCTGCAGTTGGCCTATTTAGCTATAGATATGTCTACTTGCTCTTATAAACGATATTTTTTGTGTGAAAAGTGTTGTGTTACAATTGTTACCTGAGCAGGAAAAATCATTTCAGTTCTTCAAGGAAAAAAATAGCTATCCTGTTTCATAACAAGAAGGCATAAATTGTGTGACAGGTGAAAAATGTAGTAAGATGAGATTAGCTCAGGCTTACGTACGCACCTCGCGAAGGCATCTGTCAGAAGCGAAGATTTTTTATAACAGTTAGGGGGCAGAGAAATGGATATATTTCAAACAATTTCGCAAGATTATTCTGATGCTACTCACCTTTGGCTCGGTTGGATTTAAATATTGTAGGCAAGAGAAAAACTGGCTAGGCGAGTTAGTGATTTGCATACAGCTGACTTTGAAAGCAGTAAACAGAAATTTGACGGCTTTTGTTATTTGTTGCGTTTTGATTGGCTGACGTCTCCTAACACGCCCTTACGATTGTTTCCCGTGGTTTGACTGCGCCCTAGCGTAAAATGGTTCGATTGGACCGATGTTATAGAGCTCTTTTTCTACGTGCAACACAACTTGTATTGGCTTAGATTTCAGCGGCTCTTGGCATTTCCATCTGTTGTGCTGTTTTATTCCAAAGCACTACTCCCAGGAACTTCGATTTCGAAGGTAAAGTTTTGTTACTTTTCCACGAGTTTTGTCGCGTTTTGTGTTTTTGATACATGTGTGTGTATTTGAGGAGAAGAGTTGTGTTTTGTGAGATATCGTGTTTTTGGAGGAAGGATCAAGACAGATGTCTGCTGGCTTGTCCTTCGGGTACCGAACTATAAATTAAAAAACAGTCTGCCTTACATCTACGGTAATGTCTTTCCAGCAATCGTTCGAGAACGGGTTTACAAAAGTCGGTCATCGATGGAGTCGCCATTAGTAATATTTTTCGAGTCGCTTGTGGACTCCAACAGTGATCAACGCTCGAACCATGCAAAGTAACGCTCTTTTAATTTGCCACATTCAAATTTCTGTCTCTTGAAATCTCGCTTGAATTGAGTTTGTTATTTCTAGCAAGTAATGTGTAAACATTCCCACACCTACATTCCTATCAAATCGAAGAAACAGAATCGCTAGTCAATCGTACGCGTGCTGATTAGAGTCGAAACTGAAAATGTGGAAAGCGTGAATCAATTCTTGAATGCCAAAAATGTCACCTAATCTATTCGTGTTAATTTTCACGCTGACCCCTTGTACACTTTCAAAGTAATTTTTACTTGACCGCGTAGAATTCTGAATCGTAAATTGGCCGATTCTTTCTTTTGAAAGATCTTGAACTTATTAGTTCAGACAGTTGTATTAGTTACTAAAATTCTAGTCCATTTGCTACATCAACATACATAATGATGCCTCGATTGTGCACGCAACGGAAAATCGTGTGAATTTTATCGAAATAAAAATCTTTTTAGTTTTTGACGATTCACATGCAGTCGCTAGCTAGTTACAAATCTACTATTGCTGAATTAGAAACGTACAATAAAATTGTTATGCTCTAATTGATGGAAAACAGAATGGCAATTTGACTCACGTAATTAACGTCTTAGGAAATGGTCTGTTAATCTTAAAGTTACACAGTGTTATTCTGTGATTCTTCATGCCAACAACATTTCTGTATTATCTTAGTTTTAAATATTACGAATAAAAGTGTAATTATGAGAATAACCATTTTACTTTTTTTTTTAAGTTGCCAGACTTTTCTAAGCAAATACTTATAAGTTGTACTTCAGATATCAGATCTTACGTCCGATAACTGTACTGTACATTTATTATATTCTGCTGGTGATTAGTCTAACCTTACGTTTGTTGTCACTTGACAACTTGCCACACCCTGACTAAATTTAGCTGATGCTGATGTAAATTAGGGCTGCATTATCCTTTAATCAGAGAGAAAAACAGTTTGAGCAAAATGAATGTGGACAAACATGTAAAAATTACAAATATTATAAACAGAAACTAATTATTTAACTGCAAATTGGTTCTATTGTCTTTTGACCCACTTTATTTCTGTATCAACATGGAATTGTGTGGAACAGGAAATGCCAATATTTAGATTGTACTCTTCTGAAGAGAAGGAAATTCTGAGTCCCAAGCTTAAGGACCTACCCAGCAAGAAATCGCGATGAACCAGTAATTTTGTTACAAATAGTTATGGTGAATCCTGGCACTCATCTTGTGAAAAATCATGAGTCCCTGTCCATAACCAATGAGAATCAGTTCAAAAAACAGGGAGTCCTAAACTGAAAATACTTGGGCCTTCATGTAACCAGACAGTTAATCTGGAGACAGATGCTAAAACTCTTTATTAGAGTTTACTGAAATTAAAATACTACAGTATCTGTATGTCAGCTGCCAACACATGAAGAGACCAAAATTTCATTTAATATCAAGGATCAAGACAAATCAAAGTTAAAGTGTTTGTAACTTTAACCGAAAGAATTAACACATTGCTACAAGTATGTCTTCCACAAATTTGCATTTTGAGCAAACAAAATTTTTTGGAAAGTTTTTAAGTGTAATTTTCTTTGGCGCTTGACCTATCCTATCTTCTGATTACAAAATTGACAGGCTCATAATATAACATCATGAGACAAATTCAGAAACTGAAAATCAGGATTCTATGCATACGTAAATATCCCTTTTTTAAGGGTTGTCATTGTAGTTGTATCAAATTGCTAACCATCTTACTGGCATGTTTTACTATTTAACAGCTGTTTTAGTTTAAGAAAATTTGGAAAAAACATTTCTAGAGCTCAACACTTGTTTACTTGTATCTAAAGTTGCATGCTCTTCTATTTACATCGATCACAGCAAATTAACTTGGATGTAACTAAAATGTACTGAAGATGTTTTCAATGTTAGATATGACAGTAGTTTATTGTTTTTAAACATATTATCTCAACTGATTTAAGGTCTCAGGTCAGTAATACTATTAGCTGCCATGGCAACTACAGCTGTAAGTAGAAGGACTAGGGAAGTGTACACTGTTAGCCTGCCACTCCACTGCAGTCAAACATCTTGCCACTGGAGTTTTCTTGTTTCATTTACTGGGATTTCATTTACTAGCTCGTGGAAACATGGGCAGGGATGGATGAAATAGCTGGTAATCGACTGTAACTTCATCTTGTCATTTTCTTGTCAAGTTGAAAATGTATTAATTTACACTTGAGTAACCATGGCTGACCCACCAGTAACACCAGTTTCTGTGTTAAAACACTAATACAACGTTTTTAAGTAATCTTTCAAAACTTTTAGTAAATTAAACAGCGTGTTGGTAATATCTTTTACATTCATGTAAACACGGAAAGTAACAACCTTATCTCTGAAGTACTTTGCTTAGCTGTTGCAATTTTCTCTCATTGTTCCACGGCAAAACTTGCCTCAGTTTGACTTTGCTGTTGATCCCCATTAGACTCATTTTAGTAATGTTTTTTTTTTTTTTTTTTTTTTTTTTATCAAAAAAAGGAATAGTATGAATCAAAATTCATTTTTACCACCAGGCCTCAGTTGTTCAAAAGGTGGATAATGCTATCCATTGGATAAATCTCTATCCAGTGGATAGCGCAATTGATTTCCCTAATACTTATCCGCTGGATAGTAATTTATCCGATGGATAGCACTATCCATCTTTTGAACAACTGGAGCCTGTCCTATGAATTTTCTGTGTTATGATGGCATGAACACTTTAACACAGATGCAGTTTGTTTTCTGACATGTTATTTGTGCGTACATTGTCAAATCTTCTTACTATGTTATCAGGCGCCCAAAATTGTAACTTGGAACATTTTCATTTCGGCCTTCAGTGTTATAATTTCTTTTATTGGTTCCCTGCAGTTGTTGCAGTTTCTTAACCATACGATTCACTGTGGCCTCAGAAAGAAGCACTTGCTATAGATTTCAGTAATCTTCTGGCTCCTGGTTCTAATAGTAAATTTAATGGCAGTTGAAATCTTCATCCAGTAACTGATCCTGCAGCATTGGTTGTTACTGCCATTTGTCTCTGTTTGCTTTTTAAAAGTTCTCACTTTCTCCTGTATGTAATATTTTAATAATTTTTCTCATAAGATGACCTCTTGAAGTAGCTTTCTACGTGGGTCCATAAAACAATGTGTGAGAGATTCTACCGTCAAAAATTCTTTTTGCACTTGTGTCAGTCAAAAGGTTTCTGTCACTTATTTGCAGTCTATTTAGGTACCTGCAGTCGTGAAGCAGTTTTGGTGTGAATTTCCTACTTCAGAAACTGGAGAATTAGTAAAAGCTTTGGGAGCAGTGAGTTCTGGGATTGTTTGGGTGGACACGCGTTAGTTATGATTGGTCCATGGTATTCATGGCAACCATTAACCAATCATAAGGTGATAACACTTGTCCACCCTAACGATACCAGAAGTCTTTGGGCTGAAAGCTTGCTACTTGACATTGTTTCTGGTGGTATGGCTTAGTTTGGCAATATAAACACCATCGAAATCCAACCCACGAGTGCTAATTCATGATATTGCTCACACAATTTTTAGTCATAAAAACTTCCAAGATTTAAGATGCACTCATTTTACAAAGTTTTTAAATAATTAAGGTTGTGATGGTGATTAGGTTTTGATTAAAATCGCTAACTTGAAACGGACAAACAGCTTGAAGTGTTTAAATCTGTGCGTCTGAAATGTATTTAGTGCTAGAATGGTGCCATGACCTTGAGTTCTGCAGCATCGCAGATGAGCGCTTTCACTTCCCAAGGTTTCCCACATTTGCTTCTAAAAATAATCAACTCAAAGTAAAATACTTTTGTAACCTTCAGAACTAATTGGTTAATGATTATTTGTTTACGATTTATCATTGATAAACAACTCCCTTAATAAGGCTGTAAACAGCGCTGGAATTTTGTTTAGAAATTGACACATTATCGCGTTTGAAGAAAGGAAATGCATTGGCTTTCCTGTTGCTTTTTAATTTTTCTTCATTACCAGCAGAAGGAAAATTAAGATTTGCTAGGGACTGACTTCTCCCTTCTTGCTTGTCAAAACGGGTTAATTCATCTGGCGTCTCGGTCGAACGAGCGTCCATAGTCTGCTATTACCACAAGTCTAATTAGTAACAAACAGTGGTACTGAAAATCAATGACTGATTACATTTGAAAGATGACTGGTTGGCTCATATTGAAATACATCCTGCGTTACGCGTGGTAGGTTCTAGAATGTCGAACGCGCGCGGACGCGACGGGCGCGCGAGGTAATGGGAGAGGTGGCTTTCGAGAACACCTTTGGTCGTTGACTGGTACAAACGTTGCATTTCATTGAATTTTTTGAAGACGTTTAGAGGAAAAACTCTTTTTTTTTTTATTGTTGTTTTTTCTCACTGAATATTCATTTTTTGCCGATTTTTTATTCTTGTAATATTCTTAAATTTGCATTGAATTTTTGTATGTATATGTATATGTATATGTATTACATGTACCGTTCATCGAACTGTCATTAGCGTTGAAATTTTGCTATAGCGACGTTTGAAATGAATAATTTTATACGGTTAAGTTAAAAACATAAAACTGTATGGTATTAACAGATGTTTCTACACACACAAAATTATATCTATTCTTAGATAAAACGCAAATTTTCGATATTCTTATAAAATATATTCCAAATCTGCTACTTAGATCCACTATCATTATTTTAGCATATCGCTCAGACAAACCATATTTATTATACGCGATACAACAAATGTTAACTCTAAAAACTTGAAATTCTTTACAACTGAGTTGGTTATCTGGTCTGGCAAAAACGTGTCGAACAATATTCCCTGACTCAGAGTGATTTGAAGTTGCTCGTGATTTCGAATATTTCGTCCGAATCAGTGGAAGAATTTTATCTCTTCCTCTTTGTCTATATGACAAAACGAGAAGTGGGAAATCAGGGATAAACTTTTTTGATAAAACGAGACTCGAATCTCGAAGTTACATATTTTGAGAAATTCTCGTGTAAAATTATTTTTAGTTTATCTTTGTATTTTAATTTATTTTAATTCGTGTCCCTAATTAGTGCCGATGGCGCTAGAACGACCAGACACAATAATAAAGGGCTATGTATGTATGTATGTACTCTTAATATTGATTTTAGTTCCAAGTCATTTTTCTTACTAAGATGTATTTTTTTAAATAGACGAAATGCACGGTGATATTGATTAAGTTTCTATTTAAAAAAATACATTTTTAGTGCCGTTTCTCAGTTTTCTTTTAAGAGAAATTGTTGCCTAGGAGTTCACATGGAATTTAGTTCAAGATACCAGGCGAAAGAAAAATACCGAACAGTTGATTTTACGAAAAAAGTAACGATTCCTTACATCCGAAGGTTGGTAAATGAACTGAAAACCGTTTAACATCACGAATTTAAGGCTCTTATTCGTTGTGTTGTTTTACAAAAACAACCTTTTTAATTTTACGGTTGTCAGCTTGTTTTGTCTTTAAAGAATCCTGTTTCTCGTATCGTGGTTGGTTGAACGATATGTTGGCGTTATTTGCCTTCAAGCATTCTAGGATTTGCAAGCAAAACAACTTTTAAGTGATCAGTTAAAAACAAATGACGAAAAGTCCTTTAATTTCGAACAACAGTGCGTGTTTCAAGCTTAGGCATATTACTGTGTATATATATTATTGTTAACAATGAGTTACATTGTGTTTATAAATAACGATTATTTTGCCGGACTGGTAGAATGCAGGTTAAGTTTAGTCTGTCCCCAGAGGTAGTGTAATTTCGAGGCAACTTCATCATTCATTACACGAAGACAGCTGTAAAATTTTTCCCCTCCTTAACTCTTTTGTAACGATTCTGTTTATTTTTGCAGCCCTTGAAACCCGAAGTACGCCAAGTTCTCAAGCCTTCACCAGCCCGCGGAATTCTATATCGGCCAACAGTGGTGTCAGGACAAGCCTGATCGAAAAGTATAAAAAGAAAGAACAAGTAGGAGTTGTCAATAGAGGTAAGTAACTTCTAATTTATTCTTATGCGGAAGAAGTGCAGTTTCCGCAATTTCCATATGTTTGACGTTTAGTCATTAGCTTATCCCAGTATTCTTTCGAATATTGTCGAAGAATGTTTGGTTAGTGAGTTCACTAGGAGATGAGTTTTCATTCGTAATTTTATGCACCTGTTGTTCTTCTATTCGTAGTTTAAACTCTAGAATCGGTACAGTACACTTTTCTGTTGACAAGAAACCCGTTTGTAAATTTTTGTTGCATATTATCTTTACCGGGAAAGGGGATTAGCAAGGCATTTTTTTTAAAGTTTGTGTTTAAAAACTTTGATCATACAATTCATCGTTTAAAGACACTTTTAGCGGCCGTTGACGTATATTGGACGATTCTCGTTATCCGTCTTAGTCTATTTCAGTCGTGATGCAGCATTATGACAAGTGTACATATTTGATGCGGCAAATCCTTTATGTCTGTTTATTAATTTTTAATTTCTTCTGTCTCTAGACTCGCCAGTTTATTCTTCCCAAGGAAGCTTGCACCAGCAATTAGGGAATCAAACCTCGCCAAAGATCAAGGATAGAGGGAAGCGGAGTTCTCTGACAGGCAAGGACGAAAAAGACATAACAGAGGCTATACGCAAAATCTCCTCATCTGTCTCGCAGACTCTAGCCGACCGACCCGCTAGTTTTACGAGCAGGACATTTAACATTCTTAAGAGTCGTTTTGACAAGGGAATATTTGGTGCAAGTAGACGAACGTCGTCACCTGATATTTCAGTAAAAGGAAGTAAAATTCGAAGGCGTTTAAGTGATACGACTGCAATGGCGGATTTAGCTACAACTCTCGCATTTGATGGAGAGCAAGTCCCTGTCGTAAATAACAATGTTTCGGAAGAAAAACAACCCGATTCTGAATCCACTGAGGAGATTGGCGTAGGAAAGATCGTGGTACCGAATGCAATCGCATCCGGAGAGGAACCACAAGATAACACTGCTCCAGACCAGATCGATGGTACCGTCCCAGCCGAAGAGTCACTTTCTTCTGAACAATCAAGACTTGAAGACTTGTTAGGTTCTCAGGCGAACGGAAATGATAATATGCCCGATGTTTCGTCGTTTGATCCCTTGGCAGCAGCCGCCGAGCAGGACAGGCCGGTCCTGACCGATACCACGTCTTCAGAAAAACCCGAGGAACAACCTAGTAACAGCGAACTTATTGGTAATGGTGAATTGCCTCACGATGAACAGCCCTCTGAGCCTGAAACAACCGTGGAGCCTTCACCGCCTCAGGATCTTGACAATTTATTAGAAATTGCAGACACTAAACCAGTTTTGGACAATACTCCAGAGGCTTCACCGCGGCTGATTGATATTGGAGATTTATTGCAGGATTCGCAAGTCAGTGCAGCAGTGGAAGGAACTGTGGAGTCCTCGCCGTTGATTAGTGTGGAGGAAACTGCTGCTCCTAAGGAATCGGCTCCGGAAACAGAAGGTGCCGATGCTGAGCCTGTCAATTCGGACAATCCTGTTGTCAACGAGGACACGACACCAAGTGTTGAAGACGTTCCCCCCAGTGAAGTGGATCCAAGTCCGGAAGCCGAGTCGCAACCTCCGGAAGTGGCACCTGTAAAGATTGAAGAACCCTCTACGGGTGAAGAAACTGTAGCTATCTCTGAGTCACTGGAACCTTCTAAATTAGAAGAAGAACCTGCAAAACCCGACGAAGCAGTTCCTATTGAAGAAACGGCTGCTGGAGAGCCTGAACCACCCAAGCCGGAGGAAGGGACTGTTAAAATCGCTGAGCCTGTTAGCCTTGTAGCGGACGTCAAATCTGAAGGCGAAAGCACGGGAGTGGCTCCTACTGTGGAAGAGACGAGCACGCAGGAAGAAAGCCAGGCTCAAGAAGCCACTGTTGTTGAAGTTGCTGAGAGTGCGCTAGTTATAGCGGCTGAAGTGAAGGAAGAGCAGAAGCCCGCGGAAGATCAGCCTCTGAAGGCAGAGAAGCCAAAGGAAAAGACTACAAAGGCAAAGCCTGCAGCGGCTGGCACAAAAGAAAAGTCTGCATCTAAACCTAGCTCAGCGGCGAAAAAGCCAACTGGAGCTGCAAGACCCACTTCACCTACAAAGGTTGCCACGTCGGCGGCGGCGAAAAAAGACGTTAAACCGCCTACTAAGAAAGTGCCGCCTTCCAAGCCTGCTTCGGCTAATGCGTTTGCTGTGAAGGCAACAGCAACAAAGGTACCTACTACCAAGACTCCAGCCACAAAAACTCCAACCTCAGCGGCTGCGGGTGTTAAGAAGCTTGCAGCGAAGTCTAATGAAACCAAAGCTGACGAGGCGAAAAAACCACAAAGACCCAAGAGTGCAGTATCAGCTCGTCCGTCTACACAACCCGCTGGACGTGCGACGAGTCAGGCGCCAGATAAGAAAGTTCCGGCGTCGGCCACGAAAACGCCCGCGACTAAACCTCCTGGTCAAGACGTAAAAGATGGTGGTCCACCAAAAAGTGCGCCGAAGACAACAACGGCTAGACCTTCATCTGCAAAACCAACTGCGAAGACTACCACCACTGGAAAGAAACCACTTTCTGCTAAACCGACGCCCACACCAAGCACAAAGCCTGTTGACAGTAAAGATGGGACTGCACCCCCAAGAAACCAGCCGCTCGACCTACAAGTGCCAAACCCAAGCCCACGACCAGTTCCACGACCACAACCACAACCGTGAAAAAGACAACAACGATAACAACCACTGTAACCAAGAGTGGTACAGCTGCCCCGGGAAAAACTCAGACAACCGCCACGAAAACAGTTACGCAGGCGAAGACGGGTCAGCCGAAAACTACCGCAAGTACAACAACCACTACAAAGACGTCTGCGAAAGCATCAACAAGACCTACCTCGGCTGCTAAAAAGCCCGCGGACATTAAGCCTGCATCCACAGGTGCGAAATCGAAAATCGGTGGGAAACCGAGCGCGGGAAGCATCGGTGGTAGACCTGCACCGAAATCTGCCTCAAAGAAAAAGACGGAAGAACCGGTGAAAGAAAAAGAACTAAAACAAGAAGATAAACAACCGACATCACAGCCGGAACCCGAAGCTGCAACTGAGGAGAAACCGACTGAAGAAGTGGAAACTAAAACTGAAGACAACCCGACAGAAACTGTGGAAACAGTTTCAGAGGAGCGGCCAGTTAGTGAAGCGATCTCCGAAGAGAAATCGACCGAACCAACACCTGATTCGTCTGCAGCTGAACAAACGCCAGAGTCGATAGAAGTCTCTTCGAAAGAATTCGTTGATCAATCAAACTTTGTTACACCTGTTATGACCACTGAAACAACAACAACAGTGAACGAGGATGGGGAAGAACAGACAACAACAACGACGGAAGAATCCGTGAATGAACAGTCTGTGGAAGGGAGTTGAAGCAAAGTTTGTTACCAGAGTATGTCGAGTGGTAGAAAAACAATTTACCCCAAAGACTGGAACGTTGGTTATAACGTATGATGAAAAAAGAGATCAGTTTTTTGTGTGCGTTGCTTAGACAGGAGAGACAGGATCGCTAAAAGAAGTGATTTTAAATTGTTTTCTTTGGAGTAAGTTAAAGAAATGGAAAGGCCCTTTACGCATTAACTGAAATTCTTTTGGTATTATCCAAGAGATTACGGTGTTTACACGACAGTAGATGAAAACGTACAAGTTTCAAACTCACCCACAGCCTTTTCAAAAACTAAATTAAGCTCGAGGAAATCGAAGTTAATGCCACTACATCATCAAACGAAGCGACTATTAAAATGGTCGCTTCGTGTCAACGCCTCGCTATTGTGGAATCTTGGATATATTTCCATGGGAATGAACAACAAGTATGCACAAGGTCGATTTTGCATGTTTGATTTCTGTCCCAATTTAACCAGCAAAGTAAGTCGGATTGCTGGAGTCTTATTTTGATCGAGTGGCCGTCCACAACTTGTTGTCTCAAACAAGTCAAAGAAAATTAACATTGATTGTTCTTCGAACGTTGCAACGCGAGTATTTCTCGGTCAAAAAATGTTGGTATTCGCGGGAAAATAGATTTCACTTTGGCATAATACGCAAAAAATATTTTTCAATGGTTGATGACCAATTTTAATTGCCAAATAATTTAAGAAAAGCAGCCGAGTGTGTAGGCTATTTGTTAAATTGCACTTAGTGTTATATTGTAACTTTAAATTTCCTAGAATCGCTATTTCATTCCAGAGCTAGCCCTAAACTAAGGCCGAATTTATAGAACTAGGATTTCTCAAACTCTCTGACTGATGTAACATGTGAAATCTTTGATCGAAAAGTTCTCCGAGTTAGGGGTAATAATGCGGAATTTCGAACTAAATTGAACGCCATCCACATTTTTGCTAATACAGGTGTTTCTATATGTACTTTCTTGTTCATTGAACTTTTTGGTAAATGGCTTTTAAAGCCATTTGCCACCGTTTGCAGCCTTTTCATTATTATTTATAAGCGATTTAGGGAAACCAATCAGACTGTCCTACGTTTCATTACTTTTGGCAGTTTAAAAACCGTTCAGATATCACCCATTAGTTCTAACTAGCAAAGCGCGTGGATACCATGATGTCCCGTCGCAGAATGTCTGTGTGATAGGATTTTCAGCACTTTCATTCCCTTGGTAACTGAATTTTTGTGTCTATGGATGAAATCATTCAAACGAAACCTCGTTTGGCGTAACAGTAAAGACCCGCGACTAACCTGCATTTTCCCAAGTTAGCCAAACTTATTAACAGGTTCTTACATAAGTGGTAATTAGTACAAATTCGGGCTATTTAGGTTCTTATGTTCTGAAGAAAAAAATAATAATCGTAGCTAACAGCATTAAGTGGTATTCAGCTTATTCGTCATTATAAAATCTGCATACCATTACGCTGCAGTAGGAGCCTCCCACTGCAATGTAATGGTATGCAGATTTTATAATGACGAATAAGCTGAATAGTGATAAGGTACTTACGTCTCCAAAGAGGATCCTGAATGTTGACTTATCTTATTTGCCCAATTGTACAGAATTTTTGTCATAGATTTTAGAAAATCAGAACCTGTTTCAAATTTTAGGCTAAACAGGGGCCTAACTGGCATGGTTCTGACAAACCAAATTCTAAGTCGCGGGTTTTTACCGTATTTTTCAAAATGAAATGTTGGAAGTTTTGAAATTGTACTCTTTGTGGAAGTGAAAGGATAAAGGCGTTTCTTCTCTTGGTGCAAAAGTTTTGTGTTTGTTAATTTATGTGTTAGTGTTTCCATAATCATCTCACGGCTATTTAAAAGGTTTTTTCCTAAGAATTTATTCACGTTTTCATTCAGCCATTTCGTAAAGTATAGTTTGTAGAAAAATCACTAGGCATGTGAAAGTATTGGAAGGATATTAAGATAAAAGTAGAAAATATTGTATTTTGCGTTATTTTGTACATAAGAGATGGCAGACAAGAAAAGTTCATAAAATGATGGAACAAATAAAGAAGTGAAAATAAAAGTAAAAAAATACATTTTTACCAGTCATTCTCTCCATGTCACATGCTTTAACCTTTAACCCCAAAGATTGATCAACATTCAATTTCTTGTTATGGTGATACTGCTCAATCAAACTGAAGGTTGTGAGAAAAAATGAACAGACCACCAGATAGAAAGGTTTTGATCGCTTAACAAATTCCTCTCATTAGCACCATAGAAAGTCTACAGAGAACAGTGTGGAGAATATGGAGGTTGATAATTAACACTCAATATTATTGAATGAGGCGGAGGATGATGTGAAGAATTAATTATGCAGGTCGAGGGAGGACGCTTACCGACGGAGGTGGCTAAAATCTTCCAAGATATGAATAATTCTTCTCATCATATGAATGCCGAATTCAATAATGTTGTTTTTTCTTGAAAATACCGGTATTTCTAAGTTCTTTACAACCTTACCAGGTATGCGAAGACTGACTTCAAAACGTTTGCTTTGCTTGTCCAAAGGGTTCAGGATTTAGTGAAGTCCATCGAGATATATTTTCGGTGTATTATTGCATTCCTTCTGTTCAGTTTTACTGGGAAATTCGGTTATTTCGTCTTTGGGTAGCCGTGAACTCTTTCCACGTTTGTAGGAAAACAGCTGGGCTGCCACGCCACTGCCTGGAAACGAGGTAATGGTTGCCTACATGTTCCAAATATGGTCAGTAACCACTCCACTCATAACACAATAGATCAGGGTTGGCCAGGGGAGGGGGGTAGTGGTATACCAGTATACCCGAAAAAAATTCGCCGAAATACCCAAAAATACCCAGAATTCATCCAAATATACCCAAAATTATACCCAGGTATACTTTATACCTGAAATTCAAAGAAAGTGATATACCGTATACCCGATTTAAAAAACCCCTGTATACCGTATACCCAAAAACCCTGGCCGACCCTGATAGATGTTTCTGGAAGATTTCAAGTGTTCACAGTTTTGCCAGTTTGACTGTAAAGTGTAAGAAAAACCATAGAAAGACGTTGGGACATTATGCCAAACTGACCAGTCAGAAACCAGTTGACCTTACTGGATCAAAGCCTTTCATTTACCTTTGAATTAACCAAAATGGTCATTACTCCTCGGTAGCTACAAAGCCACAAACTAATTGAAGTTTTAACTTGCGGTTTAGTTTCTCTCGCCCGATATTCCTGGTGTTCACGGACGGTTTTCCTGGTTTGACTGTAAAAAATGAAGTGGACAGTCATGACACATTCAAAAAACACTAAGAGCACATTATCCAGAGACTGTTACGTGTAAGTCAGCTTTGCCTGACTGTTTTTAATTGATTGAGGAGTAGTCCAATAAATAAAACTGTACAGATTAATACATTAGATCAAATAAATAAACTACAGATGTTTATTACGGTCATAGAAATTAATAATATCTTTCTGTTCCTTCTGATTTGTTATGAGTACCAATCATGTGAAATGGAAACGGTATGTGACTGCCACAACCTAGCTCTTGACAAAGCTTTGTCTGACAGGCACGTTTGTGGACATCTAACTTATGTGCACACCATCTGTCAGTGATGGTTGATAAAGTCAGACAGCTATGCAAAGTAAGGTTTTCTTGAAAAGGTAATGCAGTGAGAGTAAATAAATTGTCCTTACAAACAAACAAAAGCCCACTTGATAATTCTAATGGACAAAACTCATGGTTTAGTCTTTTCCATTCATCAAGCTAGAGGGAACAGGAGGAAGCTTGTGACCAAGGTTGCCACACCCTGTTTTGCCCTATGTGGGAACCAGCCAACAACCCAATAAAACTTCTAAATTTTTTTCACACTGTATTATTTTGCTGTATCTCTCTGTCTGTCTTTGTCTCTCTGGGTTTCAATAAAAATTTTAAGAAAAGTGGCAAGCATGCAGCCTCCCCGAGAGGCCTCGGCAAATGAGCAAGGGGAAAAAGTGGAGGGGTTTAAAATCTCCAAAAGCAGTCACCTGTTTATGTAACTAATTGTAGCTTTTATCCTGGGCGGGGGGGGCCCTCTGGGTTTTATCCTTAGGGATAATTTTACTACACTTTTCACATGAATTGACGATCTCCCCTGCTGGGGCTTTGGAAGTGCTGGTGCTCTGAGAGATCCAAATTGAATAACTCAACATTATTTTGAGTTTAACACTCAAAACATGCTATAGTTGTGGTAAAAAAGGACGGCATTTGCCAATTTCGCTATGCCATACACTTTGTTTGCCCTCTTAGATTTGGCATAGGCATTGTCCTCAATTTCTCTTGGGACGACTGTAACAACAAGAAAAAATTGGAAACAATGCTTATGCAAAATGTTGGAGGCAAACAAAATGTATCATGGGGAATGCGATTACACAGGGCAATTTTTTTTGCAGCAACTCCTTCCTAGGCTTCAGCTTGGGCATGTGAAAAGACCATGAATTGCTGACTGAGGTCTTCCATCATGCCTTGTTTATTACCATATGGAGGGGTTATGTTGTGGATTGGCACCTCTCAGTCTGAGGGCAAGATCCGTAGGTGAATTATCTGGTATTGCATGAGGACCAGAAGTGAGTGCATGATATTGACTGTCATCATCTTCTCTTCCGGTCAATACCACATTCCGTAATTCAGGAAACTCGTGAAATGGGAGGTATGCCTCACCATAAGGCAAACCTATGTCCTTTCTCATGGCTGTTGTTTCAAATGATGTTTCATGTTCTTCCCAATGCCTGTCACATGCAGCACACAGAAAATTCGAGAAAAATTTGGAGCATCCGCACCCCTTGACTTTGCATCTCCTGAGCCCCGTGGGGTGGTGCTCCTCGTGGGTGTGTTTACATTTGCACTTAGCCCGCCACGTGCTTGGGTCATAACCCGGACGGCGCTGAAGCCAGAATTCACCCGCCTCCTCGGGACGGGACGGGATAAATGCGAACGCCTTACACTCACATCGCGGGGCGGTACAAGGGACCATGACACTCTTCCCCGTGTATTGGGCATGTTGGTTCAATAAATGACCACAAAAACATTTCGAACTCTTACATACCCGGATGCAATCATGTTTAAACTCGGGACAGCGCCATCCGATATACACCCCAGACTGAATGGCGTCTATGGCCGCTTCGCGTTCGGGATCAAAGAGCTTCTTGACTCTCGGTGCAAAGTCGTCGCCATGCATCGCTCGGGCCACAGGCAACAGCTCTGCTTTGGCCGCTGGGATAATAGGTCGCATGGTATAACCTTTCGGTGCTAATATTCCCTTCGATTTTGGAACCACAGCTTTTTGAGAACTTAGCTGCTTACCTCCGACTTGTGGCTGCGAAGACCCTCCTCGTCCTGCGCTCACATTCGGTGACTTTTCAGCAGTAGAAATTTTAGTCTTTGCTAAAGCTGAACTTCCAGAATACCTCGAATATCTATTGCCAGCCACCGGACTTCGTTCCCGCTGAACTAAAGATTTCCCTTCTTTTGAGGGGTTTCGAGGTCCCAGAGAAAGATCTCTTAGCGGTTTATCCAAGGAATTGATCGAGGAGTTTGCTTTAGAATTTTTGTTTTGTTTCTTTCTCGACGTTTCTGCGTACGCCATTTTTGAGTAGCAACAATGGTACGCGAGCAAACAATCAGTGATGGTCAGCGGAAAGACAGCACAGTAGCTATCGTCACGTCATCGTCACGCAAAAACCAGTAGCGTTAATGTCACGTAAGAACTGGCGTGTTGGTGAAAATGCAAATCCCACAGATTATTTCATGCTCAACAGACTTCACTCTTGTCTCTGACCAAACAAACCTGTTTGCTGAACAGTTTCTTTGACAATAAGTGGATTGTAGAAACTATCACATGCAATCAACCTTGCTTTGCAAATTGCAACAGGACTCAATCGGTGAAAGTAAGCAATCACAATATTATATAAACAGAGAATGTCGCGATAAAAATTGTTTAAAAGGGAGAGGCGAAAATGACGTACAACACAAACACTAGAAAGGAAAATTACTAAAGAGATGGACTACATGAATAATTCGTTAAAGGGATGCAAAGTTCTAAACAAGGTATGTGAAAGGGTACCATTTGTCAGTCGAAGGTATATGAAAGAGGTACTTTTTTCATGAAAAATGGTATATAAAAGGGTAAGGGGTTGGACTTAGGGACGGAGCCTGTCGATATAAACATACCCCATACCCCAGGTAGGTGGGGTGACCCACCACATGTTACCTCACCTTTCTGGGGTCCCCCACCTCCATGTAAACGGGCCCTTTAGAACAGACCTCTGGAGCCAGGGTATTGAGGAACGTGTCCCACGAGGGGACGAGGGCTTTAATCCACGGTTCAAAATACTGCCAGTCTCAAGTATTTTAAATCCCTTGAAATGTTCAGAAACGTACAAGGTCCTAAAACGTAACCTATGATGACATCGATGAGAGCCAGATTAAATTCAAAGGGCCACTTAATATCAGACTGCAGTATTCACCAGCCAAACCTATCAAGTGTGGCATAAACGTTCTTGTTGTCTGTGAATCAGACAGTGGCTATGGACACAAATTTGAAAGGTAGGGACGGTTATGCGAGCAAGAGAGGAACGCTCTCTTCTGAACAGATGGTTTTGTCGTTGCTGGAGAGTTGTGAAAACAATGGACATGTTGTGTACATGAAGATCTTTTACAGCAGCCCAAACCTTTACCTACAGTTGCAGAAAAAGGTGCTGTGTTACTGTCTTGGCAACTAGAAAACAAATGCCCCAAGACATGCTAGGGGTGGCGAATGGTAAAATCCGAGACTCGCCGAGACGCCGAGATCCTAGTTAGAAATCCGAGCCCGAGACTCTTTGGTAAAAAGTTTCGAGACTCATAAAAAGTAAAAACAAACCATGCAGAAACGATACTTCGAGACTTATCAAAAACGCTTCCGAGATTTCGAGATCCTGCCAAAATTTTCCGAGACCCACGTTTTTCGAGGTACCATTCGCCACCCCTCATGCTGTCAAGGCTTTTTCCCCTAGAGAGAAGACCCACCCAAATTTATGCACTCTGGAGACCTTGTTGCCTGTGCTTGGCATGACACCAAGAGTGTTCATTTTCTTGGTACTGTACATAATGAGTTCACTGTTGACATCAGGCATAAAGGCTCTGAAGGAGGCTGGAAGACCGTTGAGAAGCTTGCTATGGCTAAACGGTACAATGAGGACATGGCAGGGATTGACAAGATCGATCAACTTCTTGGAAGTTACGATTATCCACACATATCCAAAAGTGGTAACAGGCAATTATTTACAACAGTAATGAGAGAAATTGCATTGGTTAGTAGATATATCATTTTACAAAAAGGATAAAGCCAGTCAAAATGTAAATAATGGAGGAAATTAAGGCCAGTACTGAAAGGTACCAGGGATAAAAAATGTCATACCTGTTCTAAAAATTTTAATTGGTTGGAATACCACACCCCTTTGAAAATTCCAGCTAAGCTTACAGTCTTTCCTTTGCACATTTTAGCCCTTAAGATCCCCTCCCCCTCTAGATTTTCCGGTGAGTTAAACACAACAGGGCTTCTAAAAAATACTGATTTGGCTCCCATCTTTATACTAGAGTGCATAATGTTTAGCTGCTCTGGTATAGACAGTGGACGTGGCAGCCATTTGAAGGGCAAGGAAAAGGGGGGAATTATTGGGGCGCATACTTGCATGCCTTCAGTCCTTGTTTCCCTTCCCCTTCAAAACTGAAGCAACATGGAACATGCTTTTTTAAAGGTGATGACTGAAAACAAATCCTTTGATTTGATTCTTCAGAGCATGGGAGCAAAAATATTGAGGATTTGGACTCTCCCCATTTTTAGGGTGCACATGGGGATAAAGTCATTAAAAAAAGGAATGGTTTACTCAATCAGGTGAGGACTGTAAATTCTATATGGCTTTCAACAACATAAAAAATAACATATATCTTTATTTGTTTACAGACATAATCTTTTGTTTTTCTGCCTTCCATGTCTCTTTTAGAGCATTCTTGACTGAGTCATTTTCAAAGATATAATCTATGCTGTTTAAAGTTAAATCCCACACTTCTTCTTCTGTTAGGTTAAATGTTTTGGCCATTATTGAGTATTCTTCTGACAAAGTGATGGAGAACACGCCCTTGTCATCAGTCTGTAAAGTAATGTGTTAAAAAAAATGTCAATGCACTTTATATTGAGTGCCAAATTATTTCAGTCATGTTCAATACTGCCGCACTGTTAAGAGCAATTGACGGATTGTACAGTCTGTACAAACTGTCAGCATTGCTAACAGTCTGTATTCTGAGTACATACGAAGCAAGCATCTCATTATTACATCAGGGCTCAGTTTTTTATGGTTTGTATGATCTGTAAAGTGCATTGGACAACCCTCAAGTATTTAGCACAAAAGTACTAAATGAGGACACTATTCTTATGTCTCCTATTGGAGATGGTCACTCGTGTTTGAGACCCTGAGTATTGCTTTGGCCTTGGAGGTCAACCAGGTTGGAATAATTTTGATCTGTAACATATACAATCAATCAAAATGCACCAGGAAGAATGAAGACAACATAAAAGATCACTTACACAAACAATGCAAGGGTGTTTTTTGCCATTGTACCAATAGTCCATGTGATGTTCTGTGTAGGATGGAACAGTCTTGGTCTTTACATTAGAAGTTAGACATAATTCTGTTGGCAATCAAAATTTTAAAGGTAAGAGTGATTATAAAGAGTCCGGTACAGAGATTTATCAACATCTGCGAAATACCAAAGACTACTGTATGCATGCAATACTAGTCATGTTTGTCATGTGGTCTGTCTACAAAGAGCTGAAAATTACACGTCAAATTAGTCATGACAGCTTAACCATCTTTCAACTTTTGAACTTAATTTGTGCTTATGGCATTTCTTTCTGTGAGTAAACTTGTTTACCAATAAAGTGAGAAAAAACGTACACCAGTAAAGATTTGCCTTGCCTGGGTTTTGAACGATCACACAATTGCTGCAATCACTGACATTGCCACACTTACTGCTTGACTTTATTCAGGGATCAGTATGGAAACCAGGGTTAATGGGTACTAAAATACTTACCGATAGGGATTAAGTGTTTCTCGACTATCTTTACAAGATCATCTGCACCCCCATTTTCTGGATGAATGCAGGTTCCATGTCCTATCCTGTCAGGAATCAAACTCAACAGGACTCTTGTTTCATTAATGTCAGGAACCTTAACATAATCAACAAAAGCAGTTTTTAATTTTGTTAACTGAAAATCACAGATTGGGCCAAATTCTCGCAGCTTTCATAAATACCCTCTAATCACTTTAAGGAAAATGGAAGTAAAGCCTGGTCACAGGTTACAATTATCTTGAATCTTGTGAACTGCCATCAGAGAGTGGTACACTTTTCTGGACAAAAATTAGAGTCAATTAATTTAGTTACAGCTTTCACAATACCATTTTATTAATTCTCAGCCTTGGAAAAATGACAAGACCTCTGACATATATGGTTGAATCTGTAAGCCGGCAAGATGAAGCAAATCTTGTTCTCTGATTGGCTACCAGAGCAAGAATGCTACATGTATAGGCTCATCTTACCCACTCTGGATCTCCCATATTGATCCTGCAAGAAAAAGTCATCTTTTGGCCATATAATGAATCTTGTATTGACCTAGCGTGTTTGATCAAGACGGCTGGATATTTAGCCTGCGTCGCAGACGCTCTAAACCTTCTGTATATAGCGTCTGCGAATTAGTGCACAATATCGTGTTCGAATCCCGTAGAGTCGCAAAGAAATATGTCGGCGTTATTGATTGGCTACTTTCTTTCGCAGTTTGTGATTAGTCTGATTTGAATTAAGCGTTGACAGGCCAAACATGACTCATAGCTCGTGACCAGAGAGATTGAGCTCGTGATAGTGTGAAACGTGACTTTAGAGACCCCTAGAGTAGCTTGAACAACAGATGTTTTTCTTCCTCTCTTTTTGCGTAATTTATACAGTGCGTGGAGTATTCTACAATTTGACTGAGCAAATTTTTTTTTGCCGCTTTGAGTCTCACCTTTAGCTACATTTAGAGGTTGTGAAGCTGGTCTGTTTCATACATATTGAGTAATTAGTTCCTGTAGTTTATTTTTTGGCAAATGTTTTCTAAGATGATTTGATCACAGGTGCATAAATGATTTTCTTTTACCTCTGATTAAGCCTTAAGCTTCTTTATTGCGGCTAAATAACCTTAGTTTCTTTGGTTTTCAACGAAACGCTTGGACCTGAATAGCTACATGTGTGTAGTTTTTTTATCGTGAATAACGTGATGATTTCTTCATTTGTTTTGACTCTAGAACTGTCGGCTAAATTACAGAATACGCAGTTGTACATCTGCAGCGATTGGAAGATGCTGGGAAACCAGCCGGCAAATTTACTAGCAAATTCTGGCCTTGAAGGAATTATCTTAAAGCGTTTTTTTGCTCAGAAGACGGCTCTGAAGTTCGAACTACTCTTTCATTGTTCACTGTAAACGATCCTTGCCAACTCCCTTCTGTGAATTTTGACATGTCACTGCGCCCAACCGTCACGCACACGTAAAAATTAGGCCAATCGTGCGGCTCGTAAGAAACCCGTAAGAAACCCGCCTATCAGAAACGCTCACTTATGTCCTTGCGACTCTGCAGGATATTAGAACGAGCTTTTGTGCACTAATTCACAGACGGACTATACAAAGGGTTTAGACGAGTGCGTGGGCCGGCTGCAACGCAGGCTACTGGATATTGGCCTTGTTGGTTTTTTTTTCCCCTTTTTTATTGACCTCACCTTCGTTTTGGTCCATAACAACGTAAATTATAAGAACTTGATCAATTTCCAGCCATCTTGACCTGACATGCAAGGCCAATAATAGCACCCATTTTCTTCCTAATTTGCTTCACCTAGTATGTATAGCCTAGCACCCTTCTATCTTATGATCTTTCATCATTGGAATTAATTTTGTTTTGCTTCAAACTCTTAAGCAATTTTCCTTGAACACATTTGTTTATCACTGACCATTAAGTTATTAATATACTTGCCTCTGCAATATGTAAAGCAAGTTTAAGACCATTGTCTTTGGCAAGCTTTAGTGCTGGTACAAAATCGGTTGATTTGTTTGCCTGGAATAGAAAAAATAGTTATCTCTCAACCAATAATTCAACACTAACTTCTGAGGAAATAATAGCCCCTTTCCTCCCCTCCCCTTTCCAAGGACCAAACTCATGTGATGCCAGAATGAATAATGCTGAGGTAAAATTAAATATGACTTTCAATGAAAAGGGCCATTAACCCCTAAAATCCCAGGAGTGACCAACATGGTTTTTCTCCTCAACAACATCAATACCTCATCAAGAGAAATGGTTATGGGATTTAATAAATTGATCCTCAAAGGGTAAAGGCTTTGATATTTTATCAAATTCAGTCTTCTAATATTATTCTTGAGGGAAATGTATGGATATCAGTCTGGAGATTAGTATGTGGATATTGGGGCTTTAATGGTTAAGTTCAAGCCCACAATGTCTTAGAAATAGATAATAAGGACAACTAAGAAATGCTCCAGAAAAAATCCAAACCCACAACCTTCCAAATACCGATAGGACACTCTAACCACTGAGCTACGGGCGACTCACATGATGAGCATTTCTTAGTTGTACTTAATATCTATTTCTGATTTCATCACACTTTAGTGGTTCGTTGGCAATATCTACTAAGCCTACAGCTGTTCTTGCATGATTACACAAAGTACTACTAGATAGGAAACTGGGGCAGTGCTCATGGTGGGCGCTAAAAGTCACTGAGGGCACACCCTTGCGGTCACAGAAACAAAGTCACAGAGGTGCAGAATTCAAAAAATTTAAGATGACTTGGTCAACTATAGTACACTTACTTTAGGATCTCCACTCAAGTCTATTCCTACTATTGTTCCATTCCCCTTTGCTTTGATTGCTGATGCCAGTTGTACAGTATGTAAGGCATCTGCTGGTCCATACTTGCGGTTTATAGCCGCTATAAATCTTGGGTGGACAAACAGGAAAGGGTGAATTACCAGTTTTATCACTTATCAACGAATTATTTTAAAATATGGCTTTAGAACATCTTCCTACAAGAAAGTGAGAAATGTGCTATGGAAATGAAACCTTTCATCCAACAAAAACATACTGGAAAAACATTGTGGGCACCAAACATTATAACATTACTTGACTCAAAACTATTGTACAATAATATTGCATCATTAAGCTAGGGTTTTAGAGAGTAGGGTGTGGTTGTGGGGGCAACCATGGCAAAAGTATAACAATTAGAGATAACTACCTCACAGTAATGTCAGGGACTGTTGTTTTGGCTTCCTCTATAGCTGCTAAGACTGCCTCTATATATGACTCCTTTGTCATTCCTGTGGATAAAAATGAAATGGGAAGAGCTCTAGAAAGCCATGGAGTGATCTGTTCTGTATTAATCTACAATCAAGGATATGTTAAAATTTTGCTTTGCCTGCTAGAATTTTAACAACTAAGCAAAAAGAAATTATACCCTGACTTCAGGATATTTTTGCCTTAACTCTTTCAACCTCCCATAAGCTTTGACACAATGACATAGTTCCTAAGAATCATATTTCTTTAGAAAAACATATCCACAAAAACTTAGCATTCCTTTTGGTATTCCAACTTGTTATCTAACATGCAACCTTTTAAATCCCTCAACATGAAATTTAATTATTTACAAAGATGTGGTCAAATAATAAATTTTGAATAATAAAACTTAAAGCAACTGCTAAATTAATTGCTATGCCCAAAAACTTATTAAATGGTAGTAAAACAAAACATTTTTAATTTCCATGGGATCACCTGTCTTTGGGTTAGCTCTTGGGGTACTCCTCAGCTCTAAATATCTCACATTATCTTGTGCAAAGTCTTCAATCACACTTTTAGTTACCTACAAGAAAGCCGAAATGACACGCATGAGGCAGTAATGTAAGCAGTCCCCGCTTAAATCTAAGGCGTTTCTCAACTTATACTTAGAAAGGGAGACCTCATTCCCATCAGGATGGATTTCTTTTTAAGAGAGATTGATGCTGACCTACAAGTAACATAATGGTTAGTTTCAAAATATTCTCTCTTATGTTCAAGTAAGGATTTGAAACCATCATTGAGAGAGGTCTATGTACAGGTACAGAGAAGCAACTATTTTCCCTAACTTGTCCAAGTTAATTTAAGGCCTGTTTCAAACGTCCTGCTACTGTTGTGCTAAGATGGCTCGACTGTAGCTCGACTGCAGCATGACACTAGCGCGACTTGGTTTCAGACGTCGAATTTAATTCAGTCGAATAGAACAGCTGTTGCCGAAAACGAAACACAAAAATAAAGAAACGGTTTAGCAAACTTTAAAATGTATTCTAATGTATTTATAATTTATGAATTGAGTTCGGTACGGGGCTAGTACGGCCTTTGAAACCAAGTCGAGCTACTGCCATGTAGGTTGCCTTGCTACATGGCAGTAGCACAACTTGGTTTCAAACATCGCGCTACTGCCGTGCTTAAGTCGAATTCAATTTGATCAATTGACTTCGGTGTGGCAGTAGCATGACGTTTGAAACGGGCCTAAGTTGAAAAAACCGTAGAGGGGTCATTTCCAAGAGAAAACAAAATGCCCTCAATTTATTTAATTTCCTCATACCAGGAACACTGCCTCAGTGTCATCCACAAGTGGGTAAATAAAGTCCCACATCTTAAAACACCTGTGAGCATCAAAAAGGAATATGTCACTGATAAAATACAACAAATTGAACCTCCACACATGGCCGTCTGGCTATGACAAATACATTGTTTTCTTTCCACTACCATTAAGCTGGATATAAGCACAAAGTCAAGATGGCTGGATATTGGCCAAGTTCATTAATTTTTTTCTGTTTTGCATTTTTAGGACAGAGAAAAAGTTGAGGTCAATAAAAACACAAACAAAAAAGGCCAATATGCAGCTATCTTGACTGAACAATTTAGGATTTGTTTTATATGGCCAAATAGTGGTCAAAGCAGTAGACTTTTGCTTTGTTTTTAAGCTCTTATAAGCGACCACTCAGAGTCTTATTTATATAAATCAACACTTAAATGACATTGCACACTGCGCTAATGGTTTATTGATAAAGATCTTGGGGTTATTTTGGTCTTAAAATTTGGACGTAAAGTTTAACTGTGTCTTTATCAGATAAAAAGACACTGATTTAACATTAATTTCTTTTGTTATTTCTGTATGAATCATGAGTTATTATTATCATTTTCTGTATGAGTTTCTGGAGCCCTGGTAAGTGACCACACTCAGTTGTTTAACCATGAGGTTGCTTACAAGAGCTCATTCTCGTAAGCGACTAGCTCCAGTTACGACCATTTTTTTTGAAATTTCCGAGGTGGTTGCTTACAAGAGCTTTGACTGTAGCTTTAAACACCCACCTAAAATTGAGAGTTCCCTTCTACTGTTAAGAGACCATTGCTGGGTAGTACTTCACATGCATGTCACAAACTCACAGCATACTAAACCATATGTCCTTCTTGCATGTGAAATTCATACATTTGTGAATTTACCAAAACATGGGCCTAACTGCTGCACTCAGGGAGAGGGGATTTGTCATAATTCCTCCCTATCATAGGTGTACGGGCTATTTTTTGTCAGGGGGGGGGGGCGGTAAACCATTTGCCCAAAAAATTTTTGCAAGTTGCCCAAATTTTTACAAAACAGTCGAACAGAAACGAGGGCCGATGCAACAACATAGGCCGTACTGGCATATGAAAATGGCTCCATACAGTTTTGTTTTTCAGGGTCAATAACTGCCAAGTTTGAGCATAAACTACGTCACCATAAACAAACATTTGGAAAAATTGCCACCACAGTTGTATGAGATAAAGATGAAAATTTGTTGTGATCAGGGTTGCAATGACATCGGAGTTGTTATAGCAACAAAATGAAGCCATTGCTGCCTATTATACTTGCAGCAATATTTCTCTCTGGGAACTGTTCTTCTTAAATCGATCACAGGAGCTTTTTCCTCCAATAGTCGCCTCGATGTTCGTAAAGTTAAAATGGAATCTATAAGAGCGTTATCGAGATATTTTGGGATAAAGTTTTTATCATTGGAAATATGGTAAAAAAGGAAAATCTTGATGTTTGGCCGTTATCTGTAGAAAACGATGCGCTTTTGACATGCAATTTCACCTCATATTAGTTTCAATCTTTTTAAAAATGTGGGTGATAGATTATGGAGATAGCTCCGGCCAATTGCTACAAAGAAGGATTTGATTAGTATGTATCATGACGCTCTTGTTAGCGGTTTTGTAAACATTTCAGTCTACTTTAACAAATTATTGAATAATTTTTAAACCGCTCGTTAGACTTTTTAAAAAAATCAAGATTCTTCTCGCAATTCAAACTGAGAATTAGTCAGCCACTTCTTCACTTTAAGACCCATTGCTGTTGCTATCTGCTATACACTGTTCTACGAGCGGAGATGATTCTAGAAAGTTAGGCGGAAGTTTATTCTAATAAATTTACGAGTGGAAATAGCCCATTACAGTACAGTGCCCAACCATAAAAAAAAATCAGCATATGATACCTTTCCCTTATAACCAGAAACTCGTCACGTGCTAGGCAAACACTGTCTCGTGTCAATGTGACTGGATTATTACGCCGACTTCAGGTTAAAATAGAAAATATTTATCTCTTCAAAATAACAATAAAAACATGGAGACGTCTTTAAAAACTGGCTTTGCCCAAATTTTCTTGTGCTGCCCAAAAAATCTGAGTTGCCCAAAATTTGGGGGGGCTGCAGCCCCCCTCGCCCCCCGGCCCGTACGCCTATGCTCCCTATCTTTACCCTGGTGGATTTGATGAGGTTGAATGGGATTTCAACAAATCCCCCAGGGTCCTTCTGATTGATTTTCAACAATTCATGAGTTGGGTTTGTTGTCTTAAAGTAATGAGAAATATATTGGTCAAGGCCCAGAAATATTATAGTGGTCAAGACTCACTCATCGAGATTTTTCTCGTCGCCTTTCAGAATGGTTGTTTCCCATTGTGACACTACATTGTTCTGGCCTTTTTCCTTTGTGGACTTTCTTTGAATGAGCTTCTTGATCGTCTCTGAGCTTATAGATCCATTAATATGAGCATGAAGTTCCTGAAATTAGAAGAAATTTAAGCTTACTTCTTATGTTCTTTATAAGTTTCGTGATCATAATTTATGCTTATTTCACACGGCTAATACAAAGTACGATATTCCTGGACGAGAAATTTTAGTTAGTAGGTGAAGGTTAATGTTGAGTTTAGATGATAAAATCATTTTCCTGAAGAGCTGATCATCTACAAGAAAGTGTGTTCGCCTCTGAATCTTCGCTGAAGTGAGCTAAAATGAATCGATTGATGGATTGAAATTAGCAGAAACCGCGCCCTTTGAGGAAAATATCCTTTGATCTTTGGTAAATATGGGTAAGAAATGTTCCTACTAAAATACTTACGATTTTCGGGATTTTCTTGAAATAATTGAAAGGTATTCTTTCCTCAGCAGTCTTTCCACTGTCCGTGTCCGCCATGTTGAAACTATCGATTTACGTTTGCGAGCTGTGATTGGACAGCTGGGGTTATCGACTTTTGATGCTTCTTCCCGCCAAAATCTGAAGTTCGCGCGCGGTCAAAGAACAGATCATCGAAGCTCCAAGTTAAAAGCATTTCTGTGTTTTTCAGGCCTTTACATTTCAACTTTTAGTCTCCCTTCTACATATAACACAAGCTAAAAATGGGAAATGAATCGTCGATTGCCTATGGAACAAAGCTTTTGAACGATATAAAGGCTGAATGGAAGAATGTGGAAACGCAGGCCAAATTGCCATCTCGAGACGGCCATTGTGCGGCGGCGATGGCAAATAAACTTTACGTTTTCGGAGGAGTTCGCTGGCTTTCCGATATCTCCGAATCAACAGAATCGAACGAGATACTCGTTTTCGATGTTGGTAAGCTGTTGTAACAATTAAAATAATTGTAACTCACGTGAAAATTGTTGTTTTGATCTGTGTCTGCATGACACGGTCGATTTTAATCGATGCAAATAAGGTAGTCTTTATATCCTGTTATAACCTTTTTTATGTGCTGATCATTTCCTTATGTGTAGGTATATGCAGTAAAATGCACTATCCCCCACGGTGTCCCAGAACTGTCACGGCAAAACCAAAAACCTCACGGACAAAAACAAAATACCTCACGGCAAAACCGAAAACCCCACGGCAAAAACAAAAACCTCACTGCAAAACCGAAAACCCTCACGGCAAAATCAAAGACTTCACAGCAAAAAGCAAATACCTCACGGCAAAAGCAAATACCCACGGCAAAATCAAAGCTATTTTGTTTTTGCCGTGAAGTATTTGGTTTTGCCGTGAGGTATTTGGTTTTAGCTTATCAGCGAAAAGTAGAAACCATGCTATAGCGACCAACAATGCATTTGAAGCAAATACATCTTTGCTTTCCTCCCTAGATTCACAGTCTTTGAGCAAGATTGTAACTGGTGGTGAGTTGCCATCAGCCAGGTCTTCTGCTGCAATGGCAGCTGTTGGAAAGAAACTGTATGTTTTTGGTGGACTTAGCAGAGACAGTGGATGGTTTAATGATGTGTATGCTCTTGATACAGGTGAGCATTAGTACACTTAATGTGGCAGGAGACTTAAAAATTGTTTGAATTAGTTTTAACAGACTGGCCAAAAAATATTAGGGAGATCATACATTATAGCTTAGACCTTTAATGTCTGCCTAAGATAAGATAATCTTTATTTAAACACGCGTCATCAGTGAGCCTAAAGAAGGCTCGTTACAAAAATGTACGTGCATATGTAATGTACGTGTATCAGTCTTTTTCCTCAAACTTCTAATTCAATGGAGTTGGGTGATGCTACTATTAAGGTCAAGGCCTGTCGCTCTTCCCATTCCCAGGCAATTATTATTGACCAGGTAAGGATAAGGAAGGCAAGGCTTAGCATCATACAACACTGCATAGTGACACAGCATCATATGTACTGCAAAGACAAAGGCCTATTACCACTAGCATGATCCTATAAGGTTGTGGTTAAGGACCCTTGTTGTTGATCCAGTGACCTTCTGCTAAGTGGACCATAACAGAGGTGTGCTGTGCTGAGGTCCTACATGCCACTGTCATCAATCACAAACTCAGGTTGTTTCATGATAGACTGATTCAGTTTCTTTTTGTCACCAAATTAATTTTGTAATGAGCCAACTGGTTTGCCTTCTGCCAGTTTTGATTTGAAGTAAAGAATATTGATTTGAATATTGAATGGGGAACAGACGTTAGACAATTCTTGCAGCTGAAAATATCTAAATGCAGTGACTTAGTGCTTTAAATATGCATTTTTTTACTTTGACTTTTTCATCAACAATCGACTGGTGTAAATAAAACTAATTATTTATCTATATGTATGTAGGGTTGAGCAGTGCCAGTATAATGCTAGTACCCATGTGACAAAATGTAAAGGAGTGGAAATCAAAAATAGTCATTCCTCCTTAAAGGTTACATCGTAAATCCCTATGTTTTGCTTTCTTTACTTCAGAAACAAAGCAGTGGGAGAAAGTTGAATGCAGTGGTGTTCCTCCATCCCCGCGTGACAAGTTAACATGTGTTGCAAAAGGAACCAAGATTTTCTTTTTTGGTGGATTTGGCCCTTTGGAGGATGCAGAAACTGAAGATCAAGAAGGAGCAGCATTTGGGTGGTTCAATGATCTCTTCAGTTTTGATACTGGTATGCACGTAAATTTTGTTACGGTAGGATAGATCTTTCCTGGGCACTAAGGCAAGAATTCCAGAATATCAATGCTGTCACCAGCGGCAGATCCAGACCTTCAGATAAGGAGGGGGGGGTTGGGCAGTCATCCAGACCCTGAGATAAGGGGGTCATTCGAGCCTCAGTTTGGTCTAAAAGTAAGGGGGGCCTGGGCCCCTCCCCTGGATCTGCCAATGGTTGCTAAGGGCCTGATGGATTATGCCTGGTTATAAGAAATGTTATACCCAGCTTCTTGAATAATGAATAAATAATGAATAGCTGTCATTGTCAAATCTTCAGTTGTTTTTTTCCATATTTTTCTCACCTACTTCAAACAGAAGGTGATATTCCAGACATGTACAGTTCTTTGCCCCACAGACAGTCTCTAAAATTTTTGTGGGGTAGAGATGGGTGCAGAAGGGGATCAGGTGGAGGTCAGTCTTCAAAGTCGATTCAAAGGTTTATCAGTATTATTTAAATGACAAGTCTGCAGCTATAAAACTGAATTGACATTCAAGCAATAATAGTTCTTTTGTGAGGAAGTCAATTCAACTTTTAATTTGGTCCCTGTTATTAGTTTGGAGTGGGTGTCTCTTATTAGATTTTTACTCTTACGAATATTAACAATATTTTTCAGAGAACTGTACATGGGAAAAACTATCCCCTGCACTTACTGGGTGCCCAACACCTAGAGCAGCTCATGGAATGTGTGCTGTTGGATCCAGAATTATTATCTTTGGAGGCAGAGACAGTGTTGGCAGGAAGAATGATCTCTTTATTTTGGATACAGGTGATTGAAATAAAGTTTTCGATCATTATCAGTTGATGCACTTGTAAATTAAGTGATATTTGCATGTCGTTTTATGTTGTGTGGGGTTTAGTATACTTAGTAGGCAGTTGATACGGACCACTTTCAGGCACACCATGAACACTGGGACAATCTAAGGCTAGGTAACCTACATGTGTGTCACAAAAGCATAGCAGACATGTTTTGTAAAACTAGGCTGTTGATCCATTAAAAAGGGGCCTAGGCAATCCTGGAACATTTGGGCACAGTCACCCTGAAAGAATTTCAGTGGAAATAACTAATAATGTATGGGTTTGGGTCCAGAATATTGTTTTTGCCACCAACCAAGACCTTTTTTTCTTATCATAACCTTTAGTGATGTTTCCTTTAGTTGAAATTTTTATTGTAATATGGATTATTTAAAATGTATTTTAGTGTTTTGTTTTTAACAATGTCATATTATAAATTCCTGATGTAAAGTATTATTTGTAAAATGCAGGGCCCCTATGGATACCAGCCTTAAAGCTGATTGGACCACCCTGTTTAAAGAAATTAAAATGAAACTACTGGAATTTCTTTCTATATATCCAAATTCTTCAAATTTAGATTGAATGGGTTATTTCAATAATAATTTTCTCTCAACTAACATTGACCTTTGGAATTTAATAATTTTTAGAAACAATGGAGTGGATCCCAACTCCAACCACAGGACGACAACCAGAGCCTCGCTCTTTTCACACATGCACTGCTGTCGGCAACAGAGTAGTTGTCTTTGGGGGAAGAAGTCCAGACAATGCACATTTTAATGATTTGCACATATTTGATGTAGGTATGTAAACACAATGGTTCATTTGAATTTAGATTTAGATTTAAGGATGCTTAAACGATATTGGCATGGTAAGGCCACCACTTGCAGTGATTTTGTTGCAAATACTTATGGTGAGTCCTGGGACTCATCTTGTGAAAAATCATCAGTCCCTGTCCATACCCAGTTCAAAAAAACAAGGACTCCTAAATTGAAAATGCTTGGGCCTTCATGTAACCAGACAGTTTATTTGGAGACAGATGTGAAAACTTTTTATTACAGTTTACTGAAATTAAAATGTAGTCCTTCTATATACTAGAAGCACAAAAAAGACTAACATAAATATGCATCTTTAAAAAACAGCACAGAAATCACACAAACAGGGTATACTGCCAAAAAATCTTCAAATCCATTGATTATTCTTTGCGTCGTACGGGATGCATCCCATGAATTATTTTGTGTCTTTGTAGGGGATTTTTATATCTCAGGGACGCAGGCCGCAGAGGTAACAAAATCACTGCACTTGATTGATACCAGAGATTGTTGCATCCCTGGCGGTTCATTCTTTTTTTTAAAAGCATCAGACTTGAAAGCTCAGAAAAAATTCGAGCCTCCAGATGCAATTCCAACTCATATAGGCAGTGTCACATTTTTATCCAAAATGTCAGAATTTTCCTTCTTCACATGCCTGAACTTCGAAAGCTGTATTTAGAAACCGGAACAAACAACAGCATAATGCACTTCTTGTGAATACCTTTTTTGGTTGTTTTGGGTTTTGCCGGGTTGCCAGATAGTGACCAGAAAACTGCCAGCCCTAGCTTCAGACAGCATATTTTGGCAAAATATCCATTGCCAGTTAGAAAGATTATAAAATAATATTTTATGACACATTACTGTTTCTGCTTTAGCAACTAGTGAATGGCTTCAGCCAACAGTATTGGGAATAAAACCCCCTGCCAGAGGAGTGCACACAGGTACACTTGTAGGAAACCAGTTTGTGCTCTATGGTGGTTCTTCTGATTTTGATGCCGAGACAATGCAGTGTCAAGAATTTTATGGAGATGTTCATCTTATAGACAAAGGTGATAAAACATTTTAAAGATTAAAAGCCCAAATGCTAATTATTTAAATTTTCATCTGTACATCAGGGATAGCCATTGAGATCTACTCCCCAACAGCTTTAATGATTGTTAAACCGTGGGATGTGAAACCACTTCCAATTACGTAAATGCAAGAAACAAATTTGTAGTCCTTTGTTCAGTAGAATAAAGAAGTGAACTGTTTTAGCCACTGTTTTACCTTGTGGCTTTCCTTGGGTACCCATGGTCGCTTTTTTTGCTAAAAAACCCTTGCGCCCAAACAACGGACCATCATATTTGGATGGTAGATGCCATTCAACACCAGTGGGTCTAAAATACTGGTCACTTTCCACAGGTAAGAGTACAGGTCACCATGTTTCAGATAAAAGATGCAAGCAGTAAAAATGTCTCCTAGCCCACATTTCTGAAAGGTGCTTTAGCAATTCACAAAATTAATATTTAAATTTATCATAATAAACTTACTATGGCCAAGTGCACTAGTCAATTCAATTACTCTATGATCTATACCTCTATGCCACCCACAAATCACTTTGTAAATATTTGGATTTTTTTTGCAGAACAACTTTTGTCTGGGAACTCCCTTGGCCCAGACCCTAATGATGTCCCCCCTGTCATCCCACAAGGTGTCACCAGCCAAGATGCTAACATCACAGAATGTGAAACAATTGAAGAGGAGGACAGTAGTGAATATGAAGAGTCATCAGATGAACAACAGTGATAAATAACAGTCATCATTTTGTTACCGTAGTGTCTCAGAAGTTTGAACACTGTCTCATAAGTTTTACTAGTGCAATTTTCTTTAACTTATAAGTTCAGGAAAATGATTCTGTTAAAGAAAGTAGAAAATTTGGGTCAAGAAAGTAGGCACTAGGTAGAAAAAAAGTAGACAACAACCACCTCACCCCCCCCCCTCTCCTCCATAAAAAAGTGCCACTGGGGATCTGAACCTCATCAGAAAACCTTTACAGAGAAACCTGTATTAAGCACACACTCACAGGACTCTTGCTAGTCTCCACCTATACCTTTTATGTTCCTATAGTGATCAACATGAAATTTCTCCTTGTATTATCAATGCTTTATGGAGCAGTGTGGTCATGAAAATTAAGGACATGATCACACAAGATGCATTTGCTTGATATTTACCAACTTCTCAACACTACTTCTCTAAGAAATGAATAGGGGCAGCTAATGAGAATTTACATTTTGATCTTGTACAGAATATTATGGAAAGAAGGGACAACTCAGTGAAGGGATCAGTCGGCTTGGAACTGGGCTCCTTAGTTAGGGACAAATAGACATACTCAGTGGGAACTGACAAGGGAAAGTTTTGCCTCCCTTTCCCTCTCAGCTTCCCATTTCCCCACTCAGCTTGCTTCTTTCACCAATTTTTTCTTTGCACTGTTCATCCTGTTATTTTCCCCTTTTCCCCATCAAAGAACCTGGTCTCAGGCTACTGTAGGTTAATATAGGATAATTCCCAAAAGTGACCAACATCAATTTTCTCCAAATCATATCCATAGATTGTCAAGAGCAAAGTCTATGAGAATTAATAAAATGATCACAAAGAAAAAATCTCTGATCTTTTATCAATTTCTCTCAACTAATTCTGTGCCCATCAAACACTTTGCATACATATCCCTCCAACTTCTTTTGTTTGATATTTGCTTCGTTGCAATCTTGGACCAACACGTGAGTCATTATGGCTTTGTTTCTATCTCTTGTCAGTCTTTTTAGAAATAATAGTAATAATAATAATAATAATAGTCTTAAATTGATTCATGACATTCATGACTACTTTATACAGGATGTCCTCTTTAAATGGGGTTTGCTTAATAAAGATTTCCCATTAAACAGACCACATGATGACAGTATTTTTGAAACCCATTTCTTGACTTTTAAGGATCAATAAATCAGGGGCACCCAACGAGGATATAGTTCAAAAACCATTTAACATAGCATTGTTGAACGTAGTTTAGTATTCAAACAGTAGATTTAGGCATATTTTTATCCCCTAAAAACTTTTCATCTGTTCGGATCTCCTAGCTGAAAGTCTAGTGATCCGAAAATTATAGGGATAAAAACTTACCTTCTCGAAAACTTCAGCCAGGAAAAGGCTCCCGAAAATTCTAGTTGGCCTTTTTGAGGGTCAAAATCCGTTAAAAATGGGTAATTATACCATTTTGTAGATGTTCGAAAATCCTAGGAGAGGCAGGCAAGCAAGAAATTTTACAACAAATACTCCGAAAATTCTAGATCTCAAATCGTCTTCCGAACAGATATTTTCCCGAAAATTGCCGTTGGGTGCCCCTGATAAATTTGTATGAGGCATTGAGCAAACATTTCATCTGATCCTTGACATGATGGTCGACATGATGACATCTATCTCATCCTCACTATAGTTGTTTTGAAATACTTGTAAGAGCAAGCCGCAAAGTTAGAAGAGTAATTAATATTGTGGACTGGAACTGTTAGAACGTCTTTGTCTCATGGAAAATTTTAAGTTTTAAAATAATTCACTAAACCGTAGTATCTGTTTGTAGCGCCTGATGCCACGCCCTCCCCCCTTCTCCTTGCAGACGTATCCTGCGCGCGACCTAGCTCTGTTTAAGAGAAATACAAGCTAATTGGGAAAAGAATACGCTCAAAAGATTCGTCTTCCGCCTCGGAAATAGCGGTGCGCATCAATAGTGATCTAACCTGCACCGAAACTTGTGTTCTCCTTTAAAATGAAATAAAAGAAACGAAGAAACAAACAAACTAGGGGAAAAAAACTAAGGATCATCTCTGAGATTCGAACAATATTGGAAGTCAGCGGTTAATTATTGCCCATTGGATGGATTCATTCTTTTCCCAATCAGCCAGTATTTCCTTTAAACAGAACACGCACTGGCTTTGAACAAGCAGGAGTTTAGGGACTCGCTTTACCTTCACTACAACCTCCCTCTGCCTAATCTCCCTAGTTACTGTGCTTGTGGAAAAATGTTTACTGTCAACCATGCGTTGTCTTTCAAGAAGGGAGGTTTTGTAGCTCAGAGAAATAATACAATCCGAGATCTTCTGACATCTCACATCAGTAAAGTGTGCAGAAATGTGGAGACAGAGCTACTGCTGCAACCACTCGACAATGAAGTATTCAACCTTCAGTCCACTGTTACAAGTCGAGAAGCGAGGCTGGATATGAAGCATAGCTATGATATGAAGGCAGGAGGTTTTTGGACACCAGGAGTAACGGCATTCTTTGACGTACGTGTAACGTATTTTAACTCCCGGTCCAACCAGGGCAAGTACACAGCTACGATCTTCAAAGAGCAAGAAAACGAGAAGAAGAGGAAATACAACCATGAGGGTCTCAATGGGGTGGTGGCTTTTACGGTTATCGGCTAAAATTTTGACTCTTTTACGGGTATCGGTTAATTTTGATCAGTTACGGTTAACGAAAAAGTTAAACATTAACTTCTTTTGTTTCAAAAAGTTAAAAATTAATTAACCTGTATTTTTTGTATCTTAAAATCAAAATCGAGGTCTTCGGATCCGTCTCGGGATGAAACAAGTTATTCTTTTGAAAAATTTTAGCATTTGGTAGATCATACTTTTTATAAAGTATTTCACTTCTAATATTATTTTATAAATAGAAATGTCAATAGTCATTTTAAAAATAATCTTTCTGAAAAAGCAAAAGCGGACACGCAAACGCCCAACTCAAGGCCAAGGCGCGACATTCATTATAATAGAAATGGCCGTTTTCACTAGACAGAGTTATCCGTTTGATGATTCGCGTCAGATAGGTAATACTTCTTAATTTGAAAATGGAATAGTTTTAATTTTGAATAAACAATCCGCCCGACTTTATCCGTCAATTTCGACGGACAGTTTGAAGACGGGATTATCCGTTTCAGATAGCCTGTGTACAGCCGCCCCCTCCCCTCAGAAAAATCAGAGAAGGGGAGTCTGTGGGGATGGCGCGACTGTACACATGGTCTCAGACGGATAATCCATTACTAGCTCTAGCGTGCAAACGGCCAATAACCAAATTCCCGTGTCCAGTGTTTTTAATGATAGCGAAGGACTTTACGGAACGACTGTCTGCTGCGTTGCCTTGTCCGTAGGCCTAATTATTCCGCGCAGCTAATGCGTTTCGTGTCACGTGGTCCTAGCGAGTTCGCGGCGGAAATGCCTTGACCGAGATTGCGTGGGGAGACGCCGTACAATTACTAGGCATGGCAATGTCTACCGTAGCGTCAGAGAAAAACAGGGAAATGTTGTTTATCGGCAACGTGTTTTACAAACAGAGACATCTCTGTGTGTTGTTTCACTAGTGTTTCGAGGGCACGACCTCCTGAAAATCGTAAATATTAATCCCTAGCAAGAAACCACACTTTCGCTATGGAAAAAATTAGTTCCCCAAGAGAGAGGCGGAAATGGAGCCTAGGTCTTGGTTGACACCTAAAAGGCGCTTCGCCTAACGTGGGTACGGAGTCACACTAGCCGGGAAATAAAAAACGCAACCATGAGTGAGTTTAGTACCTCCCTTAAAAGTAGCAAATCTAGGGAGCAGTTTCTTTTACGGTTAACTCTCTTTTACTCTGTTTACGGCTAACGGTTAACATTTTTCAATTTTTACGGCTATCGACTAAATTTTTGGCCGTTTTACGCCTATCGGTTAACCCCATTGAGACCCTCAACCATAGACTGGTGGATGTAGAGGTGGGAACTTTTATACCACTGGTGTTTGGTACAAACGGGGGCATGGGACTCGACCGTCAGAACTTTTTAAGAACCCTCGCAAATAAGCTTTCGACTAAGAACAATGAACCCTACGCCAGCGTTATTTCCTGGCTTCGAATGCAGCTGTCATTTGCTATATTAAGAACTGTACACAGATGCGTCAGAGGTTCTAGATATCCATTCAAATCACGCGAGGTCTCAGAAGACTTCACTTTCGCTGTAGCTGGTCTACATGTGCACTCAAAATTTTAGGCCTAGATTTTTGATAGTTTTTTTCTTAGTAATACTTAATTTTCCTTTTCCCACTTTTAAATTATTCACAATTGTAATTAGATTTCTATCGTGGACATATGATTAGTTCTTAATTTGTAAACAATATGATAATAGTTTAAAATTGTAAATATTACTTATTTTTCTGATACTTAAGTAAAGATTGTTCATATCCTAGTAGACTACTAACAATTCGGATTCTGTTATTATTTTAAAAAATGCGGACACATTGCGGACCTACTCGGTTGTGCTCTTGGTTGGGTGTTTTTCAGTGGAATCAGCTGGAACGCTCTGTCGGCGGGGCGGGAAAAGGAAGGAAACCTTGAATTTGAATCCCCGTCGACTGACTAGTGTAAAACAAGTGACAAGGGCAATGACGTCATTACTAACGTCATCTCCGCCAATCAGCAAGAACTTGCTCACAGGCTAAGAAAGAAAGCTAAAGAACTGCCTCATACACCAACCTACTGGAATACAGAACAGATATCGCGACTTATTTTTGGAACAATAACTGATGCGTCTGGCTGTCAGTCTATGAATCTTCATAACAACTATCACCTAAGTATTTTAAAAACATGTACGTACGTATTCTGGAGATTGATCTCATTAGAAAAAATATATGAGATTCTATGACCTTACCTTGGTTCTTTATATATTCGTTGTGGAGGAAGTCATTATCAATGCTATTTATGCTGTCATATAAGCTTTAACTGTTTCCGTTTACCCCGAGTCTATAAATAACTGTCATTTGTCGATCCGTCTTTCAGAATTTTACGCTATCGAATTTAAGCAATCTGTCGTGAATCTGGCATAAACTAAGCTTTATTAATTTCAAGGGAGATTTTTTGCAAGATTTTATTCAAAACAAACACAAAAATGAAATTAGTAAAGAACATAAAACTGGTTTTCACGCATGCTTTCTGACAGTGAAGTGTTTCTTGGAAACGTCTTGACAAAAATAGGTTTTTTAAAAACATATGGAGACTTATAGATCGAGAAGCTGGTTTTATTTCAGCACACTTTTTTTGTTTGATAGTCTCTGTTGCTTTGCAAAGAACACACGAGCCAACAAAACACGTTGCTTACTTCGACTCACATGAATCGGGCCACTCTGATTATCTAACTGGGTACGTTGGGCCTCGGGGCGTAACCCAAAAAAACTTTGTTAAGGGCTCCCTTAGCCATGTAGAACTTTTTCTCGTTATATCTGATTAAAACTCTCTTAACTGATACAGTCACGTTTCCTTATCATCAGTAAACCAGACCCACCTAGGACTGAGATGTAGCTAGATGTCACTCTGCGGGGGAAAGGCAAGTTCGAAGAGAGTCTAATCGGCTCCTGGTCTAATATAATCCGAGAGTGACAATGCGTCGGTGGTGGCCTGAAAGCCATCAAAATTTTTGTTTTATTAGCTGAGTTGCCAAAGTAAATTAGAAGTTAGGCCACTGTTAAGAGATTCCAACTGATGTTGCGAAAGCTTAGCTCTGCGTCGAAGCCAATAATATCGAATACGTGATACAAGTTAAATGAAGTAGGACAGTATACTTTAGAATGATTTTTAAACACTTTAAAGGATGTGATTCAACCTGCCTATATTTGAAGAAAATTTGATCAAAATCAATGTGTGTGTGCTTGTGTGTACGTTAGTGGGTTTTGTCAGACTTTTGATTTTAGTAGAAGTTTTAGCATTTTTTAATTTTAAAAAAATGACTTTTTGTAGGTCCGGAAATTTGATCCCAGAATATGATTCCATTCTTAAATAAAATAATTTTGGAGCAAAATTAAAAAAAAAACGGTTTCTCAATCCCATGAAATTTTTATATACATGCTCTGTTTCAGCTTTTGGTATATTGTTTTAAGCATAAAAAATTTTAGAACCCCATGTTTGTCACGTTTTAAGGATAATATTAACTTTCTATTCTCCCCCATGCACACACCTGTAACTTGTAAACTCACATGTTATCGAATGACATCATTTTCAAAGAATCTTTTGGATATTTTTGCATTAATTAGGAGGTATCTTCACTAACAATTAAAGACTTTCATTTTATTCAATTTTGACAATGAATATTTTTGTCGAAAATTCAAAACGTAAAAATGTGTAAGAAAATGTTCCTTTTCGGATGATTTTTCGGACACAAAAATTACCAAAATAATTTTTTGTGTGTTGTCTTTCAATGTGGTTACATTTCTGGCGAGTTTTCTGGAAGTTTAGAGTTAATTAAAATTTTGTCGATAAAATTCACCGTGAAAAAGCGACAATATCATCAAATCAAGGCGACATCCCTATCAACGCTATTTTTAACTTGTAGGTGCTGTGGTTACGAACGCCGTTCTGATTGGCTGTAAGGAAATATTTGACCAATCGCTGCGCTTGTTAGATTTCGAAACCTGTTCCTCCGTATATGGTGAATAATTATGATCATGCGCGGCAAATAAAAACATCACTACTTCCGAACCGAAGGAGGTTCCGGTAGCGTCGTAAATACCTCTCAAGTTTTGTGCAGAGGATGAGTTTGCCTTCCTCTTTCTTCTAACTTGTTCTTAATCCATAGCTAACAGCTACAGCCGACAAGATGGTAAGTACCGCAACATGAGAATCTTGTTTTATTCGCGTTGCTAGCCAAAATAATTCGACGTGAAATCGAATCTCGAATCTTTTTATATTTTTCCAGCCTTCAAACTATCATTGGCAAAGCAAAGGCAATGTTAAAGCCAGCGGGGTGGAAGATATGGTTCTTCTACCTAAGATCCAAGAAGCGGCCATTGTGGATAACTTAAAAAAGCGTTACATGGATGATCTTATTTTCGTATCCTTTTTCAATACTGCTAAACTTTATCCTTGCAATGCGGTGTGCGGCGAAGCTGGCATGAACTTCACCTTGTGTATCTTGTCCTAACACCTTAGGCATATTTTTAGAAACTGCGTACAGTCTTTCTTTTTCGTTTTAATATGAGCTTAAAATTCGCTCATATTCTTTAGCACAAGATATCATTGATAGTTTAATCTAGGATTTCAATAAGTAACCTTAATGTGAGCTCAAATGTGGTGGTTTTCCGTGGGTTTTGTTTGTGAAGCTTAAGCCAGCTGAATAAGACAAAGAAGACTTCAATATTATGCAGGGCTGACCGCTAAAATAATCGCACACTGTTAAGCAGGAGATAAGTTTACCTTTCTTATATTAAAGCCTGTCTTAATGTTCCTAAAGTTTATTTTCGTGTATTAAAGTGGGATTATAATTTGAGCTTTTTCTCAGCGGGGCGTCTTTCAAACAGAGGTGGTTTACTTTGTAGCTGTAAACTTCCTAAATTGAAGCTTATTTGACAACAGCTGACTCCTAGTTAGTTTTTTTACATCACTATTCATAAAAGTTTAGTGGCATATGAAAAGCAATTCATGTGCCACTCAATTGAGATGGATAGTGAATAAACTTCATCTTGACCTAACAATCTACATGTAAAATTCACTGAAAATTTCTTTTCTCACACATGTAGGCTTAAATAAATAGAAACATGTAAAATTGTTATACATAGTTTATTATTTGAGGAAGTTAAGAAAAAGGCAGCCAAAGGCTAATAGTTCTTTTATATGGATTTTTAACTGCTTTATATTTATATATTTATTATTTTATTTATTGCAATTATTAAGGGCAAATAAAAAATGTTGATAGTGTGTGTGAAAAATGTAGTTAAAATACTATCATTTCTATACTTAGTCTGTTGGCTACAGAGGCTGTCATTTTCCACTTGAGCAGTCATCTGAAACAATCTTCACCAGAATGATTTAGTCGAAAGGAATGTTGTCCCATCACCTGGTCCAGCACTTGCCTGGGCAACTACATTCTTGGACATTTACAGGTCTTAGCATGAATTGCAGTGCAAGTCCTAGGTGACTAGTAAGGTATTTAAACATACCATACACAGGATTTCTCCAGAGGTGGTTACCCTCTTACTGCTAGTTTGCACTTCTTGGTGGTAGTAAGCCGATCGTCATTCTCTCTATGGTCATTGCTAAAGAGAAGAACTTAATTTAACCCTTTCAGCCCAAATATCCACATGAAAATTCTCCAGACTGATTTCCATACATTTCCTTAAAGAATTGGTTGAGAGAGTTTATTAAAAGATCAAAACATTTTCTCTTTTGTAATCATTTGATCAATTTTTGTAACCCTTTTCTCCAGATTATGTATGGATATTGTTAGGAGAAAACTGACGTTTGGTCACTCATGGGGCAAAAGGGTTAAAGTAATGAGTATTTAATTATTTCAAGTGGTGTAATTATACAAGGAAGCAGGTTATTTTACATTTAAGCTGTAATTCATACCTTGATAGCTTATACACTAATAACTGTTCAATTTGAAGTACTTAGTTAAATAAAACATGATATGAAGTTGTTTTGTACACTTAACCTGTCCAACGTACAGACATACATTGGTCCTGTCTTGATCTCTGTCAACCCATTTAAACAGATGCCATACTTCACTGATAAAGAAGTTGACATGTACCAAGGAGCTGTAAGTGGATATAATTATTGAGCCAAAAACTGATGCAAACTACAGCCCAAGTTTTCTCTGTAGCAGAGAATGCTGAATTAGCGGAAGGGTGTAACCTAAAGAATTTTTTATAGGGAGGCTTGACTTTAAGTTCCAACCCCTTAGTGATTTATCTATGACCATTTATGACCGAAAAAGTACCCCTTTTGTATACCTTTGGTTGAAAGTTGGCACAATTTTTTCATTCTAGCCTACTCTAAAAGGTTAGGGTTAGAATCTAACACAAAGCCAATAAGTTTAATAATAACTGCTGTAACTGGCCGTCTCAAGAATAACTTGCTAAAACGGGAAGTCTTCTTGTCATTTTCATTGATCATGTGTTTATAAATGAAAAATTATGATACTGCCAAAATATGCACCAGTTCAAAAAAGATCCTTTTAAGTACCTAAATGGCAAATTTCTGATCCTAATCTTTTATAACTTCAGCTCTTGATGTCACTACCTTCTTTCAGTCAAATCCAACTAGTGGTCTATTATCAATTCTGCATTCTGATTGGTTGAGCTAATACTAGGCTATATGTTATAGCCCACTAGTAGCGAAAATGCTTTTTGGTGACAAAAAGGGATTTAAGTCTAGCTTTTAACTACCTAAATTTTTTTTATTCTCGATATTTTTGACCAACTAGTTGGATTTTACTAAAACAATTATTCCTCTCGCCCTCATGGCCTCTGAGTTGGCCTCATGGGCTATTGACTCAGAGCCCATTCGGGTTCAAGGAATAATAATATCGTTAAATATTTCTGAAAATTAAAAAAGGTCATTGGCCATTTTAGTAAGTATCCCCATTGGGTTTAGTGGCTTGTGGCAGCTAATTTCTTATTAGTTTGATGATGAGAAGAACAGTACTGATCTATAATGTATCTTTGGGCAAAATGTAAACAAACAGTCGTGAGAAACATTGCCACTCAAATGAAGTACTTTTCCCACAATACAATAATTTGTTAAATTTGTATACTATCATCATGATGGTATGTTATATTGTGCTTATTATTTCAACTCACAATAAGTTAAAGATGGCCAAAACAATTCTTAATAATAGCAGGGTATATATTTTCTTTCTGTAGGCATCGTATGAAAACCCACCTCACATTTATGCCTTGACTGACAACATGTACAGAAACATGTTAATTGATCAGGAAAACCAGTGTGTTATTATCAGGTAGACAACTGTCTTATGTTAAGTTCTTTCCCTATCAAGTACTGATACTAACTGACATATCTCTAGGACTGTGATGTACAGTACAGTTGACTTTCTCTTAAAGCCTGGTTTTCACTAGTGATGTAAACACAAACACAACAATAAAACTTGTTTTACCATGAAAACAGTCTAGCCACCAGCATATGTTATTGGTCAAATGCAGATTTCAGGTTAATTTTGATTTAACCTAGGTTGATTCTCAGTTTCCTTCGTCTCCCAGCCCTTGGAGACAAAGAAAATCAAGAATCAACCGAGGTTAAAAAATTTTAACTTTAGAGCCACTTTGACCTGTAACTATACAGTGAGAGCTTAAGTGCAATAACCACAAGGCACTAATTTTTCCTGTACTTTTGCGCTTATTATACTGTCGCATTTGTGTCACTTCTTGTTTTGACTTGACACAAGAATGCCTTATGCTTGGTTAAATGAAAATCAAGCTCCCTGAAAGTGACATTGAGGGTCTAATAGTCCCTGCCTAACTTCAGATGTTTATTTTTTACTTTCCACTTTCCTGCAATGTAGGTTCTTCTCTAAGAGTGACACTTGGTGTCAATTCAAGCTGTGTCTGTCATACAAGACAGTTAACGCTAGCAATCCCTCAATCCTGTTTTTTGTGTGTTGCCCTTTGCCCCTCTTAAAAGTTTCCAAAAAGGGGAACAAGATATCTTTCTCCTGGCATAACCTATTTAGTTAAACCTTTATGTGTAAAAATGTTGTTCAGCAACTAGTGGTCTTATTCAATATTACATGTACACTGTATGAGGACTCAAAAGTTCCTTCAGTTTGTGTTATTGTCTCTGTTGTAATGGGTTACTCGTTTCCGGTCCGCATTAACATCACATTTACCGAAATTGTTACTCCCCAATGACTGGTCTTGGCTTTGCTTGGGCTTTGTGTGTGAACATTATACATGTTTGACTGTGCTATGAAATGAATATTACACATAGTTTGTTATAACTATTTGAAATGTGTTTTTATTACAGTGGAGAGAGTGGAGCTGGAAAGACAGTTTGTGCCAAGTTCATCATGAACTATCTTGCCAAAGTGTCTGGAGGAGGCCCAAGTGTACAGGTAATCTGTCTTTCTACATCATTACACAGGTGCATTAATTTTTACACTTAGACTTAACTCTTGTGTTTAGAAGGGGCAAAGTAATGACAGCAACATCAACAAGTAAAACAACAGTGCTGCACATGAAACATACGCTTTTTGGTACATTTCTTTGATATCCTCTATACAACCGCATGCTGTATAACATAAACAGGTTGTAAAGGCACACTGACAAATTTCATTTCTCTTTTTGAACTTGTATGCGGTTCCTAACAGTTCAACTGCATTAGAATTCATCAACATTTGGTAAATCAAGCAAGGCAATATTTATAAATAACAATCATTAAATCTGAAAGAACACAAATTCACTAACATACACCTGTTAATGAAGTTTTCACTTCTATTATTGTTGTGGTTGCTTATACTCCCTATCAAGTACAATGGAGAGTCTGAGCAGAAAGATTGTTCATGAGCTGTTAAGAGTATACTGTAACATCACTGATACATTTTTTAATCACTGATCCATATTTCCACAGAAAGTCAAAGATGTCATTTTAGAGTCTAATCCTCTTTTGGAGGCTTTTGGTAATGCCAAGACAGTCAGAAATAACAACTCCAGTAGATTTGTAAGTTGGGATCAAAATGTTTTGTGTTGTGTTTTTCTTTTTCATTTATTTTGTTATGTATCACATGGTAGCCATGGATTTCATGACTTGTGGACTCATTTGATATCACCTTGAGATGTAACATTTACATGTTCCATCTTAATGATAAACAACCTTGACAGCTTTTTCTAGACATGATATTCACTTCTTATACGTTACAAAGTGATATTGGTTTACATCTTACAGCTCCCTACCTACCTCACTATAGTCTTAGCTACTCATTCATGTTCCAGGGTTCAAGTCTTCTGGAACTTAAGTGTCTGCAAATGTTTCCTTCTGAAGTAGTGTTTAGGATTGTCATAAGCTGCCTGACCTTAATGTTGTAGAGATTAACAGTTGAATATGTGCATGATCACAGGCCCTTGTAAGATGCTTGTGATAATTTTTGCACTTTAAAAGCGATTTATTCAACATTTCTAGTTCATGATATTGCTTACAGTATATTTATTGTTTTCATTAGGGAAAGTATGTTGAGATTCAGTTCACCAAGGGTGGACAACCTGATGGAGGGAAGATCTCGAACTTCCTGTTAGAAAAGGTGTGTTCCTTTACTTTGGGCACAACATTTTGTAAATTTGCATATTCTGTTGGGCTAGGTATCGCAAACAGCTACTGCAGCCCTTTGACCCATTTTTCGAACAAAGTACATGTATGTAGATTGTTTCAAAGTAAAAATTGCAGATGTATTTACTACAATATTTAATTTAGAGTAAAATAAGGTTATACAATGAACTTGAATTTTAATAACCAAAGAGTTATTTACAATAGAGCCTTACAGCTGCTACTCCTAATAACACCATCATTGCTATTTTAGTCTAGAGTTGTCAGTCAAAATCCATCAGAAAGGAGCTTTCATATTTTCTACCAACTTATCGTGGGTTCAACGCAGGAAGATAAAGGTAGATTTAAGGTCCATTTATTCACAATATAATTATTATAGTTAAAATTAAAGTGTCAAAATTATTATATTTTTTTCTCCAATAATAGCCAATTTGTTGAACAATAGTAAATACATGTAGTAATTCATGTATTATTGACAAAGTCATTTACTGTCAAAGTATCAAAACCGTGAACAAATGAAATATTTCAGATATGTTAACTTTGCTATGACCAATCACAGCAAAGATTAGGGCAGTTGAGCGTGCCACAAAACCACAAACTTATCGACGGTGTTAACCTTTTCTTTCTCGGCATTTCAGAGATATTTCTGGTGTTCATAGAACTTTTTGTTAGTTTCACAGTAGTGGGAGGGCAATAGCAGAGCTCAAAATAATTTTCACACAGTGGCCAGACACGATGACCAGCCAAAGAAATTTTTGCTTGGTCAAGTCTCCTTTCTGACTGGTCAAAATATTAGAAAAAAAGTTAACTTATCCTTGTGTAATTTTCTGTCAGTGAACATGATTGTATTTTTTTACAAAGAGACAAAACCTAAGATTCAGAGGCAATTAGGATTTGGCTCTTTGTTCGAGAAAAGAGTGCATGTGGTCAGTCAACATGATCGGCGAGTGAAGGTTTTGGCCAGTTTAGATGCCATTCTGGATGGACATTGTCCTTTCACTGGCCGTGACATGCATTTTGAGCCCTGAATAGTAATGAAATAAAAGCTAAAAATGTCTGAGAACTAATTTAGAAAAGTGGTGAAAAAGCTACCACTTAAATCTGAACTATAATTGTCAAACATTGTGCTTGAAATCTGGAAAGTTAGAAGCCAAATGCATAAAAGACTGTCAAGGATGCAATTGATTACAAGAGCCTTCAACTATTAACCTACTTTGACTGCGAAAAATGATTTTAAGATGCTGGTTAACTCACGAGAGGTGTTAGCAAAAATTTAAACTTTAAAGCAATAATATTATTAACCTAAATAATACTATAATAATTATTCTAAACTTATTTAATTGGCAATTAATGTGTGTTAATTTTCCTCAAAGTGACTATTAAATCTACATGCGTGTGTTCAATAGGTCAGTTAGGTCTGACAGATCCAAGTTATTATTATTACCTGAATCAAAGTGGTACATACTCAGTGGATGGTACTGATGACGTCAAGGAGTATGAAGAAACAAGGGTGAGTGATTGTTGTATGTTTGTTGTGTCTGTCCAACCTTTTCCCTCTGGTCAGATCTGCAGCTGTACATGTAAAACAATATATGTAGCCTGCTTCTTACTTAGGATTGTGGAAGTTAAAAATGTGTTTAAAATGATCCAACATCATCCAACAACTGCTGGATCAAAACAACACACTGAAGGATGATGTTGAGCCATGATTGTTGGGGCCTCTAAAAGTGTTGATGGTGTCTCTTTGCCATCTAACTTGTTGCATGGGAAGGTTTAGTCAAAAAGAATCTGGACTTGTTTCTCGTCAAAAACTTTAAACACCCAGTCACTGACACTGTTCAGTTGTGAGCAAAATCTTATAAAAGAAGCTTAAGTGTTGCATTATATTGGACCTATTTAGACAGGGCATAACTAGTGTTATGACAAGAAGATATCACTTATATACAGAGTTCTGTGACTGTCAATCTGTTGATCATTAATTTACTGCCATGTTTGCAGAAAGCCATGGATGTTATAGGTATCTCAGATGATGATCAAGCGAGTGTGTTGCAGATAGTGGCCGGGGTTCTTCATTTGGGGAATATCTCATTCACTGAACAAGGCAATTATGCTGTGCCAAGTGATGATGAATGTATGTACTTTTTATCGTTCTATATTTGTAAAGTATCAAGTACATTTGTATCAATAAAATTCATTAAGTTTTATTTTCTTTCTTGTTGGCTGTTGCACTTATGTTACCTATCAGCTCATACATAGCAGACTGCAAAGAGGGTCAGTTTTAACTGTAGCTAGCAAGCACTAGCCCAAGAGTCTTTTAACTAGCTTGAAAAAAGATTTGATAAGCAGGATTGAATAGAATTCTTCTAAAATTTGAATTCCTCTAAAGACTTCCCTTCCCCATTAGGCAAGCAATGTTAAGAACCGAATTCACTAGCCCAATAGCAAAAGTTGGACATGACTTTCTTTCCAAGCTATATCGATGTAATGATTGTATTTGGGAATCTGCACCACCGAAATACTGTTGTACTTCAATCCATGTATCACCCTAGCTGATAGTAATAATCACCAAGATTTCAATTTGCCGGGTAAATACAACAAGTAGGTGGGGAATCAAACAGTTAGGGATTTCTTTTGGTTCTATTTTTCTTCTATTTTCCTATGAAAGTAGCTGGAGGCCACATTCATAGTTGCCAGGGGAAATCCCCAGCCCCCGCCTCTTAATGACAGCCTTTAAATGACCATGTCAAAGTGTTGTTAAGCATTACATGTTTGTTTGTATATCTTAACAGTCTTGGCCTATCCAGCTTACCTAATGGGTGTGAATGACATGTTATTGAAAGAGAAGTTAACCAGGTACGAAGTCACTGGTGAAAGCTCAGAAGTCATAATGTGAACTGTTACTCTTGGTGAAGTCTAAAATGTTTTTTTATTATGAGTCAAAGTTAAATTGTGCCTCTGACTTTGTAGCGTGACAAAACAGCTGATATTCTGTAATGCTACCACTGATTTCCCAGTGAAATGATGTCTGAGAAATGACTGCCGAAATTCCATACTGGTGACATGTCACTACCCAGATCTGGGTAGTGCTTCTGATTGGTCGTGGTGTGAGGCAAAGTTGCTTCAACCAATCAGAGGCACTACCCAGATCTGGGTAGGAACACTTCACCAGTATGGAATTTCTGCAGTCGTTTCTCAGGGAGACCAGTGGTAATGTTGCTAAATGTTGGCTGTTTTCTCAGGATACTGAGAAATAAAGGGACTCTTGACAGGCCTGAAATTTGTTTTAAGCTACGTATTATTGCAGAGTAACTGCAGTCAGCAGTATTAATTTTTCTTGTAGTGAGCTAGCATCTACCTTCAACATGAAAAAAAAAATAGTCAAACTACAGTACAATGTATTACAGGGCTGTCACTAAGATCTCAAGTGTGTGGGTGTATCTATTTTCTCGGCAGGGAATTAAAGAGCGAGGAAGTCCCTTAATTCTGTTTTCCTTTTGTTTCATGTTAAGTTGCTGGGGTAATGCCCAATGACCCATGGAAATCCCCTGCCCCAAGCTCTTAGCATTAGCCCTGTGTTAAGAAGCATCTCCCTAAAGAGTTCCATGTCCCAACCGGTACAAGCATTCCTTTGGAATTTAGGATCAATTAGTGTCTACTGCTCTGGAAAAACAATTTTTTTATTTTGAATGATATAATTATTTTAGTATATTGTCAAGTAGTCTTGTTCAAGAATCAAAAGCACACAGTTTGATTGTGACTGACTTTTAGACATACCGTCCAGTATATTGACTACCGTACATCAGGTTGTTGCTCGCAAGAACATCAAGCCTTTTTATTTTTCTGGTTGATAAGTTATTTTTCACTTCATAGCTGTTTCTATCTTTTATGCTTTTAGCCGTGTAATGGATAGTAAGTGGGGTGGCAAGACAGAGACCATTAACATGAAACTCAATGTTGAACAGGTACAAAATAAGATTACTATGAAACGTAAACAAATGACTCACATGCATAATTTTAGATGTAGTAGTATTTCTTTGTTTTGTGATGTTGTAGGATGCTTAAAAGGTGTGGTGACAAAGAATGTTACAGTTTCAGAAGCTGATATAAAGTAACATACTAATGCAAAACTTCCTGCAACTGTGATTTGACTCTTGGAAATTTTATTCAGAAAATGGCAAAAAAATAAATAATACGGTTATTACAAAAACCTGATAAGTCATGAAAAAATAATGAGCAGTTGAACTCTAATAATTATTATTGTTGAGTGGACCTTGAGAAGAAACTAAAACTAACAGATAAAATCTTAAACACACAAATTCACTTGCAAGTAGTACAAGACAAGTGCAAAATGCAGTGTTGCTACAAGAAAGTTGTTGCTTGAACTTGATTTTTATTGTGTGGTAATGGCTTGCAGTTATTTTGTGCAAACTTTATTTGTAAGTGATTCTGCTGAATAAGATTGATTTTGACTGGTGTTTTCTCAGGCCTGCTACACAAGGGATGCTTTAGCTAAGGCTCTGTATGCAAGATTGTTTGACTTCCTTGTTCAGGTACTGACCTTCAAACTAAGGAAGCCTGTTTTTGATTCTTGTACAGTATTTCATTTTTATCAGTTTACATTACCATGTAATTGGCCTCCCCCCCCCCCCCCCTTAGTTTATACACAATGAAAACAAAGACCATAAACTTAAAACTTTCTGGCATTCAAAACAGCAGCTGGCTGTCTTTGTACTTTCACTCCTCAAGTACAGAAAATAAAATACAGTTTCAAAACCACCTCTCATTTTGGACCACCAATTTTCACATTTGAGGTGGCCAACCTCAGTAGATTCTGCTGAGGAAATCTCATCCCTTATTAATCCTATGAAATTATTTTGAAAACTTCTTTTGTAGTCTGTTAATAAAGCCATGCAGAAGAAAATTGATGAACTCACCATTGGGGTGCTGGATATCTATGGTTTTGAGATCTTTCAGGTAAACTACATATTAGTGTCTTACTCTTACTAAATTGAATTAATTTGATACTGATACTGTACAATTTTCGATGACAGTACATTGCAGAAATTTTTCAACAGTCATCTTTGACCTGGACACAGTTAATATCCCTACAATGTGCAAATTAGCCCACATGTTGGTTAGGGGGATGTGGTGGCTGACTTTTCTAGCTAAAATTAAGCAGTGTGCCCTACGAACAGTAAAGTTGTCTGCATAGCAATGTCAGTCACGCAGTTGATTTGTTTACATCTTGAGAGTTCTCTCAGGCATAAACAAACCAACTACACAACTAAAAAGCAACACATACAACTTCTTAAAAAAAATTTAATGCAAAAAGCCATGCCAGAAAGAAACCTCTGCTCGTAGGGTACTGGGTCTGTTCATTTTTGGTTTGTTTATGTCCAGAGTTGCAGTTCAAAACGAGAGAATCACCCCCTGTTTAAAAGCTAAAAGCTTCTAACTTCACAACATTTGTTTTTTTGATTTTTTAGAAAAATGGATTTGAACAGTTTTGCATCAACTTTGTAAACGAAAAACTACAGCAGATCTTCATTGAGCTGACACTTAAAGCTGAGCAGGTGAGATACATGTATATAGTTATTTCAGAATACCTCAGTGGTTTGTTTTCCCAGGGTAGAGGAGGGAATCGTTGGTGCTTTTTGCCTTTAAAATTGGGGAAGCTGTTGCTCATTTGGGGCCCTGTATGTCAAGCATATTAATTTTTATGATTTATTTCTATTTACCTAAAATTATTATCATAAGATAGGCAGTGTTCTCACCAGGATTTTTCCTTGGGGAGTCCCAAGGCCCCCTCTTCTGAGAAATAGGGGCCCTGTAAGAACATTAGGGGGACAAAGTTACAAAAAACACGCGGTACGAAGAACCTGAGCCCGCACTCCAAATTGTCTGTTACATGAAGTACCTACCTGATCCAATATGGCGGAAGAGGTGTTTACGATTCGGAGGAGGAGTTTACGATGTAGTGGGACGTGCGTGGGACCAATGAAAGTAAAGGCAACAAAATTAAAGACTTTGACTCATTTGATATCATGTTTTTTATTTATTCAAACAAACAGAATGCTTTAGTGTTAGGTTGACCATTAAAACTACTTAAGTCCGTTTGACTCGTAGCTTGCCCCTGCGCCCTAACGGGCGCATCTTCTTTGTTTTAATGCACCATTTCAGTTTTTCTTGCGGGAATCCCGCAAGGCCGCGGCCTGGTGAGAACACTGGATAGGCCAGTAATTTTTATTTTTAAATTCAATATTAATTGTTCAGTAATGAATATGCATGTGAGCATAATGCAGTGTAATATATCTACCATGAATCAATAAATTTTTATTATAGTTAAGTGCTCTGACTTTCAATAAAAGATTGTTTCCCATAATGCAATTGAACTGTGTTTCTTTGTAGGAAGAATATGTGGAGGAGGGGATCAACTGGAGCCCAATTGATTATTTCAACAACAAAATTGTTTGTGATGTCATAGAAAGCAAGGTAATCATTCACCCAGTTAGGTTAATAAGAGTCATACAGTCATGTATTTCTCACTGTAGCAAAGTTTAAGTCCTTAGGGGCTGGTTGTTTATTAACTCTGAGTGGGTTCATTTGTTAGGGGTTAATTTTCAGATAAGAAAGTGTTACCGGAGGAAAGTAGGACTGTTAAGTAGTACAAAGCAGTAACGAACATGAATTGAAATAGAATATAACAGCCGTGAATAGTAAATGCCGATCTTATGAACCAACTTTAGATAAAGAAAGTGGTAAACTTTGGCACGATTTGTAGCTAGAATATTCATAGTTTCCACAGCAATCGGATGGGAGGTCACCTTCAGAACATGTAAACTTTTCAGGGGGATGTTTCTAAAAAGCTAGTCCTTGGGGGGTCGGTTTGAAGTCTTGTAAGCTTTCTCAAAATGGCCAGCTCCCCTCATGGGTTTTAAAGTCCAGCCCTTTAGTTTAGGTAGGTAGCTTGAAATAGTCATCCTCTGACTAACGAACCTGAGGCCGACGCTGCACTGATTTAACCCCCCTCTCTGCATCAGTGCTCCATTTTAAGGGTATTTGAAGCGACTTAAAGCTACACGGAAGGGAAGGAAGTTGAAAAAAGTATTTTAGGTCACTTGTGGGAAACAAACTCAGAACCTCTTACACAGAAGTCTGTTTAGTAACCAGCTCTTTGATAGATTATCATATAACTTTTTTTGTAGAAACCTCCAGGTATAATGTGTGTACTGGATGATGTCTGTGCTACAATGCATGCTGTTAGTGAAGGAGCAGATGCCACTCTTCTTGAGGTATTGCAATAAATTAAAAATTCTTACTCAGTTAATCTTTTCAGAAGGCAGAAAAACTGCAAATGTTTCCCCACACTTAGCGACATGAACATTTATATAAATTTTAGCAAATTGTTAGACACAGCCATGCAGAATTCTTTTAGAATGGCATAATTATAAGTAGGTTACAGTTTTAGTCAGACATACCAAAAACATTGATGGATTTACTTTCCATCGACCTTTAATTTCTTTAATTACTGTGCAAATCTTTAATTACAAAGTGATATTCTTCCATGCACATGATATCTTCATGCATGGGCAAATTTTAGTTTAAGACATTTTCCAATGACAATCTCTTATTTCCTTTTCTACAGATATTAACATGCTAGTTAAAGGGCACATTTCCTGCATCTCTAATCTCTATGTTAATTTTGGTGGTTGTTTCTGCAGAAACTGAACAATGCAGTTGGAACTCATCAACATTTTCAGGGTGTCAGCGGTGGTTTCATAATCCATCACTATGCAGGGAAGGTATGTTATGGTATGGTATGGTATTACCTTGCCTCTAACTGGCACCCATCATTATAACGCTAGATTTTCTCAGGCTGGCAACTATTCGAGAGAACAGCAGAGGATTAAGGATGTATTCCTCTTAATATCCATTCATTATCAAAACACAAATTCAAGGTGTCAATTTATCGACAACCTTTCGATATTCTATTGTTTGGGGATGATTATGTTGTCAAATTGTCAAGTATTTTCCCTTTGAATAATCACCTCTTTTTACTCGCTAACACTGCAGCAACAAAATTGTCATGCTGAAGGAGGTCTAGTTATTCGGCTTATAACTAGCCTGTTAGCAAACAAAAGAAGAACATGCTCACATGCTAGCATAAAACACCAACCCAGCAGCACAGTCCACCCATTCCTCCCCTGCATGCTTCAAGGCTGCTTGTGACTGGTATCCAATGAAACCTTAACAAACAGATTTTCGTTTGAATCATTCCTAGGTTACTTATGATGTGAATGGATTCTGTGAGAGAAATCGAGACGTGCTATTTAAGGATCTTATAGAGCTCATGCAAACAAGTGAAAAGTAAGTTGAATTGTCAGATAATGAATGTTCACGAACAAAGAATGGATTTCAGTCCATTTCATATATATTGATTTGCGGTTTTTCAATATATTACCGTTTTCCTTTAAAGTCCCTTCATAAGGAATTTGTTTCCTGAAGACGTCACTGCAGACAAGAGGGGGAGACCCACAACGGCTAGCAACAAAATCAAGGTGAATTTTTGTTTTTTTTGTTTGTTTGTTTGTTTGTTTTTTTTTATTTTGCTCTTTATTTGAGTGTCAATGTATTTAGCACAAAAGTACTAATTGGGGAACGTATCTCACACTCTGTTATGTAGATCGAAGTCTGAAAATGAACGGTTGAGTTTTTGCATCTTTTTGAAAACACAAACCCAGCCTTAGATCATTTTGCATGGTAATTTTTTTTAAAATTCTAGCTCATTGCTCTGATTAATTAGATTACTCACACAGTTGCATTCCCCAGAAGTTTAAGAATAATTTTGAAGGTGTTAGAGATAACTCTACTAGAGTAGATGGGGTTTGAAAAGTGAATACAGACATCTACATGTGCATAGCTGGTCCTCATTCATGACTGGTACTTAGTGGAGGAGTACACAGGGCCGGTAACACGCTAAATACCTTTAGAGCATTCCCTCTTGTCCAGGAGCAAGAGAAGAGTGGCTAAGCCACAAGAGTTTTGTGTAAGTGATGTACCCTGAATGTTTTCGCGACGCTACTAATGGTTTCACCCTGAAATGACGTCTGAGGAACGAGCGCAGAAATTCCATACTGATGACGTGTTACTTCTCTGATCTGCGTGGTGCTTCTGATTGGTTGAAGCAAAATTTTAATTAATCAGAAGCACCACTCTGATCAGGGTAATGATACATCGTCGGTATGGAATTTCTGTGCAGGTGTGGCGTCGCGAAATGTTGGCTGTTTTCTCAACCTGTGAGTGATAAAGCTGCGAAACTTCAACACGAGAGACTGCTTAGAAGCTGCACACTGATGGGCCCCTGTTTGCCCCCTGTTTGTTTCAGACTCAAGCCAATCAACTGGTAGACAAACTGATGAAGTGTACTCCACACTACATCCGCTGCATTAAACCAAATGAGACCAAAAAAGCGCATGACTGGGAAGGCGACCGAGTCAAACATCAAGTGGAATATCTTGGGCTCAAGGAGAACATTCGTGTAAGAAGAGCAGGTTTTGCCTACAGGAGGCCGTTCCAAAAGTTTCTTGAGAGGTACGAATTCAATTTTTAAAAAGACCACATTTTTTTTTGTAAGACATGTTTGTAAGATGGGTCTCACCTGTGCGACATCGAAACATGTATAAATAAAAAATATCGTGATCTTTCTAAAAATCGCGATTTATTTACTGCTTCCTGCGCAGTTTCCGGTTTGGGTCACAGCCTCGCCTCTATTGACATCGGCCCTCGGCCGACACCGAAGAATCCAGCCACTCACGAGAAAAAAAACCCTGGTACCCAGGGTAAAAACTGGGTGAAACAGCAAAACAAATCGGCGAGCGAACAGAGCCGAGCGGTGGGCTTGAGAGGGGCAAAGTCGGAGCTATGTGCCGTTAGGCATTCAATCCATGCTAACATGGACTTTCAACACGTACATGGATCGTGCATAAAATCTTGCGTGGAGATGTTATCATAATAAGAATAATGAAAAAGGTCTTAACAGTATATTGTTACGTCTCTTTGAAGATATGCCATTCTCACAAAGGAAACATGGCCTCGATGGGCAGGAGATGTAAGAAGAGGAGTAGAGCATCTGATGCGTGCTGTTAATATGGAACCAGATCAGTGGCAGATGGGCAAGACCAAAGTCTTTATCAAGGCACCGGAATCTGTAAGCAATTCTTTAGTCGACTTAAGAAAAATATTTTTACGCAGGCGCGTGTTGGATATGAGATGGTACCTGACATGTACAATGGAGGTCAAAGGAACTCGGCACAGTTGAGAAAACTGTTCCAAGCAATTACAGTCAACTCTCTGTAAAGGATTGCAACGACAATTTTTAGCGCAACACGGTTGCGACATTGTTTCGAATGGTTGCAACATTGTTCCACCATTGCAACGCTGTGTTGCGCTAAAATCGTCGTTGCGAATTGTCTGTGTGACATGACCTAAGAAGGACGCCCTTGGGACCGGCACTATATATGTGTCTTAGAGCAATGGCTGTCTTATGGAGAGGCAAATAAAGGGGGTAAAGAAAGGCAGCGACAAACTCCAGGTGTCCGTTTTACCAAGGTGTCCGTCTTATAGAGGTGTCCGTTAAGACAAAGTTGACTGTATAGCATAGCAAATATCTGTATCCATCTTGCGTAAATTCAAGATTGTGGCTCAGAAAACACCTATCTTGCTTCGACTTTGTTTCGGAAGGGAGGAGGGAAGAAGCAACTAATATCACGTTAACCTTTAAGCCCCAATATCCACAAACAAATTCTCCAAACTGATCTCTATACATTTCCTTACAGAATTAGTTGGGATTAATTGATAAAAGATCAGAGATTTTTCTCTTTGTGATCATTCGATTAATTCTCATAGATGTTGCACTTGACAATCTATGGATATTGTTAGGAGAAAATTGATGTTGGTCACTATTGGGACTTAAATGGTTAACTAGATAGCCAACGAGGCGCGTGGCCACGTGTTGGCCATTATTATCTCATATCCAACAAGCGTGAGTAACGTGATTGTTTTTATTATTGTTATAAACCAAGGACTTCGGAACAAGATAAATCTTACCAGCTGTACTTGTAAAAAACGGAAAGAGGCAAGAGACCTACTCGTGTTTTTTTTTAATGCTACACATCTATCAAAACTTTTGCATTTGTGTCGATGGTCTGAGCGAATTAAAAAATATAAATATGGGGGTAAAGAACTTTCAAAAACGCATGAAGATTCTCGGACTAAAACTGCTTGTCAGCTGAAAACCTCGTGCTGCGATAATCTTAACAACAAAAAAATTGTGAGTGCCGAAATTGCTTGGTGCAGTTCCAAACTCTCCCTGTGATAGCAGTGTGTATTTAATATACGGAAAACAAAGTCTGTCCACTGTACTTCATTTACAGAAAAAAAAAAATCATTTAAATTGTTCGCTGTTTCTATTTTGTCAGCGTTGAGGAATCAACGCTTTTGGTCCTGCTCTTGTTTGTGCCGATTTCTCTCGTGACTTTTCCTTTAACTTTTGTGTCTTTAGCTCTTCCTACTTGAGGAATTGAGAGACAGAAAGTTTGATGGCTATGCCAGGAAGATCCAGAAGGCGTATAGAATGTACAAATCAAGACAGTATTTTGCTGAACTCAAACAACAAGGTTAGCGATTCATAGTAATTGTCAACGAGCAGCCTCGCGAAGACGCGAGGCTGCAAGGCGGCAGCCTAATAAAGCCGTGCGCGAAAGTTCCGAGACAGAATGGATCTTGAATCGATGTAACACAAGGTAGTGTAAGGTAACTTTTATGACTAATGCAGACAGAATGCATTGTTTTCGAGCGAACGCGTGATACAGAACAGAGAATCCACGAGCCGTGTGCGTGTTTGTGAGTCCCGTGTTCATCCCGTCTTCAACCAGTCGTTAGATGGATTCATTTCCGTCATTTGCGTACAGCTGTCGCATTTACCCACATCAAACCTTTCTTGTAACAAATGATGTTGTTAACAGGTTTGAACGTGGGTGGTAAAACGCGCAACATCGCTTTTCTGCAGCAACGTTGCAAGACAAGTTGCACGTTTTTTTGCTCGTTTTTACGCACATATTAATCTAAACTTGTTTCTTTTTTTGATGTTCTCGTTGTCTTTGTCTTCCTGACATCTTAAACTCCCTTAGACCCTAAAAGTGTCTTGACTACAGTTGTCTTTGCGCTGTTTTCATCAGTTCAATGTGGTTTGCTTTTCATGTGTTTGTTTTAGCATCGGACATTCTGTTCAACAAGAAAGAGAGACGGCGAGGCAGCATCAACCGCAACTTTGTTGGGGATTACATTGGTTACGATGACAACCCAGCACTGAGAAGTTTAGTCGGTATGAGCTACTTGAATCACATCACAAATTCTTGTGTTTCAAAGGACTTCCTGGAAGAGTTTTGTTGTCTCATTTTACATATACTTACATCATTGTTTAGAAAAGCGAGAGAGGATTGAATTTGCTGTCACGGTGAACAAATATGATAGAAGATTCAAGGTGGGTTGAAAATAACTGTCAGCTTTAAAGTACATTATTTGACTTCAATTTATTCTTTTGTAACATTTATAGTGTTTTTCCGTTTGTCATATTACATTTCGTCTAACCTGCACTTTTTACAGGCAATGAAGCGCGACCTTCTGTTATCCAGCAAACACATTTATCTTATTGGAAGAGAGAAAGTAAGTGTTCATCATTGTCCTGTTTGAAGTTGTCTTTTACTTGGAGAGTGAACTACTCTGGCTCCATTGGTCCGTTCTCGAAATACCTAGGATGAAATAAACCGTGATTCCCAAGGGGGGACTGCGCATATGAAAGGGGTGGGATGCTCGTCGGAAATTTTGAATTCAACCCCTAAAGGAGACCGATCTGGGCGTGGCCCAAACTTTTTTTGACCTGTAAAAGAGACCATGTTAAAACACAGACAATAAATATATATTTTTTATATTTTTTCGCGTGCAACCCTGAACGAGACCTTCACGGCTAAATATGATGGCGTTTTGCCCAGAACACCCTAAGTGAGACCAAAATCCGAAATTTACACCCCTAAGCGAGACGACGAGCATCCCCACCCCTTTCATATGCGGAGTCCCTCCCCCCCCCCCCCCCCCCCCGGGCCGTGCTTACGGTTTGAGAAAGCTCAAGGAATTTCATAAGAAAAATAACCTCTGGAACCCAGGGTTATGGGTAAGAGTGAACCAGTGATTGATTTTAATTTGTTTGGCTTTGTAATCAGGTAAAGAAAGGCCCAGAAAAGGGTAAAGTTTACGAAGTGGTGAAACGTAAACTGGAAATGAAGAGCATAGGATCTGTTTCACTCAGGTATACACAAATTTGATACTCAATAGTAATCAGAGGCCACCCAGACAATAACGTTCTACAGTGGAACCTCGATATAACGAGCCTCGTTACAGTGAACAAATTGTGCCAGTCCCTTGGCACTTCGTTATATCGAGGTTCCACTATAAAGAGTATTTTCTCTGTGTCATTTATGATGCCGTCTTTCAACTCATCTTGATAACAAGGCTAAATTGCGTCTGTTATCTGTTACTTTCGACGTGTATTTCTCTGCTAACAGAAGAACAGTAGAAATTCAACTACAGTGAAACCCCGCCTTACAGCCACCTCGGTAATACGGTTACCTCGTTATTACGGCCACTTTTTTGGCCGCCTGGAAAAACGGCCATACATTTTCTTGTATAAAAAACCCTCGTTAATACGGCGAAACTATTTCACCACAAGCTGTCGCTCGGTTTGAAGCAATGGTTTTTATTTACTTAACGTTCCTTTTCAGCCCACTCCAAGATGACTTTATAGTTGTCCATATACCAGGGGAATATGACAGTGTTTTGGAAACTGTCTTCAAGACAGAGTTCCTGACTCTTCTTTCATCAAAATATCAAGATTCTACGAACCGCCAACTTAAAGTGGATATTAGCAGCAGGTAATTCTTTATTTTTGTTCGTTAGAACTGGAATTATTTCTTTTCGAGAAAGTTTTGGAGTTTTAAATAAACCTGATATCTGCGATGCTTGCTCTGTACCTATTAGTCATAGCGTAGAACGCTTCAACTTTTGAAAGCAAAAATGAGCTTCGCTTTGGGCAAAATTATATTCTAATGATCTACTGAAAGAGGCCTAACCGGATGACTGAAAGGGACTGTGGCCACAGAAAAATTGATAAATTTGCTGTCTTTGTGGATAAAAGTAGTAATACCACATTACGTAATTATTGCATCGTGCAATCATGGAAACAAGGGCGCGAGATAGTGTGATTATATGGCGCAAACTAAAAATGTTGTACCCTTTTCTCTCAGTAACTGATGTCACACTTCACACCCGGCTACCTGGCCACCTCAAGGTTCCACTTCAACATAAAGTTCATCCGAGTAGTATTTTAATCATTGCATTCTGATCCATCTTTTCTCAGCATCACAGTTTCAGTGAAGAAGGAGGGCTGGGGTGGTGGAGGAACACGTACTATTAGCTTTTCTTCTGGTAATTCTGATTTTCCAGTACTCAAACCTTCTGGCAAGTCACTCAATGTCTCCATTAGTCCTGGACTTCCTAAGGATACGAGTAAGTCCTTTATACGTTTACCTTGCACTGTGAAGTTCAGGCTCTGTTTCGCGCTTTAGTCGAAACACATTATCTGTAGGACAAAAAGGGCCCAATTATAGTTTGAAACCTTCACATGTTTTAAGCCTCGCTCTGTGTAAGCAATCAGACGTTTGGTTCTTCTAAGCTACTAGTTAGCACTCCGATTTAAACCTGTTCGTGATGATGATGTCATATTAGTTTGTGTCATGGCTGGCATAAGTGAACTAGCTAAGTTCTCTTTAAAACGCAATCACCCGTTCACACCTATCAAATATATTTACTTCAACAAAATCTTGTGCTTGAAACATTTTATCTTTCTTTGGTACAGACCGTTAAATGTGAGCTGTAGACACTAATTCTTCGTTTACTGCAGACCGTACTCATGGCAATATTTCCCTAATCCTGTAGTTAAAAGAGCTTTAAAGCGTGGAAGTGAACGTAGTACGAGATTGACAAGCAGTACAGGTCGTTTCCACTCACGTGGTCAGCAGCTACGTAAATTTAGAAAAGTTTTATTCCCACTGGATTTTTTGGGTACCCCAACATGGCCGCCATCTTTGTTTTGGTACACCAATATGGCCGCCGTGACGTCATGTTAAAAAGAGTATAAGATTCTGGGATACTCCCCACCTACTCCTCCCCTAACCTAACGTTAACACTATTTTTTACTTTGAGCAAAATGTTGGTTGAAGGGAGGGGTGGATAACCAGTTTCCCAGTATCTTATACTGATTCTTTTTTTTGCCCCCTCAGGACCGGGACGTCAAGCCCGTGCCACCTCAGGCCCAGGAAAACCTCGCAGAGCTGCCCCAGGCTACCCCAGTCAGCAACAAACAACTGGACAAATGCGTCAACGTACAGCGTCTAGTCTCCATCGTTTCGCTGCCACGCACAAGCAGCCATCGTTGCCTCGATCTGGCGCACAGCATTTAGCACGAGGTCCTGCAAATGTCAACATTCATGATCAAGCATTCATGAGAACACCAGAGTCTGGAGTGTGCGGGTGAGTTTTTGTTGGTCATGTGGATGACACGTGATAGTTCTGACATATTTCTGTGTTCCTTGCCGAACCCTCTGTAATTTACATTTCTTATGTCTTTGCCTTAGACCAGAAACTCATAAGGGGTTGAAACGTCTAACTCTCATTTGTTTGCTTTGTCCGATGCTCGTGATTATTCATTTTCAAAAGTACCATATTTGGAACGAGAAGAAGAGATAACTGACCAATCAAACTTCGTAAGCGACATGACGTAATTTTACTTCAGGTTCCCGCGCCCGCTTGAAAAAATGGCCGACGAACGGGGGAAAAACTTCCGAAAGCCGAGAAAGCTTTCAAAGGTTGAAACCAGGAATCTTACCGAAACACTGAGCAGGATATTATTGTCTTACCACCCGGGCCAAACATAACATCATGAAACCCATCACGTCCTCGCAGCTTCTTGAAGTTGTCACTTCAAAAAACGATGCCTTGTTGAGCCTCTGCACGGTAAACTTATACTGCAAATAGGCTTTTAAAATTCGTATATTAAAAGTCTAGAATAAACAGTAAAAAATATTTCGAATAAAATTCATTAGCTGCGTATCAAAAAGTGTCGAAAACCTGAACCTGACATCTTCGCAAAAAGTGATGCGTGTAATGAATGTGAGAAGCATTTAAGCTTAAATTCAGCTTGGATGTTGTAGCCACGATCGTGTTTTGAGCTAATTTTATGTATGAACAAACTCAAAACAATAGACAGAGAAACCGTTTCTTGAAAATTTTTATACAAAATCCAAAACGTTAATCCCTTAAGGCAATTCGGAAAACACTATCTGGATCGTGGATCCGTTTACGCAAGTGAAATCGGCTGAGCACATGGCAAAATTCAACACAAAATCCATTTCAAATCGGGGCACATTTTGTAATTTTTCTTTAGCGCCAAAGAGAAAAATTTATAAAACGTCTATGAAACATTTAAAAATACGTAAATTCCCTTTCAAAAACGTAATTGTCTTGGCCATGGAGTGCAAAATGTACCTGAAAATTCAGCAAAAACTTCACCAGCTTGGTTGCATTTCAAAACATACGATGCGCTCCGTCGAGAAGAAAACAAGGTTGAATTCCTCGAAGGACGATTTCTTGATGAAAAGCTTCCCTTCCTCCACAAAAAGAAAGCTGAGCATTCTTTTGAACCTTCTCCTTCCATTTTTTGTCTTTTAACGGTGTATTTTTAACCTTGAAATGCAGAACTCTTGTCTGAAAACATCTGCATGGTTATCGCGCGGCAGCCATTTGTTGAAAACCGATATCTGTCACTAAGGTTTCCAAATATGGTAAAAGTGAATATTCACGAGCATTGAACGCGAGTTACACGTTTCAACCCCTTATGAGTTTCTGCTTAGACTTAAATGACAGGTTTCTTGATAGGCCATGCACGCAATATGCTCGCAACAACTACAAATTCAGACTATTTATCTTCCGCAACTCTACCTTTCCACTATTTTCCAAAAAGATAGAAAAACACACAGGAAAAAATGGCCAGGAAAGAAACTGTAATCTGTATATGCTTAAACAAGGGCTGCCAGAGTTATGTGTCTCAAAACGGTTGATTTTGCGGAATAATATGTCAAACAACCTCTGTTGCATTGCTCAGTCAGGTGAATTTAAAGATCATGCCAGAGAGGATATGTCTCTTTATTTATTAACAGAACGTACAGTTATAGTGTGTCATCCACTTTATAAGTTGAAATATCCAAGTATTTGTAAGATGTAATAGACTCTATTTGCTCAGTGCAAATCTTGTAATCTTATGAGGACAATTTATCCTGAGTCGTTTCGGGAGCGAGGTCCTGGCATGTGATCTTAGAATTTGGGTAATAAAACAACACAGCGAGTATGGCGAGTAAGGTCTTTAAAAATATATTTTGAACCTCCTGGTTAGAAGGGTTAAGAATGACACTTCCTGTTGATATCAAGTGTTTGATAGGAGAGATTGCTTCTACTTAGGCGCAGGCCATGTCTGCACGAATCCGGATATTGTTGAAACCGCATATATTTTTACAGCAATCGACCTTTCATCCATAAAAAAACCCAGCGAATCTGTTCACCGAAATCGCATCTTTTTCAAACCGTTCTCCAGAGTGTTAAAGGCCCCATTCACTTGAATCCGGGGTAAAAAAAATTATGCGGTTTCAAACATTTCAAGATTGTTGTAGATGTGGCCTGAGTGTCTGATAGTAGCGGTTGTGCCAAGCTGATTAAGCTGATCTGCAGTGGTTTGTTTAATGTTACGCCTTGTTGGGTGTGCTGTGCTTTAAGTGCTTTTGTCTGTGCTGTCTGTTGTATTCGCACCATCACTGAAAATAATCACAATGCTTAAAATGCAATTTCTTGGAAATCATTCACTACTTACGCGCTGTCTTTATTCCTAACTGATCTGACTGAAAAATAAAAAATGCATGTATACCAAGAAACCGAAAATTATGTACCAGTAAATAGGGCTTAAAACTGAGGATAACCATTTCTTTGTACTTTGTAAATTATTTTTAAATTTGAAAAGAAAGTGAGATTTATAAGTTGGTGAAGGACATAACATTTAATATGTAAAATCCACAATTTTAACAAGTAAGCATTCTGCACTCACATCACTTTTAAGGCTCTGCCCATAGTAATTTCTGCTTTTGGCTGAAGCTGCTAGGTGATTGTTTTAGTTTCTGCTTTTTCCCTTTGCCGTGGTTAAAAAATCTAACTCTTCTATGGTGCATTTTTATTAAATTTACAACATTTAAACCATAAACAGATTTAACCGCATGAATCCACCAGTCTCTCGGGCCACTAGAGCAACGTATCCTGTTCCCAGTGGACGCCAACCACCCGAGTACCCTCACCAGAGGGGTCATGCAGCGCCCGTGCAATTTGGTACTGTCTCCCGTCACAGTGGAATCTCAGAAGAGCTTGGCCCTGCGGTTTATGGACAGTACAGAAAGGCAGATTTTTACCATGGACAGAATGTGCAGTACAATCCAGCCAGTTTGAGGCGCTCAACTGTTAGTGGTGTCAGACCAACCAGCTTGGACGATAATCAAGTGCATAATGTGCGGCAAAGCAGGGACAAGACGTTAGTGCGTCCCCGATCTGTCAACCTATCAACTCAGAAGGAAAGTTGTCACGATTCCGCAGCTAGTGAAAGTAAAATGCAGAGCGGATTAAAAACTGTGCGTCGCCCACGCTCCGTAACCTTTTCGTTGCCAAATGAAAATGTTGACAGTTCCACAGCCACTCAGCAAAGAGATTCAAGAATGCAGCAGACAGCTGAAGCTCAAGACAGGCAGTCTGTTAGCCCAGCAGAGAAAGGTGGATATGATAGGGCGAGATACAAATTAAACCAGTCTCCTAAACAGAACTTTTACAGGGCAAATACAATGCAGCAAACGGACACAGGGGACTACAACGGTAGAAATGCTTCTTACAGAGTAGCATGCAGTGCTTCAAACCGCCAAAAAGCTGCAGCCATGTTGCAGAGGAGTGAATATGAGGTCATGCATCCAATTAATAACGACCAAACCAGTAGAACACCACCGGCGTATTCAGAGGCTGTTGCCAGATTACAGCAACGAACAGCGTACAGATCAGAGTATAGCCAGAACCACTCAACTCAACGAGATGGCTATGAAGAGATGCAACCACTGCATCTCAGCAATGCAGCTCCACGCAGCTCTGCTGCAGCAACTCGACAGAATGCTGAATATGGTAATATTAGTACTGGGACTCAACAAAATGGTATATACAGTACCGCACCGAGCCAACAGTATCGCCCTTACAGTACTGTCGCAACTCCTCAAGAGAATGGTATATACAGTCATATTGCACCCTCACAGAGTTTACCATACGGTAGAGCAACCACACAACAAAACCAGCCCCCATACAGCATGGCAGCCACCCAACAGAACGGTATCTGCCTTAATCCTCTCTACAGCACTGCAGGTGGCCACCAGTGCTCTCCATACAGCACTGCAGCAGGCCATCAGAATCCTCCGTACAGTACTTCAGCAGGCCATCAGAATCCTTCCTACAGTACTTCAGCAGGCCATCAACATCCCCCCTACAGTACTTCAGCAGGCCATCAAAATCCTCCATACAGTACTTCAGCAGGCCATCAAAATCCCCCATACAGTACTTCAGCAGGCCATCAGAATCTTCCGTACAGCACTAAAGCAGGCTATCAGAATCCTCCTCGTAGTACTGCAGTTAGTCATCAGAGCACCCCATACAGCACCGCACCACCCCAACAGAATGGTTCACTTAGTCGAACCGCAGTCCATGAAAGTCCTCCTTACAGCACTGCAACATCTCTACATAACGGTGTTTATAATCGTGGAACAACTCAGCAGAATCGCCCATACTGTACCGCTACAACACAACAGAATGGAACGTACTATAATCCTCAACACAACGCTAAGAACGGTTCCTATGGTCATGCGACAAACCAGTTGAATGGAATATATGAGTGCATGGAAAGGCAGCAAAATCCGCCATACAGCACTGCCTCAGCCAAGCAGAATGGTTTTCAAAACCATGTAACAAGTCAGAAAAGTGAAAGCTATTATTCTCGGGACGCAGTCCACCAAAATGGTGTATTCAATAATCCAGAAACCCTGCAAAATGGCACTCACAGTAATGGCATTCATGAACACCAACTGGACAATGGATATGACGGTTATGACAGCAGTGATAGCGAATTTGATGACTCGGAAAATGATCATGCTTATGATTACGTGAACTTGAAAGAGTGGACTGGTGCCGAGCATGGAACAACTAATAGTGCCACTGACCAGGATGTATACATTGAACAATGTGATAGGTGAGCTAACACTTTCATCCAACAATTCTGAAAATTTAACTTAAATATCTAGTAACTTGACTATAACCGTGAAATGTAAAATATATACTGTCTTATTTGTCATTTTAATCCCTGAGTTGCTAAATTAAACTTTTTTGAGCCCTGTAACAATATTAAGCTAAAATCGACGTACACTGCTGTCTTTGGATCTAGCTCAACAAAGTCTGCTTATAAAATGCATTTTTAACCGGCCTTTTCTGAATAAAGAGTTGAACATGTAATTCATGCAGTACGTTAAAACTTAAAATGTACATAATCATGCTTCTTCTGGCATAAATATGGCACTGTAAGGTGTATTTGGTTGCGTAATTCCAGAGCGTAGCGATAAACGTTAACTTAGATTGAATTTTATTGCATGTTCAGATTTTTTCCGATAAGAAATTTTAAACTTCTCTGCGGTAACTATGTTGATATGTGGTCTTCGAAACTGTCAAATCAATTTAACACTTTCTCTTTAATAGCCCTCGAGGTGTTTTCGGTATTCGTGCCTTTTGCAACTCTGATCTCCATAAAAGCATGCAAAAGACTATCTCGTTTATTGACCGCGTTGCTTGTTCTCTTAGACGTTGTGTAACCCTCTTTAGGCATCTAAATCCTTCCAAGCTACAACGGTTTCTATAATCTTTATTCCTTCTTCATTTTCCGTCTAACAATATGTTTTAACGTTCAGTAAAGTACTGTCAAAACGTTATGCGAGCATAATGTTTCTCTTGAAAAAAATCTCCAAAAATTGCAAAGTAGTCAGTAGTATAGAGAGAATCGAATTATCTCCTTTGTTGAAGTGGAATCTCATTACTGTAAAGTCGAATAAATAATCGTAGATGATACCATCAATAGCGGAGGTTAAGATGCGATGATGTTACGCTATATTTTGTTGTGCCCAGTATAAGCGGTTTGGCGGTTCGATGCTGTCATGAGTTTTGATTGGTTGACTTAAAATGTGAAATTGGTTGAGTTATTTATAGACGGAAAAAGCGCGCCAACTCGTATGTCACTTAAAATCACTGAATCGTAGCGTAATTATCCATGTTTGATTTCACGTCACATTTATTATCCGTAGTTCCGGTTGGCTGGCTTGCAAGTTGGGCACAATATGAAATCCATGAAAAACTCGGCCTTCCTAGCGCAAAACAAAAAGTCTTTGTGTATTTTTTACCTACCCTCACTCATTCACACTCGGACTCCACCACCGCCACCACCACTCTGTTTTCCTTGTCTTCCCTCCTCTTCCTCCACCTCGTCTCCCTTTTGCGCCACCACCACTTTACTATTGTTCCCCTCCTCCACCGGCCACCGCTATCTCCACGTCTATATTTTCTCTTTCTTCTCCTCTTCCCCATTTTGTGTAGTGTAAATACAAACGACTGGAAAGAGCAATAGATTTGAGAACCAGGAGGCTGCTTTTTAATCACCTTCGCCGGAAATCAGTGTCCCGGAACTGTTGACAATAATCGCCACAGAAAACAAAACTTGCATAATAACGTTATCGATCAGTGACGTAAAGTGACAGGAGAGTTGGCGCTTATTCCTTTTCGTCAAAGTAAATCAGCACAAAATGCATCTCAAATTTGTTGTAAGCCAATCAAAGATCATGACATTGACGTTTAAAAATAGCTACAATCCTGTCAAGCCGATTATTCTAGGCACACCACAGGCGCTTTCCATTCAACAAAAATTCCGGTTTGGAATTTCGGAAATTCCACGTACCCACTGGAGCGGTACATTCCGGTTGCACAGTCCCTACCCAAGCCACCGCGCGTTTGGTTATTGTTCTTGTAAGCAAGATACAAAAGAGCGGTACTGGGAAGAACAATTTTGTCAAATGGAACGGGACATTTCAGTCCGACCGACCGAAATGACCAGACCGGTCAAAGTGGATCTCCTTCAAAGCTGGTTCCGAATATTCCGGTCGAACCAAACCGAAATGGCACGTTCCCTTTGATGTACCAACCAAAATTACCGGAGTTTTGGGTTAAATGGAAAGCGCCCAAAAAAAATACAAGACGTCGCCCATCTTTATTGGAAGCCCTTTTGATGATATCGTTGGCGTTAATTATTCTACTTAAAACTAATGGCATTCCTCTTCAAAAAAGTGGATCATTCGATCCCTGCTATACTGCTACAATCACTTGCAAGCTTCAATTGAGGCACCGTGCACTAAATATTCTGCACTATGTGTATGTGAGTTCTTATGTGAGCAGCTTATTTATGTGGCTTTCCTCAGATTAGTGCTTGGTTTCGATTTTCGCAGCTTTCGTTCATCAAATCTTACAATAAAGTTCTCAAATTCAAAAGCTGTAATGTTTGACCCTTCAAACAAAAGCCATCCGGGTAACACTTTGGGTAAAGGTTAACGAGGGTGGTTACTTGCTTACCATTTTACATCGGCAAACCATTCGGTTCACGGTTTAGGCAAATGGTAAGGAAAATGCAGGACTGATAAATTTCATTCTGGCACAAATCATGTTTACCTTTTACCACAAAACGGGTGCGAAATTTCCACGAATTTCCATGAGGAACATTCTGTTCTGAAATGTACCTACTTGTAGGGTATAGATTACAGTTTCCAAAAAAAACAGTTTGTTTTTTTTTCGAGATCGACGAATCCATGGCAGCACGGTGAAGCCATTGCTATTTTTGAATTGTACCGACTTCAAGCGATTTTTATGAGAAGTTTTCGAGCGTTTTTGAAATTTTGGATAGCTTTCACGAAATGAATCATTGACAACGCTCTCAGCGTTCAAGAAACAGACATTTACTCCGTCTTCAGGAACTGAACTTTGGCCTCGAATTGGTTTTTAGTTGTTTAGAGTAAAAAAAATCAGGTAAAGAAATCGCTTCACCCAATTTCCAGTAATGTGAACGTAATCAACAGTTACGCTTTACCTTGTATTGAAGACAGCTGTGGTATTGTTTTTGCAGCATCGAGAGGATTAACTCCAAGAAGAAGTCACATTCGAGGCGGCCCCCAGCTCCCGGAAAACCCAAGTTAAAACCAAAGCCCACTCCGTCCCTACCGAGATGCAAGACGATTTATCCTTATGACGCGACAGATGTCGACGAATTGAGTTTTCAACCAGATGAAATCATCGAAATTATTAAAGAAGGTAAGATACCTAAATCTGCTTCTCCACGTTTTTGCTGCGCAAGTGTTATTCTCTACAGGTGGCCAACGAGCTGTCTTTGATTTAAACATGGTTAATAACTGCAATGGTTTTGAATCCCGTCAGACTTATTAGTCTCGCTTGGGTAAGCAGCGAGACTCATGATCTGCAACGCGTTTTTCGTCGTATTTATGACACAAAAGGGGGGGTCTTTGTGCCGGACCTTCCTTGCGGAGACCGTGGAAACTGGGACTAAGAATCGTTGCGTGATCGAAGCCACGCATGTTTTGCGAAGAAAGCTTAGGAAAAATTAAATTTAGAGCTTTTCCGAAACGTGTCGGTCCACGAATTCTATCGCTTGAAAGCGTTGATTACTTTGGAACAAGTGAATACTAGTGAGTAGTGGAAAAGCGAGACTGACGGCCGCTGTAAGAACGTTATTGTTTGTTAGACCTTTCTGTTGGAGCGATTTTGCGCTCAGTCCGTGAAATAGGTAGTGGACTAAACGCACTATTATGTGCTAATTCAGTTCATTGTCTACTTTTCTTTCTCTATTTGGCATTAGTCGTTATAAAGTATCTGTTTTACGGGTTAATTAAAATCATTCTAGCTTCTGTGGACTTTTACCGTGCGCAGCCTTCAATAGTATTCCTATCATTTTTAACTGACCAATGGAAACGTCTCATTAATTTATGTAGTCGCTGAATTTTTGAAGGACAAACAATAAATTGTGGACGGCCAAGAGCTCCCAACGTTACTTGCGGCACCGTTTTTTTGTTTTGTTTTGTTTTTTTGTTTTTTTTTTTCATCTTTGACGATTGTAAACTGTCATAACCAGTCTTTTCTACTACGATAAACCGAAAGAAAGCCTAAAGGGAATTGACTGAAAATAACTATAATGCCACAATGTGGGTTTTCATTCTCTCATAGATACTTGCGTTTAAATTGGCCCGTTAGAGGTGGACTCGCTTGTGTAGTACTACATTGAAGTGTTTTCTGTTACTTTTATTCACAGATCCCTCTGGATGGTGGACGGGCAGACTACGTGGCCGTGAGGGACTGTTTCCCAGTAACTACATTGAAAAGATTTAATAGCGATTTTATCCCATTGTAAATAATTACTCCACGAGATCTTGCACGTAGGCACAGAGAGCAGAGGAGTTATCTTTGATCCTTATTTTCAGTTTAACTCGCGGTTCAACTCTACAAATGATAGTGTCCTGCGATCGTAAACAAAAGCGACTGTGGGCTCTTTTAAAAAACGGTAAATGCTTTGCAAATTTATAACGCCGCTCGAACGGAAACAAGGGGCGCCGTCTTCAAAAACTAGTTCACTTGGATCACTAAGTGTGGCTTTCTTTTTTCCTCGTGTAAGCATATCTTCTCTGCTCCCTGTGTAGTAGGATGATCATAGTAGTACTCATGTGGCACTTTTTAAACTCGGTGATGTCGTGTTAAGAGGCAAGGGTGATCTGAATGTGTAAAATGTTTTCATCATAGTATTTTAATGTCTGATTTTAGTAATGTAATAAAGACGACAGAGTGGTTTATATTTTAGTGAAAAGGCATGTTAGGAATAGCTAAAGGAAGTGTGGAGTTAGTTGTAGCTTCTCAACTTTTAGTTTCCAATGAGACTGAGAAATCTTTACAGTGTGCATTTAATTAATTAGGTCACTTACGAATCCGTTATGGGTACACTTACGTGTGTTGCATGGAACGCACTTAGCACTCTCGTAAGTTACTGTTTTACGTGGTAACTTACGGGCTACTTAAGAGCGCGCGTAACCTTGATATAGTACTTTATTAATCATTCACTCTTTTTTTTTAAGCTAACCATCGGTGAGTGTAAAGAAAGTTAAAAGTCGTCAGTTTCCAATACTTTTAAGCCTCTCAAAAAATGAAATTTGCATGCAAACGTTATTTTTCTCCAATATCTACTGAAAATGATAGTTCTTCTTCTTTTTTCACAAAAGTGTACATCAGAAGTCAACAAAGCGCATTAGAACGAATTACGTGAAGAAAAATACTTTTTTTCACTTCTCAGTAAAAGATCTCGTTAAATTTAGTAAAAACAATAACGATACGGGACTTACATAGGTCCCGTAAATGTACGTACTATTTTTCCCGTAAAAAAAGTTTTATGCAACACCCGCAATTTCTGTTACATAAACGACACTTAAGTGAACACTTACGAAAATCGTAAGTGCAACCACTTAACTGAATTCCCTAAGAGGACCACTTAAGTGATTTCATGCAACTGACTTAAGTTACGAGTGCGCGTACGTGTACCCGTTGTTGTTACGGACGTTTTATGCAACCGGGCCCAGGTCTTGGCAGTCGACCTTTTTTTGTGTCGTACTTCAAAATCTCAGCTACGTAACATCGTAAATCACGCTTGTATGCAAGTTGAGATAAACTTGATAAAGCACTTTTTAAACTTGCTTGATTGCAAACTGTGATGTTTTATAGTTTTTGACCATCTATGCTTCCTTTTGGCCTTTCAAATTTTACCTGTAAATTTTATGTTTATAATTATCACTTTGTTTACAGTCGTAAGGGGCTTTGATGCCATTATTGCAGTCAGTTCTATGACCGTTCAAAATAAAACGTTGAAGTTGTCACTCGTTTGTCACCCCGCCGTTTTCACATATTTCCTTCGTTGCACTCAGGCCCTGTTCGCACTAAGCAAAATTTGTGTTTATTTGGCGTAGTGCTAACAGGGCCTTAATCATAATTTTGGTGAGAATCATAATTTTGGTACAGAACTGAAACGACCGTAATAACCGGGATTGAGGCGTCTCTTTTCGAGTAAAGAAAACCTTAGAAGGAACACAAACAAAGAAAGATTTCTTTTCAAGTGCAACATTTGCTCGCTCAAAGAAAAAGCAATCAACGTGGGGACTTATTTAATTATTTGAATATTAGTAATGTAACAAATTTCAAATAAAGTAAAATCTTGGTCTTACAGTCATCACTCTCTTTTTCTGGTATTTCCGCTTTAAGAGCTCCCCCACCCTTACCTAGTAATAGGCCTGTCTACCTCCAAACAAGAAGAATACATTCGTTTATAAGCCCTCCCCCAGATGTAAGCCTCCCCACCCCCTCTACCTTTTATTGGTTATAACTCCCTCCCCACCCGTTTATAAGCTCTCCTAAACACCCCTACGAAGTTGTATTAGCCCAGGGCTTATAAGCGTAAGTTTACGGTATTTTCAATGTATTGTTCTAGCTCTTGTCTTGTTGCTAATGTATTGAGAGTTATGTTTGTTGTGGTTCCTGTCAATTCCGCCAACCTCGCTTTCGAGACGCCATCATGACGTAGTTAACGAGAGAATGGGGTTGGCTACTTTATTGATGACGGCATACATAACGAGGGCACTGCGACCCTGCGAAGAACATTAAAATTCAACAGAGCCAAGAGACTGTCTTCTTCGTCTTTATTTTTCACTTCTAGGCCTCGTTACGTCACGATTATTTACCACTATGTAATTTTTAAACCTTTGGACTAAATCCGTTGGTGTTAAGATTTATGCGTGTGACGCAGAACCTCGTGAAGCTCGTCGGAGGGTGACCCGTAAAAGGTTAGGGATGAGGTCGGGTGGGGGAGGATAAATTGAATTGTGTAACTTGGGAGGAAGGTGGACACTGGCCCTAAAATTGGAAGCCGAGTGTCGTTCGTTTCGATATATAGTTAGAGTGAATTCGAACCTAGTCCTCTGGCTTTAAAAAGGAAGTAGTTGGATCTTTGACCGCTGAGTATTTGGTTAGAGGTGTGGGTTACTGAAACTGTTTTCGTTGAATAGCAAATGTAGCACTGGCCTCCTCTTAATTCTTAATATTACCTCTAGAAAAGGCAGTGATGGATCCCGGGGGAGGGGCCCGCTCCTCCCGCCTTTATTTTTGGACCAAACTGAGGCCCGAAGGGCCGAAAATTTTTTTTTTGTAAGACCGCCCCCCCCCCCGCCCTTATCTCAGGGTCTGCATGACCGCCCCCCAACCCCACCCCCTTATCTGAAGGTATGGATCCGCCACTGAAATGGGTCTGATAATGGATGACAGCCAGCTAATTGGCAGTGGTATTTGCTTCATTTCAGGGCGAGAGCTGGTGTATTGCGAATATAGCCATCTCCAACTGTAATTGCGAAGGGGGTCAGTGGAGTCTCCTTAAGGAGTGTGTAGCCGGCTCAGATGTGTATGTAGGTGTTTTTGATATACTAGAAATCCAATAAACGGGTAAGGCAATGGAGAGGAGAAGTGTGACGTTACGTTACCATGGTAGCACTATTTCAGGATGACAACACCACTACGACATGAAACTTCCTAATTTCTCGGGCCCGCTTTATGGAGCAGGTGAACACAACACAAAAATTGCCGCTTTCTTTTTCTTTAAGTTAGATAACGAAAGACACGGTCCCAAAGAAAATTCAGCCAAGGTTTGCCAAATTAAATGAAACTGAAGAAGACTGGTGAAGGTTGAAACAGTGCGAATAGACTTTTAAGTGACTTTATCGGCTTGTTGTCATCCAAAAATTTTGCTACCATGGCAACGTGACGTAACGACTTCTCCTTTCTATTAAGTACATCTAGTGAGAGGGTGAAATGGTAGGGGTCAATTAAATAAAACTTTTGCAATTGTAATTTACAAGTACTAGCCATTGTTTTAGAGTCTGAAAACCGTAGATACACTTGTAAAGATTTTAATCATTTGACCCCTGCAGTAATGGCGACTAAATGAAAACAACAAGTGAATGCGAGTTATTGGTATAGTGGGTCTATTTTTGAATCTCCCTTCTCAAACTCATTAATAATTCATTAAGAAAATACCAAGGAAATTAATGTTTAATGAGTGTTTGGAAATCGGATGAAACACTGCTTAGTATTTGCATCCTTAATTTCTCCTTCAAAAATGATTTTGTTTGAGAAGAAATATCAAACATTCGACACAGTGTTTCATTACCAGATGAAACACCTCGAAGTTCGTCAAAAATACTCCGCTGCGCGTCGTATTTTCAACTCTCTTCTCGGTGTTTCATCTGGTGATGAAACACTGCATCTCATGTTTGATATATTACTTCAAAACTCATTAATAATTCATAAGCCCCTTGACCTATCAAATGGTCGATAATACATCACGTGCAGTGGCATTATATCTGATAAAACCACCCCTTATTAGTATGCGGTGTTTTATCAGATATAATGTCGCGGCACGTGACTTATATGAATATTGATTGTCAACACAGTCACTGACGCAACAAATGGTGGATGAATATCTTATGTTCTTTCAAAATTACACACCCAGTAAATTTACTATTGCACAAAATTTAAATTTGTTCAGTCCACAAATTTAATCAGCCAAAAGTTAAGTGACTCAGTCGTAGAATTGGCTACACCAGTGTCCGAGCGATGCAGTCGTTGCACTCAAGACTTGTCAGTTGTGAAGACGCAAGTACTGGATTTCTGTTTTCCCACCATTCAGTCATTCCAGAAATTGTTTTTGAAGACTACTTTTTCACTTCATCCCTTCCTCGGCCTTTTTAGGCTTCTGAAAAGCTCTGTAACAGGACGCCATGTCGTCTTCCGTTAGCATCGTTCGGAGAAGAAAAGTTCTAAACACGTGTAAGGTTTGATTTTCTTGCATAATAATTTCATACGTAATGTTTTTTTCGTACGCTAATTTCCAACATTCACAAAAAGCGTCATTGTTATGAACTCCATTGAGACACGCTTTTCCAGGAATGTTTTTGAAGTCGTTTAAAACACTGGCAGCAGGTGTTTTATCGGGTCTAAAATTACTCGCCTTCGGCTCGTGATTTTATACCCGATAAAACACTGCTGCTCGTTTATTAAACATCAAATAATACACTTCGTTTACCCCCCAAATTTTTCATGAACTATAATTCACAACTGTTCCTGGGAGGACTGTAGTTTCCCAAGAGCATCTGAAAAAATATTACTTATCCAAAATTTGGAAACAAAAAGAGTGGAGGATTTAAGGATAGTCAATTGTAAATTTCCGCACTCTGTGAAGTTTATTTGTGTTTGAAAAGAAACAACCTAACTTCCCTTCGGATTTAAACATATGTTGGTATAAAATCGGCAAGGAAAGCTACAAGGACAGTACAAAAGCTAAAATCCTTTGATCTTTTCTGGGGGGTGATGGCAGTGGTTTTGGTGGTCTTTGAACCTTGGGATATGCCGGCTTTGTCCTTTGGATATGGCGGCCTAGTCTCCTGGAAACCGCGGATGATAACGCGCTAAATGCACTAGCTCCTCTGCGAATGCCATCAGCGCTCTCCAGCGTGAAATACTTGATAATGTATTCTGGATAGCATTGATCATTGTCGAAGATAACAAAGACCGTCGGATTCTTCACGTTGTTCACGCACGAATCGTACAAATCACTCTCGGGATCGACATAGTATTTTGGTGGCGGTCTACAGTAACTACGTGCGCCGGCGGTGTACGTACCAACCAATACCCGGGCCAAAAACATGTAGCGATGATGATGCTCACTTGGTTTTGCGTAATATTTGCTATCTGAGGCATTTTTTGCGAAGTAAATTCCTCGGCCATAATCATTTCCATTTTTGATTGGAACACGCCAATCAAAGTTTTGTTTACAAATGGCACCTACCGAATGCTTGCTGGTTCCGTGAAATAACTGCTTTTCATTCGCCGATTCCAGTGGTCTGTACCTTTCCATGTATTCTCCTTTCCCTGGATGAGAATAATGAGAAACAACAATTCTTAGCAAATTCGTCAATCGGTTTCTAGTAACTAATGGCCCTTAACCTTTCTCAACTCACAAACCTCAACGAAGTAGACTCCATTCTCATTATGTTAGATCTGCCTTCATGAGAGTTTGGGGCTAACTTTCTATCTTAAAGAAATGCCGAGGAAAGATTTGAGTGTCTCAAATAAGAAATGTTTTTCATGGAGAAGAAGATGCAAACACCCAACACTGGCCCAAGATGACTCTATGCGTTCGTTGTTTCACACCGTAAAAACTGTATTGCTGTAGTTTCGCTCCTCCATTCTTTCGACTTGCATAGAAATGTTTTATGAAAAATGCTTAAAATAATCTCTAGATTTCAAAAAATTCCTGGGACCGGGCAACAGCAATAGCAATAATTGCTGATTAATACATATACAGTTTTCATGACATTTACAGTTCATAGAACTTGCTTCCAGAACCACCTGGCGGCATGCGCTTTCAGCGATCGCAGATCAGGGATCTGGTTCCTTCTGTGGTACCGAGGCACAGATTATGTACAACAAAAGAAATGACCTACAGATCTTACCTAATCTATTATTACTGGCCTGTGATTTTTATTGCAAAAAGTTTGTTCATTATAATTCAAATCAGCAGAAAAAGTCTACTTGGAATAATGCAACCAGAGTGTTATTTTTGCTGTGCAGGTGATAACTACTCAGTAATTTTCAAGGAGTTATAATAACTCCTCTAGTGGGGCTAATTTAACTCCTTACAGTGGAGTTATTTTTTCGGGAGTTATTGTAACTCCAAAAAGGAGTTTAAAGAACTCTTTTTCAGGAGTAAAAGTGACCCCAGATATTGAGGAGTTAAAACTAACCCTAAAAAAGGAGTTATCCTGTACCTAAAATTTTTTCTCCACTTTCAGAGTTAAATTAACTCAAAAAAGAGTAAAAACAACCGATGTAAGGAGTAAAAATAACCCCATGTCGGGGTTATTTTAACTCCAGACTGGGAGTGAAAAGAACTGTTTTTCAAGAGTAAAAATGTTCCCAAATTCGGAGTTAAATTAGGAGTTAAAGTAACCCCCAAAAAGGGGTTGTTCTGTACCTAAAATTTTTACTCCATATTTGGGGTTATAATAACTCCCTAAAAATTATGGTGTAATCAAGCAGAGTAATTGTAAAATTTTTATATATAATTCAATTGCCGCTGCATTTTAAGCAAAAGATGGCAAGAAAGAAAAAGGGGAAAGAGAAAAGGAGGCAAAGATTACTTGATCCAGCAATAACTTTCAGTTGGCAACAAAGGATCATTTTACGTATCTGGGTAACTCACCACCTACCCCTCCCGTAAACCACCATTAACACTTACTTCTCCCTTAAGGCAAAATGTTGGTTTAGGGAATGGGTAGGAGATCAGTTACCCAGATACATATATGTTAGGCAACAAAGATGGCTAACCTGCAGTACTTTTCCCACAGAAAAGGATTCTGCAGTCTCTTTATTTCAACAATGACGCCCTCGTCTTTCATTGTGTGTCGAAATAAACGCTCCACTATTTTAAATTCTTTTGAAGAAGGTTCCAGCTTAACACGTATATATATTTTTTCAGAAGACATTGAAGACCAGTGATCTGGGAGATGACCATTTATGGCACGGTTCCTAAACGCAAAGGGCAATCTTTTAAAATTTTTTATCACGTAGTCGTAATTTACGCAGGGCCCCTTTTGATACCAGCCAATGACTGATAGGGCTGCCCTGACTTGACTTTGGGACCCTTTGGCAGTAATTAAACAGTTAACATCTTTCTCAGACGTTCATCATATACGTAGAAACGTGTTAACGCACATACATCTTCCCGGGTGGAAGGAACTTACAATCTCTGATAAAATCGTTGAGACAATTGGTAAGATTTGGGATGGGGGGGAGCGAAGGGCTCTTTGTGTGGCTTGAGGCGGTTTTTCTTGTGCCCCAACTGACGTTATCATGTAGCACTTGTATTTTCTCTTAAGGTTATAGTAAGAGTAATATTTGAGACAAATAAACGTCACGCTAGTGGCAATATTTACGCCAAATTACTTATAAATAGACTTAATCTTTCTTCAGCAAACAAGCGCAACAAGAGCAATGGGCCGCTTGCACTAAGAGGTCACGTAACCAATTCTTCCTTTAAACAATGAGTTGGAATCTTGCTGATGCCAAAAATTGACAGCGCGCATAAAAATTATCTTACAACCGAAATTCGAGACCGCCATGTTGGAGGGCATACTGTTGCCCTCCAACATGGCGGCCAAAACTGCTTTTTGCTTATATCTTGTTAAACGTTTGATAGTTACGCTCAGATGTGCTGTAAATGTTACCACATCATCTTTTCAACATTTTCCTTGAAGTTTAAGTGCAAAATTTGTGTTCAGAAAGAGGTAATTCATAATTTTAAAAATCACATTTTGGTCACGTGACCAGCTTCGAACTTACTCATTTTAAGAAAATGGTGCGGGTTTGAAAAACCAAATCACTATTATTTTGTTTAAGATATGACCCACTAATTGTTTTTCGAAAGCAAAATCATATAACTTTGATTTTCATAAAAACGATGTCACATGATCTCCTAGTGCAAATGGCCTATTCCCAGCCCATTCTTGGAGCGAAAATGGGACGGGATTAATTGAAGTTTTCACCACTTATCTTTAAAATCTCACATCAAATTTAAAAAGAGAAGTGGTATGTTTCGATGAATTTTGACGAGGTTTGTAGGCAAGGAAGGAACGTTTGGAAAGCCCCCTGCAACAACAGCGGCCACCGCTTTCGCGAACAGTTACTTACAAGCAACCCTGAATTCCCAAGAAAAATCAAATGACAGGTAAGCTTATCAGAAAATTTCAAAAAACCCTAAAAGGTGTTGGAGATTAACACAAAACAAGAAAATTTCAGTGGCTTACCTCTGTGCCACGGCATTGTCTTTTCCTAAAGTAGAACGTGTAATGAGATTGTCAATAACAAAGGCATTTGCATTAAGTATTTTTAAGGCGCCTTTGGGATCCTCAAATATGGGTAACTTCAAATTCGGGCAACATATACGTATCACAGTTACGCTTGATTTAAAATTTCTTTGCTCGACCGGCACCAAAATATTCAAAAGAGCAAAATCAGTGATCCTTGCCTGTAGCCAGTACCTTTGTAGAACTTCCTTGTTATGCAAACTTAGACCAGCGTTGTTGTGTGTCAGAGAACATTCACAATTAAACTTTCGTACCATACTAGGACAAATATGAAGGTACGGACATCCATCGTAATTGCATTTTCCGTTCAAAAACAGGAGGCAAACTTGAGGCAGGCTGTAGCTAACGATCCTTCTGATAAGTTCATTAGGAAACAACTCAAGAAAAAATCGTTCTATCTTGTCTCTGTTACTCTCATCATAGAAGTCATGAGAACGGCTACATCCACCTCGGCAATTACCTTCAAGGAACCTTTTACAAATATGCCATCGCGGACAAGAGCCAAGAGAGTAATGGGGCCCTTCTTCAAGGTATTTGGGGCACATTTTTACCCTCATGTCAACTACAGTGCCAATCACTTTCCCATTTTGATCTTTCTGCAAGACGACAAGACCCTCAGATACTTTTTCCAACCATTTCGTCCACTGATCCTCTAAATTGGTCCATTCTCCCTCGCCCCAAAGTCCACCTCTGCGACCACAGATATCGTTCATAGCAACATATCTTTGATAATCTTCAGCATCCATTGCCATGTTAGCTTTCAGGCTGATTCTCGTGTTTTATTGACGTCACAAAGAGGCTTGCAACAGTGTTTTATCAAATTTATGATATAGGACCGTTTTCCTCTACCGGTCTCCAAGCAACAGCAAAGTAACGTGTTTCTAAATAGACTCTCAGCGCTCAAGGAAGCGAAGAGTGTCAAAAGAATTTCTGAGAGAGTTTTCAAATAGATGAAGAAGTTACTTTTGGCGGGGAATTCAGATTTTTCCGCATCTGTGGTCGATTCATTCCTCTAAAATACAGGAGTCCTTTGAAATTGAAACGGTTTGATCAGTAGGGTAAGGATATGTTTGTTGTTGTACTACAACAAATCTGGAAAGAAAAGGGTTCCACAAAAATTGTCAAAATTCATGTTGTAGGAAAAATGAATCCAATTTTGCGAATAATCGAGATGTCTAAATGCGGCATTTTGAGATTATTTATCCTTACTGATATACAAACCAAACACGCCATTTCCGAGTTACCTCAAGCCTCTGTTTCAAAGCGAGGCTAAGTGCGGAGCCATTGATATGAACATGAGTTTTTATTCTCTTGCAAACAAAACTCATTTTCACAACAAAGGTCTGGCACTTGGCCTCGCTGTGAAAGTGAGAGGTTTTGGAACTCGGAAATGGCCTATTGAATCGTGTCGGAGAAAATTTGGCATCGAACAAACTCTCCGCTGTAGAACAATTCTTTTCCTCCAACACGAAGAAACAATGCTCAATTTGGTTGCTATTTAACAATTATTCATTGAGGTCGAATGGGCAATTGACTCAGAGGCCATGAGGGCGTGAGGAATATTATTGTTTTAGTAAAATCCAACTAGTTGGTCAAAAATATCGAGGCAAAACAACCTTAGCTAGCAAAACGCGATTCAGCCGCCATTGTTTTGGTTTTCAAAGCCGGCGTTTTTGCTACTAGTGGGCTATAACATATAGCCTAGTAGTAGCTCAACCAATCAGAAAACAGCATTGATAATAGACCACTAGTTGGATTTTACTAAAACCCGATAGCCATACATTCCCACTGGTACGTTCACCTTTATCTAAAAGTAAATTCGAAATGTATTGGTATGAGTGAACGAACCTTTGAATATTACTTAGAGCAGCATCACCTGGATTGGAATTGTCCACATTGTTCTTTACCCAAACTGAATGGTTCTTTCTTTGAAGATGATCAACAAGAGGCACATACATCGTCTGGAAACAACGTTTGGTTTTTACTTCTCATAAATAGTTTTATTTATATTTTCAAATAAAAACGTACATTTTTATAAATTTGCTTACAGTAGAGACCTTATATTAAACTCTAGTGTGAGTTAAGAGTGAGAGTGCATAACAGTTTATAAACCATGTTTGTCTACTTCAAGTTCATTCCAACCAGCTACACAGGCTTAGTAAAATCAATAACGAAAACCTGCAATACCGCCACTGCAACACGCAACTGTTAACAAAAATCACATAGTATTGTCAGTTTTCACTTGTCTGACCAATGTTAAGTCTTTCCATCTCGTTTTCAGCGAGAAGAAGTGGGAGTTTCGAGGATTTAACTAAAGTCGTCATCGTTATCGATCTCAGTCAAATTTGTACTGAACTCAAAAGTTCACTATTGCATCTGTAACAACCTCCATCAGTGTGGCCGGAATGGGCTCTTGGTGTAGAGAAAGAGTCTAAAAAGGGACCCAGTAGCTTGGTCTCCTCAAAGAAAGTTGATGAGATTTGTCGCGACCCACATGACCATAACGGGTACGTTTGTTGTGATATGATGAAGCGAATGGGACACTCAGAGGATGAGCTGAGGATTTTCCTTATGACAATCCCTGCCTCCAAGAGGGAACCGCCCTGCAATCAACAAGAATAGCAAATACATGTATCACTTTTTTGAGATGATTTAACAAGGTGTGGGACATCGAGGGTGCTTACCATTACTTACCATTTTTTCCACCCGGCTGGATATCTTGTGCATAAACACAAAACTATAAAATTTGACCTGGTAGGAGAATGACCCGCTACGAAGAATAACCAATTCAGCTGAACAGGCTAACAAGAACAAAAAAATTGCATCGCCTCAAATCACAGGCTTCCCAAACGGAGTGGCGAGAACCATTTAATTTTCACATGTAAATGGTAAGTATCCACGCGTGTGTTTCTCGAGCCAAACGGGAACAAAAACGCGTAGGGCACGCATGGCGTACCCACGCGTACGTTTCTCGACAACAAAAAAGGCACGCATGGCGTGCTTGTGTAGCCAAACGGGAAGAATGGAAACTGAAGTACCCACGCGTAGGTTTCTCGACAACAAAAAAGGCACGCATGGCGTGCTTGTGTAGCCAAACGGGAAGAATTGGGAACTGAAATAAATGGAACATAATGGAAACTTCTCAATCAAACACACTTCTTTCTAAGAAACCATTTTCCAGAAGCTATCTTTTCAGTCTTATTCGCCATGCACGAGTTTCAATAGAACACGTAAAAGAGAGAAATACTTCTAATAAATCTAATAATCCTATTGATTTATTATTCTTACATAGTGTAGTGACTATAACTGGAAATAACGGCAAGGTTACAGTGCAGGCATTTTCTTAAGGCCGGGGAGCAAAGAACTGAGCATTAGAATTTGCACGGGTTGTGGTGCACGAGCCACGGAATGTAGGGAAGGGGTGGGTGGAGAGACTATGTTCTTTCCGTCTTATACCCACCCTCTCCGTCTATTTTGAAATCAAAAATGAGACTACAGCCAAGAAAAAATTAAGCATTAAAGCTCACCCCAAAATACGCCAGCATTGCTACAGATTACATAACGACATTGACCACTACAGAAAATACGATAACATACCATAATGCTCTTTGTTTACCACCCCAAAATTTTGCATAAGCATTGTTTTCAGTTTCTTTTGGGGCCATTTTAACTCGCGAGAGAAACTGAAGACAACACTTATGAAAAATTTTGGGGTTACAAACAAACAGCACTATGGTATGTTATGGTATTTTCTGTAGTGGTCAGTTAATACGCACACCTACCTGTGTGGCATTTGCAGTAGGCGTCCCCCGTCACCAGCCCCGGGACCTTCTTTCTTTCGCTGTTGCCACCCCGCGGTGAGTTTATAAAGTCGTGAAGGGTCACGTGATACATTCACCTCGACCTAAAAAGGATAAAACCAAAACCCGTTACCACTAATATCAGGTTCAGCATTCGTCGTCTGTCCTAATGTAAGACTTGAATGCCAGTGTCTTAGACAAGGAAAACTCGAAGATAGAACCTTTGCCTTCCAGGTTACTCGAATATGATATGCCCTTAAAAGGCGTTAATCGTTAATTTGTTAGTTTAATACGTCAATTCTAGAATCTTTCTGTTTGGGAAGGTTGTACAACTTAACAAGTCCATTTTTGTTTTCTTTTTTGCTAAATATCCCCGTCCCCCTATTATAACAGAACGCAAACATTAACGTTTTTCAACATTCGAATAAAAAAAGTAGGCTAAGAACGCGCGCGGGAGAGGTCTGGAGTCAGGGTGAAAACGGAGAGTGAGACTGGGGAGAGGCGCGGATTCTTTATTGCGACCGTATATGCGACTTCGCCTACTCCTTTTACTGTTCTTCTTAGTAACAATAAACAACATTAGAGGCATTTATACTAGGAAAAACAGGAAATGTCTTCTTTGTATAATGTCCCTATTGAATCAGTCAAGAGGCAGGACGACAAAAGCGATTAAACCACTGTTCATAGGTGTCCATGTCAACAACTTTGTGCTGAAAAGAAATGTTTAATCTCTTCTCGACAATAAACAACGGAAGCAAAATACAAAGTAAATCTTCTAGTCTTATAAATATAACTGAACTGTAAAATAAGCACCTGGCTTTTTAGTTTCTGGAGTCTTTTCTCTTTCTCCATTTTTTCCACTTCTTTCTCTTTCTTCTTAGCTTGCTTTTCTTCGAGCATCTTTTGACTCTGAAACATAAAAAGAAGATTAGAATTTAACATCATGCTACCCTAAGGCGAAAGTAACTACCTTCAAGTGATGCAAAACGTGTTTAAAAAAAAAACAAACCCTTTCTTGTATTTTGGCTGCCTCGTCGGCTGTTAGTCTATGAACTGCTTTTTCTTGTTGTTTTCTAGCTTCTCTTGCTGCTTTTAATATCTCCTGTTCTTCAGCTCTTTGTCTCGCATACTCCTCAACTTGAGCTTTTATTTCCAGCTGCAAAGAACACACAATGCAAAACTGTCAGAAGTCCAAAGTCTGTTGGCCAAGAATCCGACGACAGACTAACAATAGCCGAGCTTAAGTCAGTCGAAAACGACGACCGTCAACGACGGACGTTTGGCCCAAATCGACGACAATGGTCCGACGACGGACGACCCATACAGTAAAACCCCGCGACTAAGAACCTGAATTTTAAGAACCTGTTAAGTTAAAATTTGCCAGTTAAACCCCCTCTATTTAGGAAACTGTTCAGCCTAAAATTTGAAACAGGTTTTATTTTCTAAAATCTATGAAAAACGTCTGTACACTTAGAGAAAATTAATATAAGATATGTCAACTGAACCACCAAATACTCTTAGCTGTATTGTATTTTTTTCCTTTGGAAACTAAGAACCTATTTAAGAACCTATACATAGTCTAAACGTGTGCTAACTACCATTTATATAAGAACCTGTTTACGCTAACTTAAAAAAAAACAGGTTCTTAGTCGCGGGGTTTTACCGTAGTCGGCCAAAAATGAAGACAACTGACGACCAACAGTCGTCAGATGGAAACCATTTTCACTTCACTTTTCTTTCCTTTTTGGTCTTCTGGAAACATTAAAATGAAGATGACGCTAAATATCACTTTTTCCTTGACCCAATAAGTATTAAAGTGTAAAAGTTCAAATGACTGAAAAGAGAATCTTCTCTCACCCTTTTCTTTTCTTCTTTTTCTCTTTCCTTTGCTTTATTCAAATCTTGCCTTAGGCGAGCTTCCTCCATTTTGGCCTTTTCTAGTCCTTTCTGAACCTGGACAGATAAAAAACAATGAACGTAACATAAATATTTATTTAAGACATGCAAAACAAACAATGGTAGTGCTCAAAGGTCTTAGTAAAAACTGAAGTTACCCGGTACATTTGAATAGAAATAACTTGAACTTTGAACTTGAAAATTTGATAAGACTCAAGAAGAAGTACGATCGTTTTGCCAACGAGTCGTTTCGCTAACGTCCTGTTTATAGTTCGCCAACGTCTTTTAAAGACGTTTCGCTAACGTATCCGGTCAGACCGAAGGTCATACGTTCGACTTCTGTTGGGAATACTCGGTGATTTTCTTCCCAGTCGTCTGTGTAACTGACTGAATAAAAAGCTTTCTCATCTTTCTCATCATTTTTCAAAGCTGTTTCGTTAACGTATTGTAACAGTTGTAAGTCAGTTCGTGGAATAAGGACAAAATTTCCCTCTGTGAAGTAAGATTCTTCAGTTTCTCGAGAAGAATAACGTCCTGAGCGATCATTTTATTTACCTCGCATCCTACTATTGTCGTGTTTGTTTGCGCTAAGTTTGAGTTAATTAAAGATCGACCACCGGACTTTCACGCTTTATCTTTTGTGCGTTCAGGAACGTTTTTGTTGTAGTGAAAACTTCAGCTGATATTTTCTGGATTTTAAATGGTCTGCTATGCATGATCTCTGAGCATTTTGAGCAAGTCATGCACCACGTTTTGCTTAGCATAACACGTTAGCGAATCGGTTTAAGACGTTAGCAAAACGACGGTCACCCTCAAGAAAGATTCAACTGACTTGAAAACCATCCTTTTAACCGACAGGGGTTTGTAATGGGCCAGCCAGCCTTCAATCCACTGAGAGTAGTTGTAGGTAAAACCCTTTCAGTATTTTACCTACGCCCCATTCACACAAACTAAACATGTTTAATTAAACCAGGTTTTAAAAAATGAAAAACAGACACGGAAAACTTGAACGCAGGTTTTCACAAAGGATTCAAATGTAACTCATTATGTTTAATAATTTGCTCTAAATTTGCAATCAGCTTAAAAAGCAGCTTTTATGAGGGAAACAATTTTGAACCGTGTTTAACTTAACAGCTTTTAAACATGTTTACGCTTTGGTCTGAACGAGGCATGATTAAAACTCTAGCAAAAACTCTAATAGGTTGAATACTGGTTTAACCTGAGAACAGAGTTCAGCAACATACAAATCAGCAAGACTCCTACAAGGCTCTTCATCCAGTGCATTAAGTTTTACCTGCATTAAGTTTTACCTGTGTACGTGTCCCTAACTATTATTTGATGTTACTTTCAGACAGCATCCAAATACTGCCCACAGAGAGAAGGATACAATATTCTCAAATAGCTTACTGACAAGTGACAATCACTATGATGCATTACCTTCCATTCACTCAAGTGTTTAAGCCTTTCCTCCCGTTCCTTTTCTAATTGTTCTCCTCTTTTTCTTTTCTTTCTTTCTTCCTCCTCTATTTCATCCTCATCATCTTTTAACAATTCATTTTTCTCTGCCTTTCAAGGAATAATAAAGATTACCATAGAAGTTTGCATAATTATTTTAACAGCATAAAGCCAGGACAAGTTAACAATGTGGATTTTCCATATAAGCAAGTAAAAAGCTTAAAGCTACAGCTGTATGACACTCCAGGCAGGCTCCAATAAGTGTTGGCCACTTGGCTACACCAACTCAGATTTAGTGCGACTGGGAAAACCGTGAACACTTAAAATACATCAGGGATGTTTATTGTGTCATGACCAATCACAGCAGAGATCAGCACATGCAAACTAGCCACAAAACCACAGACTAATTAAAGTTATTGCTTGTGGTTTGGCTTTCTCACACCTGATTGGCTTTTTTCTTGCAACACAATAACATTCCAGAAATATTTCTAGTATTCACGGTTTTTCCGGTTTGACTGTAACACATGCCAGAGTTTCAGTTTATTTATTT